CGAGGAATTCGTTCTCGTCGGCATACTCGTTGCGGTCCATCTTGGCCCTCATTGTTTGCAGGTCCATGGGCTTGGCCACCTTGTCGAAGTAGTCAGGCACACCGTCGGATTCGGGGTTAACGGGATCGCGAAAGGGGCCAACAAGGCGGGTCCAGAAGCCTGTGAGCAGAGTAAAGTCAGTAAATATAGCCATGGTGCTAAGGCGTCAAATGACATGGAAGAGATAATTACCTGGGCCGCTGAGCATCCTCGTAAGGAGATCGTCGCAGAACGCCAGTTTCTTGGAGGTGGTAAGCTCAACCTCCCCATTAGCCACGTTGTACTTCCTCTTCTGACCGGTCTTTGGACCAGTAGTGCTGGGCCGACCGGGTCCCTTGCGGCCGTTAGGCGTAGCCTTAGCACCGTTTGTGTGGCCAGCGTCGGAGTACCTGGCCCTCTTAGCAGGACGGGCCTGCTCGCCATCACAATTGGCGACGGCATCGTGCCAGCCTTGGTGGGCAGAGCTAACGACTCCCTGAGAGACGGGCGAAGAGGGGGTTGCTGCCGGGGCCGGAGTCGCATCCAGCGAACTCATGGCCACCACCAGCTCACTCAGAACTTCTTGGGGCAACGCCTTGGCGAACTCTGCACGATCCTCAGAGGCCCGCATGTAATCGGCCGCCCAGGAAAGCAGGAGCTTCCGGATGGATGATCCCTCGGGAGTTTCGTCCCACACCTGAACAAGAAGAGCGGTGGCGGGGATCGAGTTTGTGATTCGGCGGTACTCAATCATGGCATCGATCGTGGCGTCGCAGAGGCCGTCGATGCCCAAGCTGTGACCGAGCTTCCAAATGCCGATGAGAACCTCGTAGTCGGGAGGTGTGTCAGGATAAACATGGCCTGTATAAAGATAGTGCTGGGTGTAACCGAAAACATCGACCGAGGCATCGCGGAGCTCGACTACGTCCTCAACCGACTCGTTGTTGGCCGCCTTTTCTCTGAAATAGCGCCTGTAGTAGGAGGACTTTGCACAGAGAAAGTCCTTTTGGATGCCGAAAGGCATGCCCTCGGGGCCGACCATGATGATAACGAAAAGAGCGTGTGGTTGACTGGAGCCAAGATGAGTGTTAGTGTCCGCTTCGCGTTGGGTCTGTTTCGGATGAACTTACAGCCATGAGAATGAAGGCTCGTGGAAAGATTCGACTGGCGAACGGGGTGCTTCTTGTTTCACAGCTTCGACGGTGCCAGCTGCCTCGTTGTCGGCTTCTGTAGTGGCCTTATCGTTGTGGCCATCGTGTGTCTCGTTGATTTTTGGGTCGCTATCGACGCCATTCACATCGTCGGATGTGACATTGAGGGCGCGATTTATTCCTGAGATATTCTCTAAACATGAAAGTCAGAATTCGGAGCTGGGAAAGCCGGGACAGCGTTTTGTAATTGACCAAAATGAGACACGGACCCAACATTGCGGCCGATGCAGGACGAGGCAGTGAGCTTGGAGATGGGGTAAGACTTACCAAGAACAGATCTAGCAAGATCTTGACAGGCGGTAGGCGAGGCACTCATGTCTGTCAAATTCCTCTGAAGAGAGGAAGTTGTAGGTCTTATTTCAACTCGAAGACAGGAAGTGTCCGCAAGTCGGACGGTGAAAGACGGAGACCAGGCCTGAGCAAGGGCGAGGTCCCTCTCAAATGATAGAAGGGCAGGGTGCGTGGATTGGGTATGGATGAGCCCGGGGCATCTGCGTGTCAATGCTTGATGTCCCGAGTTCGTATTGGGATGATGGTTGATGAAGGGAAAAGGGTGGAATGGGGCTTAAGTAGTCGAGACTTGATCAAGTGAATATGTAGGTAAGAGCGCGGACCTGAGCTTGAACCTGAAGCTCCCGCAGAACCAAGCCAAGTGAAGGCTCAGTGTTGTGTTGTAGGCCACATTGGCCAATTGTGTCTCGTGTTTGGGCCCCACCCAGAGTATTGGTCAGTGCTTTCCGGACTCCCTTTGCTCATCATCTCGTGGTGCACAGGCCACAATGTCCTGCCAACCGCTCCCAATTGGGCGACAGCCTTTGAACCTCGACCGATTCCGTCACTTCATCCGCCGGCTGTATCGCCCATTCCACTTCAAGTTCACCCAACTTCACCTCTCCTTCTTCACCTCCAGTCCTCCTTCTTCCACTGTCATCTCGTTCGTTCGTTCGTCTACTGCACGCATAGCCCTTCTTTTTTCATCTCCTCTTCACTTTCGTCCTTCAATCCCGCAAATTACTTGAGCACCTCATGCTGGCCAAACAAGCCCACGCTCGTGCAATGACGCAGCACAGGCAACAGTGTCCCGCCCCGCAGCGCTCCCTTCTCGCGATTCTCCCTTCTACACTCCCTCCGCCAACACCGACTCCGATCTATTCTGTTCATTCTATAAGAACATCAGGGCCCTATTCACCACAAACTAGGATACATCAACTCTTCTCAAGCATGTAGGCTGACTCATCCATATCGCAGAACACTCGCCGCTTTGTGAGGTGACAGGTACCCCCCAATCGGTGAACAGTCGCCCAGTAAAGGGGGACTTCGTCTCTCAACCCCAAGATCACCATAGACGGACGCGTCTTCCACCAATATCAAAGGGCAAACTCCATTTGGCCTGAGACAGGACTAACGCATCTCGACAGGAGTCAGGTCAGCAAGCCGTGTCCAACCACTTTACCCCTTTCTCGTTTCGCCGAGTGTTGCGTCACCAAGCATTGACGCCATCACCGCACAACCTGGATCAGGACACGGGACACGCTCAACTTTGTCATTCCATCAACTCATCTCAACCGGCTGTCTATTCTCATTCACTCCCCTTTTCAAACTTCGCCGAGAGCTGTTTCTGCAGCAGCAAGCCCGCGCAAAATGTCGGCCTCAGTGCTCCACATCAACCTCCCACGTATCACCACTCAAAATTCAGCATCACCACTTCCGTTGGACATCGAACAACCCAAACGCCGTGATTGAAAAGCCAACCTCCAAGACGATGACTCAACAACAAGATCAAGGGCGTGTGGCTCAGTTGGTAGAGCGTTCGCTTAGCATGTTTCTGAGCATGCGAAAGGTCCTGGGTTCGATTCCCAGCTCGTCCACTTCTCAATCATCTTCATCTCCACTTTCCGGGCGTGTGGCTCAGTTGGTAGAGCGTTCGCTTAGCATACTCACCTGTATGCGAAAGGTCCTGGGTTCGATTCCCAGCTCGTCCAAAAACGGTTATGAGATGATTTGGGATTCATTTTTGTTGGTGTTTCACTTGCTTTTTGTTTACTTATCGATGCGCGGCAATGTTCGACTCCTAGAGGGACAGTCCATCATGTTTTTCCACGACCGTTGAGCGGAGATTGATGTGAGTACTCCATGATGCATTACTTCAACACGCTGTCAGTTCGCTTGCAGTACATGATGAACCTTTTCATGCTCCTCGATACAACGAACGTTGGGCTGGTGTCTAGAGTTTGTGAACATGTCAACGAACAGGTTCATATGAGTTGAATTTCGCAGGCATAGCCGCTCAAGTCGAGACTACAAATTCTTTCGGGCCTATCACTCTGTACTTGATCTATGAGCTCATTTTCACGGATCGTCTCTAATGACACACTTGCTGCAGCAGGACAATTTCCCTGCGTAAGTACATTCGAGCACATCATTACTGTTCATACAGGTCTCTTTTCAAGAGCATCTAGCAGCTATTACAGACGAAGGAAAGGAACTTTCCAACACACTGTTACACAATCACCCCTGAGCTTGCTGAATAACATTTCCTATTTCTTCATCCGTGTTGCTACTTTCTTATCCCATCATTCATACGCTCATCGGTTTCCAGCGACTTCCTAATCAGTCACTCGGATGCACCAAGGAGACAGGTAGACATTGCTCTGTACCCAGAACATGTATAAAGCTCCTACGATCCCTTAGTTGGCAGTCACCCACCTAACTACTATCACAATAATTAGCTCTGTTGCTTAAGCGTTAAAGCAATCACGGTATCGCCCGTCATGTCTGAAACCAACACCTCCTCCCCCTTCGAATTGCTTACGCCACATGCATCCATAATCTTATTCGCAGCATATGCTAGCACTGGGAAGCGCTCGTTTTCGATGACTTTGCCCCAGCTGATGCAGCACTTGACGCTGGCAACGTCGCAGCAGGTTGTTGATTAGCGTCCTGCAAACGGAGATGAAGGATCGATTGAAGTTGATGCAATGGGGCAGGCAGGGCGCTGCCGCAGCGCTTGTTAAGCGGCTTGCTGGACGGCACATCGAAATTGACTGAGCGCTTGGTGAAGGTTGGGTCTTGCCCGTACCTGGTTATATTGGGGGAGGTTAGTGAAGTTCATCTCGTACAGGTGGATGGGTGGGTTGGATGATAAAAGGCTTGACGGCGGTGAGATAACGGGATGGCAGACGGGAGACGACTTATCAGGTGAGAGTATCGTTGGCAAACTCAGTCTGCTGGATGACTATGAGGCCTTTCCTCGGGAGCTGGAGCGGAGAGTGTCGAAGCCGATACATTGACAGCGACGAAGGCGCCGAAAGTGAGATACTGCTTGGAGAATAGGTTGATGGCGGTTTGTGAACAAGTGTTCTGCTCTTCTGTTGGCTTTCAGTCTCAATTTCGCGAGCTGCGGCTCCCATTGAGAGGGCCTGGTCAATCGCACCGGCTCGAGAAGGTTGGAGAGATGAACAGAAAGGCGAGTGGTAGGCTTGGTGGTAATGGTTTGCTGGTGGTGGTGCTGCTGCTGCTGATGTTGAAATATCTGGCAGACAAGTAGGACATCGCCGGCCATTTTATACCCAACTCCTCAACTTTGCTCACGACCTCCATGCTCTTCATTTGTGCTATGCCACTGGTCGATGGTATCTTCATCGCCAACTGCACCACACTAATTACCAAAGGCAGGATCTTTTGCATGCATGAAGAAGGCTAGCTCTCAACTTAGGGTAGACAAGCTTTTCAAGGCTGTGACTGAGTTGTATCGACTTGCATCGAAGCATCGGCCGGTTTCAGGTTAACTGCAACTCTATGTCCACCACGTCTGGTCACTGAACCGCGCATCCAGAACCAAAAAGACGAGAACCTTTTCGCAGGCTACTAGGCAATGAACGGGACACTATTTACTATTCGGATCCCATGCAAAAAGAGCCTTTTGGGGGGACGAAATCCCTTTGGTTGTCAACGATATTACAACTACAGGTAAGGCTTTCTTTCACTCAGAGAGGACGTTACTCTTCTAGGCGTTTGGAACCAACTGCCCGCTGTAGTGTAGAATAGATAGCGTCAGCGTCAAACGGCGGGTGTACTGAGATTTCGAACGGCAGCCACGTAGTAGGATTGTTGAAGAGCTATTGACTACTCGAAATGAACTATACAACAAAGTTGTCAAGGTTTGATGCTAAGAATCCATGTATGAGCGAACGGCTGGACTGTTGGTGGAAGAACAGTACAGGTGGCCAATATGGCGAGAGACCAGATGGCAACAAAAGGGACCCATTCTGGATGCAGCATGGAGGCGGAGAATGAAGTCATCGTCAAATTGGTTACAAGAACGATGACCTCTCCGTAGGAATAGATATAGGCGTAGCTGTTACTAACGTGAGTTTATTAATGTGACTGACCTCCTTAGTAAAGCTGCCGCCTCGTTATCTTTGCCGCCGGCTAAATTGCTCTGGAAAAGAAATAAAGCAAAAGGAACGGAAAAAAGACAAGCAAGATAGCCGTTGGAAGAAAGAAGATCCAAAAACAGGAAGAGAATTAGAAAAAAAAGACATACAACACCAGGGATTCGCTGGTCGTCACCGACCCAACTACTAGTCTGGCCCTCATTGGCTTATCTATGGGAGAGCGGACGGGATCCCGAGTTTTCCAATGGGTATGGTCGTATGTGCTTGGTTGCAGGCAGAAAAGGCATTATATTCCCAAGGTAGTCTCCCAAGAGCATCGCCGAGGGGGGCACTACCATCTCGGTCCGTAACATATCTGTCTGGGTCTCCATCTACCCCAAAGCTACGATTAGGCCAGAACCGTCAAAGATAAAGAATACGGTAGGCTTGTAGACAATGTCAAGTCTCAACAAATAACTTGTTTCCAGCTTTACCAAAAAGCCATCCGCAACAGCAAGAATCAAAATCCAGAGTCCAGATCGTCTGCGCTAGAAACACACGGATTCTCCCCACGTCTAGCATGGTCCCATCCCCCACACTCTATCATCCGATGTTTGTATGCGGCTCAAGACCGTTGCAACGTTCGGAAGCCGCGGGGTATGACCATGTGGGGCCCTCGGTATCAGTATCGTTCGAGGTATGGTTTGAGATTTGGAATTCGTTGAGGGGAAGCTGCACGGGGGCCGGCAGAAATGGAACGGGCCGAACGAGATTCAGTGAGGGGCAGAGATGCTCCTTGCAGAATGAGGGTGTGTGTCCCCGAGGTTTCTTGTAGTGTGATGTATGTGAAAGGAGAGTTTGAAGGGTATGGTCTGAAGTCTGAAGTGTTAGAATTGAAAATGCCGTCAAGTGGAAGGTGTCGTTGATCCGAGGGAAGAATGGCAGACACAACCAAGCCAGGGAAGTCCCACTTGTAGGGCGTAGCGCATGTGAAATTGTGGGTTGGTACTTTTGTCCAGGATAAAATAGCCAATTTTTCTTCTTACCTTTTTGACAGGTGATATGTGCCGATTTTGTCGACCTGGCTGTTCCGGTTAAACGGTTATTATCAAATTTCGGAGTCTGCACCGGGAGAATAACAAAGTCTTTCATAGGCCTCCCGAACAAAAGCAAAGAAAAGCGTACTTTTCGTTTTCGTCCTGTAATGTAATCGTATTTAACATTTGGTGTTTCGGACATTTTCGTCACTTGTGTCGAACACACTAAACAACCATCATCGATCTCAACCACCAACCACGAACATCAGCAAGCACTTCCCAAACACCAACCAGCCAACCAACCAACCATGGAATCAACCCCTGCGTCCGTCAGCTGCGCAAACACGTGTGAAACAACGACACCATTCAAAACTAGATATGAACCACTCAACCCGGCGCACATAATACTGATGGCAACATCGATTCAGTCCTTCGCGTTCGTTCGTTGGGCCGTTCTGCCCTACCCGTGCCACCAACAAACAACATCAACAACAAGCCTCTTTGACAATTACCCACAAATGGCTGCCTGTATCGAACAACCGCGACAACTCCAGTATGTACAACCCCACGGGGAATCGTCCCTGCATGGCCGGTCGGTCTGCAACTTCATATCTGCATACCACAATCTGTCCTTGCGGAAAAGGAAGGTGTCATGGGCACGTATGTATCGATTTATTTCTTTACCCTCTGCGAACAGGTCCATCTTTCAAACGAGTGTGTTATTGCCGTACCGTGTGATATTGGATGTTGTAGTATCATGCCGTTCCTCGGTCGTTGGGTACTTCACCCCTTTCCTTGAGCCCTCCTCCAAGTAGTGGTTGATGAACTTCCTAGCTTGGCTACTCCGCCGGTGAAAGGGTTGTGTATTCACAATTTAGGCAGGTACCGAGGTCCTTGTTAGGACTGGAAGTTGAAGATAGGATATAGCGCGGCGACGGCTAATAACAGTTTTGCCGGTTCCGATTTGCCTCCCCCTCGCCATCCAGTCCCAGTAGGTCCCAGTCCCAGTTTCATTGCCCTGTCCCTGGACCGCGGCTCGAGGCTCAAGTCGATGTCGTCCGAGGTGTGCAAGTGGACCTATCTGGGGACTCCAGATTCCAGACTCCGGAGGAGTCCAGAAGCCGGGGGTAATTTGGGGTAACGTACAGGGGTTGCACGTGAGAAAGATACATACATACGTGGAGATATGGTGAAGCCTGGGATATGACAGACAACATTCATACGGCCTACGGAGGGTTGTCCAGGGGACTTGATACGGGCCACGAGGCTTAAGTCGAGGACCGGACATGAAAAATGAAAACATATGATGGCCAATTATGTCCCCAAATACCCATGTGAATGTGAAGACACTACCCGACAGATCGGAAGTGAGAGTCCAGCAAAGCAACTATTGACTGGATTCGGACATTGGACCCTGCCAAGCACGCAATCTACACGTGTACATACAATTTGGGGCACTGGGTTTAGAGAAGGAAGATAGTACGCACTGTGATCTGGACCCTACAGGTCTTACTTCTGGTGAGAATCCGCATAAAGTTGACATGTCAGGCCTGACATGTGATGAGATTACACGTGTAATCGATATAAGCTCGACGGAGGTAAAGGTAGGCAGTGTGTTCTGAGAAGCTACGACGAACACTAACCTACCTCGACCAGCAGTTTGTGTGAAAGAGGAATTCTACGCCGCATGAACCGCGGCCTCAAGGCATCCTAGAGCTATAGGATGTACGCCCTTGCGCACCAACAGTTGAGACTCATCTTGACACAAACTTTTGTTAGAGTTCTTATTCTTCACACACTCCCATTATTCCCGGCCAGTTTGCGACAAGTCAGGAGCATGCTACTCAAATCTTCTACTTCCACGTCGGCCGACCACTGACTGTCTCGTACCTACCTCCTCTCTCGCTCGTGGCGGCCATATCATGCAGCTACCTAGCTACCTTGGTAAAAACGAGATTATCCTAGACGTAACACAGCATAGGCTCAAGTTCATCCGTCCCAGTTGAGCCGCTAAGCCGCCGAGCCGAGCCGTTGTGTCACCACTTCTCACCGTTCGGTTCTGTGGTTGATGCATATAGTCCCCGTCGGGTCGGTAACTGAGAATGGAGATGGACTTCAGCGGAACGGTACATATACGGGCCGGGCAAGGACTGATACACATATAATATGACTGTTGAGGTGATTCGAAGAGTTGGAGTTCCCGTATCTGACTAATGGCTGCTACGATCCAGATGCGAGGTCCATGTTCGTTTTCGACTATTGGACTCAGGAGCAAGCACTCCAGATAACTGGCTGACTGTACAGCGTACCTACGTAGGTATGTATATACATCTCATGTCGCCTCATACCTCTCTATATTAGATGGCTGTTGTACAGGCGGCAGAGCCGCCGCATTGAGCGACATACAGAGCGGATCGGCCCTGCCACCTTGACTCTGCAAGGCAATAAACGGCAAGCAGCAAGGAGGAACACAATATTGCGACTCTCGCTTGTCTTTGGCGAGGTTCAAGTTTCCCTGTTTTCCACATTGGCTTTCATCACATTCATTTTTGAAGATGGAATTCTTGCGCAGCCCTTGGAACGAAGCCGGATGTGAGGCCCCGACTGGCCGTCCAACCTCGGGACGGCAGAGGTAGCGAACCTTTCGGAGAGCAGAAGCTCTTTGACCGGTGACCGCAATGGCCCTCCTCGGCAACGCAATGGCTTCTTCATCCGGAACTTGGAACGAGCCATTGAGACCGGTGCAACTCCGGAGGTGATTGCTTGTCTAATGTGCCACCGCCGTGTGCGGAAGCATTATGAATCATCAATCATGTTTGAAGAGATCTGGTTTCGGTCAACAGATCGCACGATGCCATGCAGTTGAGTGGATAGTAGGACAGGACCCTCAACTCCGTAAGGTAAAAAACAAAGAACGAAAATAACACGGAACAGAAAAGCGTTCCCTTGGTTACAACGGTGTGTTGTCGATGCAGCAGCAGCACCAACAGCCTTAGCCGCAGCCGCAGCAGTTTCCCTAGGGCCAGTTGCATTCAGTTGTTGTCATTGTTGCATTGTTCCTGAGCAAGTTGCGTTGCTTCATTGTCCAGCAAAGCACTGACTACACTACACTACACTACACTAGTGTAGACAGATGGAAATAGTCGGGCCTAAGAGACTTCGTAAACGATCCAGCTGGTTTGAAGTTCCCTTGCCTTTCGGACGGACCCGATCCGGCCTGGTGTGGCCTCGCTGTCTCGCGCTCTCTCGCTGTTTCCGACGGACCTTCTCACCATGGCAGTGAAACTTGAAAAGGTACGGTCCACGTGTAGTGGGCGGGCGGTGCCAGGGGAAATTAGGCAATTGGTGATGGCGATATTCTACCACGGCATCACCTAAACACGTGTCCGTTATGCAATTGTCTTTTGGCTCCATCGTGAAGTGCTCGTATTAGTGTTTGACTACGACGAATGGAGTCTTCCGGCCGGATCGTACACTACACTTCACACAAATCTGCGGTTCGGCATCACCAATGGATGGATGCATCGTACAGCCCCAGTGCCGTGCCGTGCCGTAGAGGTATCGTCTGATTGGAACGTCTCAGCTGTACGATTGTGCCTGAAACTTTGGCGTACGGTATCAGTATCACGTATCGTAAGTATCAAGTATCATTGTTACAAGCGGTGGGTTGCTTGCCTAGGGTTTTTGACTCCACCTTGCTCTTGGCAGGTAGCAGGGCCCGGTAACAAACAAACCCTCATCACCCCCTCAACCCACACAGACATCCCACACGCCCACAATCAGCCCGCCCCCAAAACCTCAAAGAGAGAGGGAGAATCCCAATAGGAAACCCCGACGGATTCCCCAGACCCCCGTTTCAACTGCGCCTGCCCCGGCTCCTTGCGAGTTGCCAATCCCGAGTGGGAAAGAGAAAGTCGAACTGAGCGCCAAGGACCCCCAAGGCGCCGGCATGCCCGTGCCCCGGTTTTCTTTTTTTTTTCTTTCGTTTTTTTCGCTTTCTCTGTTTTGAGCGGAGAAATTGCGGAGCCTCTTCAAAATGCCATCGGCAGATGATGCCGAGATCCGGCATAAGGCCGAGGGAGGCACCGCCCTCATCATATTGGTTTTTGGTCCGATTTTAATCGATTCATCATCCCAGCAAGCGAACCTCGACCGACCGAGGCAGAGAAAATTTTGAGTTTCGATGCCATGCGCACGTTCGATCGCTTGATTGCAACAAGTTTGGGAGATGGCGTCGGCGCATCAAGTAGAGATTTCGCCGCAAACCTGGTCCCTCCCGATCCCCCCCGTGGGGGCCCCAAACACCAGCGACCGCAATTGATTCGGGGAAACACAGAAGAGAAAAATTTGGCAAGGAGGATACAGAAACAAAGAGGCCATCAAGGTTCCTGCACGGAGTTTTTGTCAGACTATCGCCCGGGGTTTTCTCCATACCCTTCTCCATCGCATGAGCCTTGCTTGACAGTCATGTCAGGGGAAGCCTGCTGTTGCTCCAGATGCAAAGAATGGAGGGGCGCCAGCTCGGCGAGAGGCCGAGGGAAACTGGAGAGGTGGGGCGCTCTGGAGAATCCGGAGACAGCTGGAGATGAAGAGATGTCATGAAAACTGGGGAATGGTAAGACCAGCGTAGCCTTCATTCAGGGGTGCATGTTACGATACCAGTGATACCGAGTGTGACCGGCAGTCTCGACTCCGTTCTCTGCGTGACTGTTGGATTCTGCGGCTCAGCTGTGGCTAGGACTCACCAGTCGGCCTGAGAATCCTGAATCTCCCGATCACGACCAAAGACCTTACTGGCGAGCTGTGATTCGTCCGCCGTGGTGTTGAAGGCGGCGTCTGCGTCTTCGTCACCTGCATCTTCGGCTTTGTCAGATCCCTCTTTCTCCTCTTCTGGCTCCTCATCCTCTTGATCGCTTTCAGGCTCTGGGACAAGAAGGATGTCCTCGCTTCCCTGCCACTGCGAGGGCGGAGGCGGCACGGCTTCGTCGTCCTCTTCCTGCCAACCGTAATCCTCTTCATCGCTATCGGCTATCTCCAAAGTGGTGTCACCCAACTTTCGCTTCGTGCTCGGTGTAGACAAGTGGTTCGGTAGCGGTTCACTGAAGTCGTATTCGACTGTAACCAAGCCGCTCTGAGATATGACATGTCAATAACTAAGCAGACTTGTAACTGGGTGGGGAGTAGGTTTACCTCTTCGATATCAAAGGCGCAGATAGTGTCAACAGATGCTTCGCTAGTCTTCCCATTGAGTTTCTGCGCTCCAACAAGACGCAAGCCTTGCACTTTTGCGTCACTGAACGCTAAATTGCGGTACAGCACAAGTCTGGTAGAAACTCCCTGCTCCCATACGCTGGCGTTTATAGCCGGCACAAGAGTTGCTCCCCGTTCTACCTGCATCACCTTTGTTGCGCATTGTGTGAGAACAACGATAGCTATGTCTCTCGTGGCGGCAAGTTTCTGAAGTGCGCCGATGATGTACTGCAGCACTTGCAACCTCCGAGCGGAAAGAGATGGAACTTGGAGACTGTCAGATCAACGCCATGCTTTGCGGGGGGGGAGAACGTACCTTTGTTTCCTTTATTATCCACCATCTTCTTTTGCTCTGGTGTCCTTGGAAAGGCATGATTTACCAGCGCGGATAAAGAATCGACCACTATAAGCGATGTTTTTTGCGGTATGCAGCTCGGCGTAGGTCGACATAGAAGAGCGATCAAGTGAGGTAGACCGAGGCATGTGTAGTGCGTGAGAGCATCGAGGCGCTCATCGACTGTCGCATCTTCCTGTTCCCCTTCCTTGTCCCTCTTCACTCTGGAGCCAAGGACAGAGCGCAGACGCTCAATTGGAACTCGGTGAAATCCATCTATATCGGGAAGTTAGTGCGAATGGTGAGTGCGCCCGTAGGTTAACAGCACAATCACTGCATAAACGGACCTACCTACCCAAACGACACCTTTGCCCTCACTCAGGCAGTTGGCTGAGAGTTGTATGCTGTATGGTACCAGTTAGAATGAGAAGCCACTTGCTTTCCTTCGATGCGAACGGTCAACTCACCCGAAAGCAGTCTTTCCGACGCCGGGAGGCCCCCAAATCTCAGTAATTTGACCCTTCTGTATTCCTCCAGTGACCTTTTCGGTGTCTAGACTCGGTTTCAAAGCGGCATCGAGGGCATCTAGGCTGGTAGGGATGAAAGGCGAGTTGTCTCCATCGTTCAGGTCATCCAAGGCATCGGCAGCGGAGACGGTAGGCATGCGATCTTCACAGGATACGTCAGCGATTGGGGATTTACGTCTACGGATATCAGGACATCTCACGCGTTGAAGGGAGATCATCGAAGCTGGCGACATCATGGCCATGTCTTTCGTGGTAATCCATCTTGCCCGGAGAACTTATGCTGGGTGACGGCGGAACAGTCCAGTCTGGGTGTAGGTGGTAACGGCACCGTCCAAGTCGGAATCGGGAGCCGAGAATGATAGGGCAGCCCCGTTTTTTCCGGCGGTTGCGGTCACTGTCAAAGCTCGGCGTCGGCTGCTACACGTAGTCACGTACTGTAGCGCGTACGCCGGAAGGCGGCTAAAGGGCACTTGGTGTAGATCCGGGGGAGGTAAGGACTCGACGATCATCGGTGTTCCGGCCGGAGCGCGGGGAGGGTCGCGGTTTCGCAAGGTACGTACACCTCTGCCGGCATTTGAATGTAAGGTTAGCGTGGTGAACTGCAAAGTGGCGACAACTTTATCTTTCGGACAAAAGATGGCTGCTTTGCTTACCTCCAATGTCCTGAAATTTTTCCAGTGGCGGTACCACCCCAACAAGTAATATGCCGGCAGAGGTGTAGCTGGGCCACCTTGATCTTGCTGGCTTGGTCGACGTCAGTCTCGTCGCGACGTTGGATGCCAAGTATTCTATTTGGAGAGCCGGTGCACATCCCGCGGGGAGAGGGTGAAAGGGCTGGTATGTATGTACGTACCGTTACGGTAATGGTGATTCAGCGTTGCTGAATTGGGATGACGAATGGGACAAGTGACAGACACATTTACTGCCAGGCCAGCGACGTGCATGTGCAAGGCTGGCTCCAGGCAGCCCCAGGTCCGGCTCTTTGCCATTATCTTATCGATACGTACTGTTACGAGCACTTCCGTTTCATACCTTACGAACCCGGCCGTGGTTGTAATTTCCAGGTTTTCTTTTCGGTCCGTTGTTCTTCGAACAAGAACAGATCACGACCGTCTTCAGCTGATAATCCCACGATCAGTCGAAAGTATGACGTCTCTTCACATCGACGAATCGGTAGATCTAACGAAGTCCATCGCTTATCACAATAGTCCACGACAATTGTTGAGACGGCTCAAAGCTACTAAGGATGCTCAACATTGGCCCTTCCTTGGTGGGAAGTTATTCACAGGCTGGATGATTTCATCCGCATGTGGGCACCGAGACCAGACAGTCCAGAACACGAGCTTTCAAAAGGCCAAGTCCCAAGACATGCGAGTCTCGTCTCAGTCTTTGGAAGATTTCGTTTTGATACGGTTTCCCGTATTGAACACCACGGAACTATGAATTGATGCCATGACCATGAATTCCTGTGGCTCTGAAAACCTGAACTCGGTTTCCCGCCCACAATGTCCGACTGTTTTCAGGAGTCTTCCCGTCTGGCTGCACTGCTTGTGCTTTATTATGCCGATCCGGCTATTGTTTTACGTGCTTTTTCTCGTCTCGTTTGATGACAACTAATTATTTGTCAATCAAGCTTCGAAAACCGTCCATGCCATCCTAGACTTGCCTAAGCCCCCTTAGCTTGGAGAAGAAGAAGAAAAGAACGAAAGACAGAACATTCTAGCGAGCCCCTTTTGCCCTCATTTGTGGGAGTAAGCCCAAAGAATGAGCTTTTCGCTCGTCACGAAGCGAAGCAAGGGCAAGTTGCTCCCGTGTAGTGAATTGAAAATGACGAAGACGACCAAGATTGATAATATTCTCCGGTTACCAGATTGACTCAGTGTCCCACCTCCACCTCCTAACCCTCCAATTCAACCCCGGTGAGGGTGAGGCTCATCTCGTACACTACTAATGTTGTGGGGTTAAGATCAGCATTATCCCTAATGGGGAAATTAAGGAGAAGTAAACTATGCTCGTAGAGGCATGGCCGTCGTATTTCTCTCCCCGTGGGGTCCGGGGAAGCCGTTCGCCCTACGAAGGAACGGTAATGGATGGTGAACACTTGAACCCTGTCCTGTCTGTTCCGGCGTGGATTTTCTTCCTTTTTGCCTTTTCTTTTTCTTTCTTCTTTCCTGGCCTCACCCTTTCAGATGTCTTGGCTTTCCGACACTTTTTAGCGTCTTGTAACTGCGTTACACATGCAGTCGTTTGGCGCAAGTACAAAACTGCGTATGTATAATGGAGTATTACTTTGTACCGCCCGGGTGGCCAGGCCGAATCCCGATGAACCTCGAGGGGGAAAGGGGAGGGACGACTGTGTGTAGTGTAGAGGGCTGAGAAGATGAGGCTCCTTGTCTGGACCCTACAGTATCTTGCAGTCTGATCCCCTTGCCCCTGACAGGGAAATTGTTGAAGAAAGATGAATTATCTCCACATGGGATTTTGGTGTTGATGAAGAAAGGGGCATGTGACATGGGGAAGAATAGTTCAAGTTGTCCCCTTGTTTCATTAGTCGTTGGAGTGTCTCTTGATCAGCCGTTTGTTTGGACCAAAACCTATGCCAAGCCTTACCCAAACGAAGCTCTAGTATCAATGATTGAACGCCATCGATTACCGTTCTGTTTATTCGAGTGACGTTTCTCAGATTGCTGTTGTTAGTCTTCTCCCTCGTTGAATGTCTAAAGCCGAGCGATACGTTTTATTGTTGCTTTTCGGTGTTTCTAGTATGACTGAGCCGCCGCGATGCGAAATTTCGTCAGTGCTAGGTGATATGACAAGTATCATGAGCACGAGCGTCATCATTCCTTACGCGGAAAATGTCGAGTGTCATATGAAGTTCATCACAAGACGGATAAATTCCTCCATACCGGGTTTTTTTTTCTCTCACTTGCCTGACGAACTTCTAACAAAGATGTGTAGCGAATGAACCAACCATCATGAGGATACGCTGTATATGAATGCGAGTTGAAGGACCCAATGTTGTGTCTGTAACATTTCACAACATAAAATGCTTGATGGCTTGTTGCCAGCTGGTTTGCCTGGCTGCACTCACTGATGAGCTCACGATCCTTCTGCATTTTCGGAGCGTTCTCCCTTTGGACATCACTGATAGGTCCTTGATAGTGATGCTTGTCGGAAAGGACACCCGGGGCCCGGATCTGCGACTTCTGTCTGAATCCCAAATAGGGTGCCGCGAAGCACCTGCAGTTGTGACTTGTGTGGTTCGTGCACGGGGGCCCTTCGCGAGGAGAACGACGTTCAGAGGCGTTCTTGAAAGCATGGTGCCGCTTAATGTAGAAGCGAATCTAGCGAACACGGCATGCTCCAAAGGGATAACACCTCGACTTTGTTGGGAGGAGGTGAAAGCGCGAAGGTAGTGTAGTGAGTGTGACGGGGTGATGTTTCCTTGGCGCTAAGAACTGTGGAAATTTGCCCAGGGATGAGAAGCCGGGGGTTGACATCACCGACATCACCGGCGGCGATTACCGTTCGGAGAAAAGGGACGGAATGAATTCCATCTCTCTTCCTTTTCTGGCCTAGGGGGCACATCCCCCAACTTTCAAGCACACCGACCCCCCATCCAGCATCAGCAGAAGCTCTCATTTGAGATGTGAGAGCCTTTCTTTCATGTGATCGGAGGGGCATCATTTGTTTTTCCCCAACTCCCCCGCTCGCTTGTTAATGTTTTTGAATTGTGCCCATCGTCAGCTACCACGCAGCACCAAAAGGTATAAAAACAATCAACTCCTGCTCCTCAGTTATTTCCCCGGATCATCGTCGCAATCTCCTGCGTCTCCGTTTGCTGGGTCCCAGATGATCACCTCACCTTGGCTTCGTCTGAGGGACTCCTGACTGGAACGTACCTGTTGCGCGCACGGGCGGGATCCAATGCATGGCGGGCAAACAATTCACCCACATCTGATCCCAACCACTCGGCGGCATGGAAGGCTATTTCAGACACTTCGGAAATGTGTCAAAGTGCTCGAACTCGCGATGGTGGGCCAAGCTTTGCTCGGTGCGACTCGGCGCTTCCTGCGTTTGATATCAACAAATTGGGGGACGACAAGGGGAGCAGCAGGAATGCACGACTGAAGCTAAAAAGCTTGTCGTGGAGAGGTGTGTCCGGGATGGTGGGTACGATAACTGGAGATAGGTAAACTTTGGACAGCCAATTGCTCCAGACACGTGTACCGACATTGTAAAATTCATCTAGGTGGCTGTACGTACGGTACTGTACGTCGGTACAATCGAGTATATTACCCCTTGGTACCGATACGGTAAGTATGTATACTACCTCAGGCCAAAACCCGGCATGTCCCCATTGGGGACATTACGACCGCCTGTAACAGGTGGCCCCCGCGCTCTCTTTCAGGGCTTCCTTCCCCCCAAAGCCTACAATAGGTAAGCCTAGGCAGGTGAAGGTACAGTTCCTTCCATGATGGCGAACGGTCTTGGAAGCAGCGCAGCGGATCCGTCGGGTAAATGCGTATCGCACGACCGGCCGTGTCGTCGCTTCCTTCCAAAGCCCTACGACAACGGAACAGCTGCTATCCTGGCGAAGCGAACCAAGGAAGGCATCAAGGACCACGAGTCTCTGCCAAAATGTGGCAATCGCGGAGGAGGCTCCTGACATGAAAATCCAGATTGCAAGCAAGAAAATTTTTCTTTTTTGAAAAGCTTTCCCGTCTGCCTTCTACCCGAGTTGCGCCTTCCTTGCACTTTTCTCTCCCTGCGTCCGTCTTCCGTTGTCTTCTTTCTTGTTTCTTTCGCCGCTGCCGCGGAGCTTCGGGGAAACTCCAGGTATTTATTCGGCCTTTCTGTGGAGGCTTGTGGTAGGCCTTTCGCGATACCGCCCCATAAGGTGCCTCGACCCCAGACTCGGTCTGGAGTCGGTCAAACAGACCAATGACTCGCGCTAGCGGTATCTTTCAAACTTGCACCTTTTCAGCTGTGGACGGAAAATGCCTCTCCGCAAATTCACCGTGACCATTCCGGGGAAGGCAGTCGTTCCTGGACGGTTGCCCTTGCCATGTAAAGACCGATACGGTTCCGACGGAAAGCCTACCATAGTATACCGGGAAGACGGCTGTCCGACACGGTGAAGAGAATCAATGCGACAGGTTCTGGATATCTTCAAAAGTTCGGTGAGATGATCGCTGGCTCTCCCCATGATTCAGAAGCCGAGCATCCGCTTCCCCAGAACCTGGAGTACGGGGATCCGGAGACCCCGTAGGTACACCTCTGCACGGATATGATCTGTTAGCGAGGCTTCTGGGGGTGGCAACGACGCTCGATTCTCGCACAAGAAATGTCTGGCGTGGCCCTTCTTTAGCCCTTGTTTCTTGTACGACCAAGGTACCCAGCTAACGTTTTGTATCCATGCGGAAGTAACTTTGCGACTCGGTCTCACCGGAGCCTCATCGTCAAGTCTGCCACCACACAACAAAGTCAAGCCTCATGCTCTTGGCTTTGCATCACATGAGCTTTCGATTCAATCTTAATGCTTGTCCACGCCTGGAATGATCATCACGACTACCGCGACCCATATGATTTTATCAGTGTTCTATGTAACTGCACATGTTGACCTGAGCCTGGTGAACGAGCAAAGCTTCCCAATCAGGCTAGCGTTATCTCGATGACGGAGTAAAGCTTTCCGTGTGCCTTAACCCCGTGGGGACTTGTGGATACAACTCTTTTTGTACAACCTGACAATTCAGCTGTTGCTCGTGTCATTGCGCCAACAGCACAGAAATCGACACATAACTGAACCTACGAACCCGTGAACGGGGTTTCCAGGAGACAGACAGGAACGGGTTCCAATCCGGGTCGTTAATGGTGTCTGGTGTCGGATATTGTAGTGGCTAATAGTCCGTGATGGATGGCGTGCAAATGAAATAATAACGCTTCAACATGTCGAGAGGGGAGTGTGTGACTGAAAGACCCCCACGTCGTCGCGTTGTTACAGTGACAAGGCGTGGAATGGCACGCCATCTCATCCGAAGGGTGGAAGAAACGAACGGGGGACTTTGGCCAAGCAGCAATCCCAAGATTCGGTAGCGTAGCACTTGATCGCAGGCGAGGACCCCGTGCTGTCCGTTCCCCGACTTCCATCAACCATCTGAGGCATGTGCCGGGCGACCCTGTGAAGCACCTCGCCGTCCTGTCGATAAGAAAATAGCGTTTTGGAATAACAACCTATCTCGATTTGGCCTCCAACCCCCGGCCTAATGCTCGCCAGAGTCTCACCGAGGTAGACGAGTCTAATCTCGCTCGTTCACCTCTTTATGGACAGCCCTGAAGGTGAAATGGCGCGCTTATCAATCGACTTTGATAGGGATTTGGAAAAGTTACCCCAGGTTTCGGCTGGAGATAAGGCTCTGGACCCGCACCCGTCTCGGCACTCTTCTCCAGCCGGAGCTGTGTGTAGTGTAGCACATTACATGGAGAGACAAAGGTGATGCCTCGAGAATTATAGCGGAGAAACAAGCAGAACAGGGCGGACGCTCACCGTCCGGCAGACCGTCTGATTTCTGGAGGACGTCGGGATGTCTCGGGGCCAACCACAAGGACACACAGCCCAACGAAGTGTACCTTGATGAGCAACTCCAGGTTGCGGCTAACGAAAGCGGCTGGCCTCCCCACAATCTGGGGCCCTCCACGCTTTACGCTTTGGGACTTGGGGCATGGAAGTCTTATCTCTATTGGCGCCACCCCTCGGGGCGCGCCTCTCTGCGGCCACGTCCCCACCTCTTCCCTGTCTGCTTTTTCTTTTTCTCTCTCTCTCTCTCTGTGGCCTGTCTGCTGGGCCAGGGTCACTGCCGGAGCATGATTTCACATTTCCGTCAGGTCGGTCGTTCTGTGGAGCATCCTCCACCCAAAACATGGGGAACTGGACGAGATGAGTCTGGCACCATGATGGTTTTGTGCTAGGTGGTCGCCCTCCGAGCTTTCACAAGCAGATCCATCATGATCGAACCAGCCCCCCCACATACAAAAACTCCTTCCTCGTATGGATAAAGTGGCAAACTTTAAACTCAGCTCTACAATATAATACTGGTATGTTTGTTAGTTTGGTTCTTCAGCCATGGGTTGAACAGGGGAGATATAGAGCTCTTATTGGCTTCCTTGGAGTTTTCGTTTGGAGAGACCAACAATGACCAGGGTGTAATACGCCACAAATACCTCTTTTTATACCTCCATCCGTCTCCTGAAGATCTCCAAGCATAGGAAAATATAAAAGGGTAGTCCCCATCTAGTACCTATCTGTTTGAAAATCACTGGAAAATCGAACGCTTCTTCACTTTCGGGGGCTCTCGAGTGGAGATGGGCGTTTTTTGTACCAAACTAACAAACATACCAGGGTTAGATTGTACGTGCCGCCAGGCGGGTTTGACGTGATTAGACTGGGCCGGGGCCCTTGAGATCTGCCGTGCCTACGGCGGATGAGAGAGAGACGGCCGAAGACTGGCGAGAACAGTGGTCCCTATGAGAATGACGCGATTGTCTCTGTATCTGACGGTCTTGCAAGACATGGGAGCCCAGCCAGGCAGACACACAAAAGGCTAAGGTCGCCCACCTCGTTCGACGGCTCCCGCCCAACACGTGTATGGTTTTCTCGAGAAGAAGAGGCTTTCTCGTCGTGATCGGAACAGGAAGCCCTCAGGTGTCTTGTCTTCCAAAACCGCAACAGCTGTCTTGGCCCGCATCTTCTTGTGCGCCCCTCAACATGCTGGCGGGGAGTGACGAGCAGGTCGGGATTGTGATATATCGACTTTGACAATTCTGGTCGTCCAACCTGTCGAGTGAGACCAAACGCGTTTCTCTTTGAAGTGGAAGCTCAAGCACAAAGAGACAAGAAGCTGAATATTGACAGGTAGCTGGGACTTGACGACGCCCAACGCCCGCCCGCTCGATAGTAATGGATCTCATCTCACGGCAATGTGAAAGCTCAGCCACGGTCCTCACCGCCCCCAAGCCCTCTCTGATCGGCCCTTGATTTGTAACGTCTCCTCCAGGCAGCTTACACCAAATGTCTTTTGGCATGATGCCGGCTTTGCCCCGGGAGAGAAGGCCTCGACGTATGCCGGCCCTGACCCATTTGATGCAACGTTAGAAGCCCTTCACGTAGCCATGGATTCCATCTGTCTCGAGCTTCCAGTTTCAGGCAGAGTCAAGATGTTCCAAGCCGTGCCCAGCCAGCCAGCGTGTCTTGCTGTGGGCAAAAGGGCCAAATGGAAGCTGCGCAACCTCTTACACCAGGATTGGCGCCAAGATGAAGCACCAAAACTCAAAATCTATTTCGCAAACGCCCTCTGCCTTTTTTTCCACACCAACGGCAACGCAAGCCTTATCATGGGGTCAATGTCTGTTTTCTCTGCTCGAATTTCCACTTCAACAACCCCACCGTTTTCTCCGTACCCATCCAGAAATCCCCCCGCGGCCCCCCGGATCTGTTCATCAGCCGACCATGCCATCCAAGCCCCCTTTCCGATATACTGACAGGCAAGCAGAGCATGATTCGAAAAGAGGAGAAGTGATCAAGGTCACAGCGGATGTGGAAGAATGTCTGGCTGTGAGCTCGGCTGCACGCCATCCAGAGATTCAGACGACTGCCTGTACCTGTACGGTTGGTCCGTGTCTAGGCGTAATATCGTGTAATTTTTGAGCAACGGAGTCTGAACCCACAACGTCAACCCACGTATGTACCCCAGCGCTACTTGGGTACCTGCCGCACCTTCCTGGCACACCGGCCAAATTTGCAACAGCCCCCCGTGGAGGTCTGAAGGGGCGGGCTGCGGGAAGTGACTTCACCCGCGGCACTCAGTGCTGCGTATTGTATTGTAAACGTACGATGGCATATGTACCTGCAAGCCTGCTTCTCTATTGCATTCTCCAAGCAAACTTTCCATCGAACACATTTCGATGAAGCGTGATCGGGTTGTGCGTTGCCCGAAGCGGTTAGCAAGCGAGCAGTGTTGGTGCTGAGGGCCCCCCGGGTTTCGTATTTTACAATGTTTCACTGTATGTGAAATGTTACCCCGTACGGGTACGATGATAACAGCTCAGATCCGCCTCCACTGGGCACCTGCACCTTCCAGGTTCCCCTTCTTCCCCCTGGCATCCCTCCAGGCCGGTCGCCAGTCCCTTTGAGTCTGTGCCCGTCCTCCAGGTGTTCCTGCCTCGCTGATGAGTCGTCGCGGCGCTACGCCCACCCGCCCACTCCACACACCCTCACTGGCCGCAACTCCTGTCCACTGGCGTCCCACTGAGGTGCCCTGTCCCACTGTCCACACATGCCCGCCTGTGGCCCCATGTCAGTCCGGCTGTCAGACCGCCCATTCCCCATTTAAACCAGTGCGGCTCCCCCAAATCATCTCTTCCCGCCGTTTTTCGTCACTGCTTCCCCATACCACTCAACGTTCCCCAACAATCACCCACATCGCATTCAAAAACCCGCGCCCGCCCACAGACCGGCACTTGGCCTTGCCTATCAAGGAAGACAACACACCGCACCACAACATACGAACCAACACCCAACAACACTTGCTCCGATCTCCACACCAACACTCTGGTCCGGTCTACAATTCCATCGTCAAAAAAAACATCTTACTTCTGCTGAATCTCGGAGTCTTCGGCGCAGCAAACAACAAGCCCAGCAAAAAACGAGCGAGGAGGAAGTAGAGGGATTTTTTTGTCAAGAACGTTTGGCGAACTTTTCCCCTTATATTTCTTCTACTCCTGCAGCTGCACGCAAGCGAGCGCAACAGCTCAATCGGAAGATTACCAGCCACAATATCTCCAGGACGTTAATTGGGACAACTAGGTCCCAAGCGGAGGTGGACCACATGCAACGCGTACAGTCAGCAGTAGATTTTTCCAATCTGCTGAATCCATCCGAATCAACGGCCGAGAAGAGAGATCACAGCGGCTCCCCAAGACAACAAACCGCACAACCACAGCAGCAGCAGCAACAACCACAGCCCGAAGCAGATATGGCGACAGTCGGCTTGTTGCGCCCCAACGGGCCCCTGCCCGGTGCCCAACCTACTGAGCCCGCTAACGAGCTCCCACGGCCTTACAAGTGCCCTCTGTGCGACAAGGCTTTCCACCGCCTGGAGCATCAGACAAGACACATTCGCACCCACACAGGAGAGAAGCCGCACGCGTGCCAGTTCCCGGGGTGTAGCAAGAAGTTCTCGCGTTCGGACGAGCTGACTCGGCACTCGAGGATACACAGCAATCCCAACTCGCGGAGGGGAAACAAGGGCCAGCAGCAGCAGCAGCATCCCCTTGTCCACAACCACGGGCTGCAGCCCGACATGATGCCTCCTCCCGGCCCCAAGGCTATCCGCTCTGCTCCCCCTACTGCCATGTCCTCTCCCAACGTGTCACCCCCTCACTCTTACAGCCCTTATAACTTTGCTCCCTCGGGCCTCAACCCCTATAGCCATTCCCGTAGCTCCGCGGGCAGCCAAAGTGGTCCTGATATCTCGCTCCTCGCGAGGGCCGCCGGACAGGTTGAGCGGGACGGCGCCGCTCATCATCACTTTCAGCCACGATTCCAGTTCTACGGAAACACTCTGCATGCCGCCACGGCTTCCAGGAATCAGCTCCCTGGGCTCCAGGCCTATCACATGTCCAGGTCGCACTCCCACGAGGATCACGATGACCACTATGGCCAGTCTTACAGGCATGCCAAGAGGTCGAGGCCCAACTCGCCCAACTCGACAGCACCTTCTTCCCCGACATTCTCTCACGACTCGCTATCGCCTACTCCCGATCACACTCCACTTGCTACTCCTGCTCACTCGCCTCGTCTGCGCCCTCATCCTGGCCTTGAGCTGCCCCCTTTCAGGAATCTTTCCTTGGGCCAACAGCACACAACGCCTGCGCTGGCTCCTCTCGAGCCCGCTCTTGATGGGCAGTTCTCGCTTCCCCAGACTCCCCCCGCTGCGCCCAGGAGCAGTGGCATGTCCTTGACCGACATCATCAGCCGACCTGATGGCACTCAAAGGAAACTACCCGTGCCCAAGGTTGCTGTCCAGGATCTGCTTGGACCCGCCGATGGGTTCAACCCAAGTGTCAGGAACTCTTCTTCTACCAGCCTCTCTGGGGCGGAGATGATGGACCGGTTGTAAAGCAACATCAGTGGACAAACTTGACTTTTGAAACTTGCTCGATAACGACGAATGATCAAAACTAGCGGGAACTAGCGGGACGATATAGAAGGGTGCAGACTTTGGCGTTCAATGGGTCGATTCCTCTCATCACACTTTGGGTTGCCACTGGTTCTTGACTAGGAGCTGGTGGTGGAGTATGGCTTGCATAGAGTGTTGTTTGATCATTATCTTTTTTTGTTTTGCTTGGTACACTCGTCTAATAACTGTCGGCCAAAAAGGGATGGATCATTTGGTTGGGCTTTTGCTAGCGGGCGAATGGCATTGGAAATCGGACAGTTGGCACAGCGAAATTCTTTTTATTTATGGACTACTGGGAACATTATAGAATTGGGGAGGCATACATTTGCTTTTGGGGTTAGGAAATCTTTCCTTTCACATCTGTGTTTCATCATATTCATTGGCGTGTTTTTTTTTTTCTCTTGCGACGGGATAGATCTGGCTTTATCATATCCCATCTCCCATCTCTCCTCTGGTTATAGCAGACAGGCAGGCAAGAATACAAAAGGAGAGACGCCTCTCTTCTTCATTTTATCATCAATCCGTTCGAGATCTGTAGTGTAATCCTTAGTGTGTCTGTCTGGTAATGAACAGCGTGATCAAAGCAAACAAGCAATACGCTCTCTTCTTTTGAAGTAATGTATCCGCATCTACTCGAGCAATAGTCTTTTTCCACTTGGTCGCATGAGTGATGATGTTTGATCTCGTTTTGACAAATCCTCCCTTTTTGCTCTCGAAGCTGGTGTGTATCGTAACACGATATTTTTCCTACTCTTTTAATACAAGGTAAACTGTCATGCCATTGCACCTTATCAGTCTGTGTACGCAACTCGAGTGTGTCTCCCGAACTGTGTCTCAGAATCATTCATCAAACCGCGTGTGTGACACAATTCAGACCGGGGTTACTGAAAAGGTTCGCGGCGGGCTGGCTGGCTGGGCGAGCAGCAACGAAATTCAGCTATGCCCATCCCTTCCACCTCCGGCTTATTATCGATCTCCTGCTACGAAGAGGGGGGGTGGATGGTGAAAGCAAAGTTAAGTCGATCATCCATCTCATTCGAAAGGTTAGGTACTTTCTTTTCAACCTTTCTTTTTGTTTTCTCTTCCCTGTTTTTTTCCTTCCTTTTTCTTACCCCATACTTTCTAACCCCAACTACCTTACCTTGTTTATTGCTGATCAACACCACCACCATCATCCCGCACGACCATCTCATACCAAGAACAGGCAGTCTACTACTGTAGTGTAGTATACCTAGGTAAAGTGGCATTCAGTGTACAACCATCTGACACCCAACAGCCCGGCATTGATGATGAACCATGGGACCAATACATAACTGATGGCCCACCACCCCCACGCTAAGTACGGCAGTCTTGTGAGAAATGTCGTAACCTCCAGATTCGATTGTTTGGCTTGGAACTGTAAGGAAGGTTGGTGTAGTGCAGTACATTACACACTTGGATACTCTCTCTCTCTCTCTCTGTACAGTATAGAGAAGGGAGGCAGATAACGTTGACGGCACATCGTCATTCGTTTTTCTTGAGATTTTATTTTTCCGATCCGGTATTAGGTAGGTGTGTTAGAAACATCATCAGGGCCGGAAATGAGTCAGCCACCTATGTATGGTGTTTCGGTAGCCGCTGGCTCATCCATCCATCCATCCATCCATCCATCCATCCATCTCGAGTATGTGAAGAGTGTGTGTGTACATATGTGCGCAGTGTGATCAGCCGGAGAATGTTTACGACCTGGCGCAACCCCCATAAATATGTTAGATACGAGTGACCAGAGGTAAAAGTGACCCGGGTGACCCGGGTGACCCGATGAGGCGTCTCGTCTTCAGCTGCGCGCGGAACCTTTTTTTTTTTTTTTTTTTTTTTTTCCTTATCAATTGTTCAATTTCGGAAATCCTTGGAATTGCGTTGGGTGGGAATGTGTACCCGAGAAGCAGTTGAGGTTTGCTAATACATGGATATTGCGCCATCGATGGCTTTTTCGATGGAATGTACGCTAGGCTTTTCAGTGACTGGCTCCAGGAACTGAAGGGACTAAACTTGACTTGGTAAGTTGGATGAATGGATCTTAACAGGAGTTTTCACAGTGGCTTTCGGAATCACACTATACTGTAAACTCCGCGCGGAAACGTCCCGCGCCTCTTGGAGCTGACGACGACGACGGGCGAGGCCGGGAACGACGCCAATGACTACGGCAGAACGAAAAAAAAAAAAAAAAATATTCTTAGGACATAAAGAAGACTGAAATTCGTGCCTTTTCATGATCGGTTATCCCCGTGGGGATTTGTGCGAGATGTGGCACGGTGAGTGAGAGGGTGAGGCGCAGCTTTCGCGACAGTACGTAAAGCTGTGGTTCTCGTTTGTGGTTCGTAGTCCTTGAGCCCTCCTTGGCATGACGACCTCCAAACGTGGAAAATGGTGACAATGCCGAGGACTAGTAATACGGGGGTCCCGAATGAGAACACCACCATCTCTGCCTTCAGCACTTTCTAGGAAATGGTATCCTCGTTTCCTGAAACAAGGCACTCAGGCCGATTTCGGAGTGAGTATCATCAAGCTCACTGGCCTTACCTCGCAGTAACAATATCTCCTTGGCGGCTGTGCAAAGAGAACCGGAGCAAACCGGGAGGTCATTGTATGTGACTCAGTTAGTAACGAACTGTTACAAAGGAGCAATGGATGTACTATACGTAACTGTGTATCACGTCAGCTTTCGTTGACATTCCGTTTCTCTTGCGTGGCTGGGCTGGATTGTTCTCTTTTACGAGCCATTCGTCCGCCGACAACATTCACCCCTTGTTTGATCAGCGATCGGGGTGTCCAATCGCAGTGTTTATCTGATCTTGGCTCTCAAGATTGCGGGGTGGGGAGAGAGATGAAAGTCCGGGGCACGACCTGGGGTAGAATGGGTGATAAGCAACGAAATGGGGCCTGGACAAGGCCGCCGCGCAAAGCACAAATGAAGGGCGGAGAAGAGGATTTGTTGATTACGTTGGTTGGCAAGCATTGAGCAGCTATTGTGATATCATATCGTAGCAAGGAGGTTGTGTTGACGATTCTGTTCTATGACGAGGAACGTTTACACGGAAGAGTGTAAAGGAGGGCATTCAATGTCCAAAAAAGCCAGGGGTCTGTAGACCAATCCTTTTGCTGTGTTTGTGCATCGTCCCCTCTCTGTGTTAAAAGAAGCTCTCGGCATGCGCCGCATCGCACAATAAAGTCGCATCAGCAGATCTTGAAAAGGGGACATACGATTCTCTGTGTAGCGCCCAGCAGCCGCAACTCGTCGGTTGGTTTTCGGACTGTGACTGAGGCAGCCGTTGTCTGGGTGATGGTTGGGTAACGAGTTCTGGAGAGTGGTCGGGAGAAACGGCGAATGCAACGAATGGGAATCGACGAGTGTCTGCCAAGGAATGGACCAAGATACGTACGATACGTGCAGTGGTAGTGACGTCGGTGATGCAATCGATGTCCCCAGGGTCTACAGCGCATCCGGGCCAGATGAGGTCGATCACGAAGTGACGAGAAAAGATTTGAAAGATTCCGGTTTCAAAGTTACAAAAAGACAACTCTGGGGAAGCTCGCTTGGCAATCCGTTTGTTACGCGGATGAGAACATTTTTGATGCTGAACACCGAAAGGATTGACGCTCTCGATGCTCGACCATGGTAGACCGTTGACTTCAGAGCCAACAGGCAAATCTTGCCAGAATGGAAGACATCATACTATGCATGCTGTCCCTGACATCGGCACAGTGACGGAGGTTGAAATCAGAAGTTATTTCGAAATGTTGATTTCTGACGAGCTGGTTTCCATTTGTAGCGAGGTTCCTGCCAATTGTGACAGCGATGCCCCACTGCAGAGACGAGAGACCAACCCCACGCCCCACGGGGTGTCTTGAATTTAGCGCAAATTGTAGACTGGGGAAGGTGTAACCCCACAATCAACCACAATCAGGAGCTCACCCGAGTCGCGACTTCTCCCCCTTCGTGTTTTCACACACAACGGAGCTTCACTTGCCCTTGTCTGGGGCCATGATGCTGTCAACGCAGCTCCATGGAAGGAACAGTCAGTGCCGCAAAATGAATTGTCGATTCTCGGCAAGCAAGGGATGGAGTTTCAGGCGGATCTTGACAACATACTGGACTGGAGCGAACGGACGTTGGACCACGAATGCGCACCCGTCTGTCCACCCCATGACAGTCTCCAGCTTTGTTGATCCAATTTGCAATCAACCGACGGAGCGTCTATTAGGCAAAAAGGTATCTCTCCCAAGGCACTTCCTCCGTCGCGTTGCCTCTTTGCTTGGGTTTCACGGTTGCAACTCCTTCACGTTGCCTCCGATTCTTGGCTTCCATTGCACTTCCCCAGCAGGTCGGTCAGCAACTCCACCAATACAACAACAACAACAACAACAACAACAACAACAACAACAACGACAAAAACGCGAAAAGGCGCAGCCGTAGCCTCGTATCTCCAACTCTATTCAATGATCGTTCTTCCGTGCTGACTCAAAGTCCAATAGTCACCGGAGCGAGCTCGGACAAGGCATCGGCCACACCTCGGTGGAACTCGCGTCCAAATTGCTGGACGACCAGAGATAACCTCAGCATACCGTCGTGAGCAAGATAACGCAGTCGATTATTATGCTCCAAGGGCCCCATAACCACCTGTCACCCTTGTATCTCTTGCTTCCTGGGTCGCCGGACCTGTTGATCCTGCTTCCCCGGTGTAGTCTTGCGGCGCCCGTGGACCCTGGGTTATACGCGTCCTTAAAGAGAGGGTGATCAGTCACCCTCATCCACCGTCACCATCCTGTCGCCAGTTTATCTGGGTTGAAATCCCCGAAAATGTGATCGGTATAAAGGCTTGCATTTACTATGGGAGAATCCCCCTTTCAGACACTTCCACGCGCTACCAACAACACTGACTGATCAACAGACACCTCGAACCACACAAGCAATCAAGCGATTAATGGGTGCCTGGGTTGGGGGCCTCGCTTGCTCTTTACCTGCTCCACTCTACGCAACAGACACCTTGTTCGCTTAGGCAGTATCGTCCAGTGCACCTCCAGTGCCTAAACAGGCCTGCCTGGAGTGTCCTGCACGCCACCCATAATCACTACTTTGCTGTCGATCGATTCCAGCGTCGCAAAGTGGGGAGAAATAGAAGGAAATGCCATGTTCCTTCGGGCCTTCACTACGCGTATCTTCAAAGCTGGGCACCAGACAGTCGATAAATGGGTAGCGAGTGGCTCTGTGCTAACACCAGAAGTAATCACAAGTCAACTTCTCCAAAAGGTGCCCCTGTGAGACAGGTGGGAGAACGAAAAGACCTTGTCTTACAGCGTTATCGTGGCTTATTGCTGTCATCGGATGCAGACACAATTCTCATATCCAATCCTCCCAAAATCCTGTCTTCGATCCAATCATCATCCGATCAACGAATGGGCTCTGGACGGGTGACGCCACGCCCTGGCACAGACATTGAGGGATTGTTCCTACAATAAGGTACCCCCGATATAGGTACCCATACAGCTTCCAAGAAGCCGTCTGCTGTCCACTACGTTCCTGATCGCCTTGGTGTACTGCCAAATCTCACCAGTGTGAAAGGCCAGACAAGGCATAAGTGGCAGACCCTTAGATCAAGTTTTTTCACCCCTTGCTCCCCCTCCCCATCTTTTCTTTTTTTTTAAATCCCTTTCACCCTGTTCCTCCCTTGTCTTATCGACAGTGACGTCAAGGCACAGCTGTCTGTTCACCACACTCCAAAACACGATGGGATAGCTGTTGAAGCTCAATCTATATCAGTGGTTCTTGATTGTCGTGATTGCGCCATCCACGGTCTAGGATCAGGTTATATCACCATAGTGAGCTGGATATCTCTGCCTTCCATGTCGAGGCCTTCGAATAGCGACCGTTGTTAACCATTATATTCTCTTGTGCCGAAACGGCCAAATTCATCGAGCTGCGTCCAGAGACTGGTAGTCAAAGTGCTCTTGATATGTTGTGACTCACTGAAGGAGATACGATGCTGCGACGTGCCTTGCTACCGCCCAGGTTTCGAAATCAGGCTGGACAGGAGTAAACATACATAGGTAATGTCAAAGCTCCTCTACACAATACGTATCCTCCACCCCCTTCCCCGCCATCGGTACGAAGGCGAGGCGTAGCTCGCGCCACTCTGGGATTTACACTACACGCACACCGAGGACCAGTCGGTGATCGGCTCTTCCTTCGGCGGGTCAGCCCGCTCCTCCTCCCTTCCTTGTCCTTGTCCGTTCGTTCTCTGTAACCCACATGGTTGTATCGCCGAGTTGACCTCACATGAACCTACACTAACCCTTGCTCTCAGTGAGCGTGGGGGGAAAGTCTAGAACCATGGTTCTTGTCAAGAAGAGAAGCTTGCGTAGCATGGAATTTCGGCCCGAGTGGCAGTCGGCCCTGTTCATATGCTAGATAGACCCTCTCCGCTAGTACCTAATTGGCATATGCTGCCACTAGCGCCTCCTCGGACATAACCCCTGTGATCTGTCGTCTAAGCGCAAGCGCGCTTGTCACTTTAGTTACAACCTCGGGGAAGTGTTTCTGGCTTGGGTGGCCTCATCCATTCCCTGGAAATACGGCCAGACAGTTTGTCGTTGCATTTAACTGCATCAACGTTAGCAACGGGCACCGGGTTGTGGAGTTATCGCCATATATGGCACGACCTCCTGATTTGAATATATGCCAGTTGCCTTGAAGCTATGTACGTCCTCTGAACCTTATTAGCTTCGAGTGAGAGGAGCAATACGTCCTTTGCATGCCGCCTAATACGTAAAAGTTAGAAGCGACACGGGTTTCAAAGTAATGTGATAGATTGGCGCTGACATGCTCCTTTGCTACTAACAGTGAAAGGGTCTGTCTACTGCGTAAACATAGGAGCCTCTATTGTACCGCGAGAGTGAACTCGGCAGCAACATCATGCCTCAGTGAAACGGCTTTCCAAGGAACAGTCACGCAGTGGCCACGTACGGCATCGGATACATTTTGTGTGGTATATAATATCGACAATACCTGTTCTTTCGGAGTAGTCGTCAATCCCACCCTACAATCTTTGTCGCATGAAGGCGGGGCAGCTTTTCCCCGCCGGTTCTGCAGCTCGCCTTATATGGAATGGAAATTGTTGGTAGCGCCGGCATTTCTACGGCAAGGACACCGAGCAGCCTCACCGAGCTGTTCTTGTCTGTGACCAGGGGAAGTTTTAGAAAAGCGAAAGATGTCATCCAGCAGTACAGTTACAAGAGTAAGTCTAGGTTAACGTAACAGTACATTGTTCATACGTGTATGAACTGGCACTTCACATGTAATACGATGGAAATTTTCCGGGGATGTATTATCTTTTATAATGTATATATATATATATCCATGTAGGCATGGTCCTTTTTCGTATCGTTATCCTCTCTTTATCTTGCTCTTCTTCCATTTTCCACACGATCTACCTGTAGATTCACGAGTGTCCGCCAAAGATGCAGCTTCGCATATAGTGCACTTGCTTGCTACATTTAAGCACATACGACCATACCCACTGGAAAACTCGGGATCCCGTCCGCTCTCCCATAGATAAGCCAGTGAGGGCCAGACTAGTAGTTGGGTCGGTGACGACCAGCGAATCCCTGGTGTTGTATGTTTTTTCCTCGTCTGTTTTTTTTTTTCCCCTTCTCACGCATTTTGTTGCTTCCATATTTCTTGCCTCTCCTGATCTTTTTGTGATTCTTCACAGCTTCCGCACCGGTCAGAAGTCAGAGACAGGGGTTTTTACAGAACACGAGTTCACTAGAGGCCCCGCAAGAAAAAACACAGTGTCATGAACATGGTGTGATTAGAAACTGCGAGAAATCTGTGTGAGGAGGAGTAGTATGATGTATAAAAGATGCACCACCATCACCTCGGTTCAAACTAGCAATCCCCATTTTAAAATGAGGGCTGTTTGCTAGGACAAGAGCTGGGATCCATGGGAGTGAGGTCACTGACTAATAGAAACAAAGAAACTCAAATTAGTCATCGAGATCATGACGATCAAGGACGTAGTTCATAGGCCAGCTTTCAAGTCGAAACGTAAGGCTTCGACCACCACGAAAACGCGGCGACTCTGACTGTTTAACCGCAAGGTTTCAGCCATCCTGTATGCATATATGACTGTCGGGATGTCAGAGAAGGCTGGCAACGATATTGGATTGGAAAGCGGAATCATAAACGCACTTCAAGGCTGTATGAGCTTGGCTGGCTTGGTCAGGTACAGAATATTCTAACGTTGCGGTCATGGCTTTGCGGTCTCTTGCCATATGTCAGCGTTAGACTTCCAAGAGAAATAGGCAATCAACAGTCCAACCGACCACAGGTGGTCATAGAATAATGGAATCGCTGGCATTGCGCCTTGAACGACGAGCCCATCCCAACCCGAATAGATGCGAGTTGCTCCTCCGACGCTTGGTTTTGATACATGCAGGGGGATGCAAAAGATGGCCTCTACGACGGCGTAGAAAGTGGGCGAAGAGTCCGCCAGCCGCGTAGACTGTCGCGACGCTGATGACAATTGGCCACTGGAAAGAATTGGGGTTTGGCCAGATGATAGTAAGGGCCCACGCTAACATGTCGAACATGTTCTGGAACGAGGCTTCCACTGAGGAGAAGATGCCTCTGCGATCGTTTTCCACTTCCTGTATCCGGGGGAGCCAACTGGTTAGTAGCAACGCTAAGCTCATGTAGACAGGATTTTTTTGTGGAAGGAGATGAAAAGGACATGGGTCTTACATCTTGCACAATGTTTTGCACCGAGAGGTCAAACCCCCAAAGACCGACACGACTGAAAGCCACGGCAACAACGAGACCAACAGCGGTCATAAGGCTAGTTGCCTCATAGCCCTTCCCGTAGTAGTAAAAGAAGCAAGAGACGCCGCCGGCTAGCCAGGTCATCTGCCAGGTGATGGACCACAAGCCCGTACGGAGGACACCGATGCGCTTCATTAGACGGGGCGCGATCCAAGTGGCGCTGAGCTCGAAGATTGTCGAGATGCCACGGATGATGCCCACTTGCCATAGGTTAAGGTTGGAGGCGAGTAGGTACGTCAGCATCTGGCCTGAAAAGGAGAGTACGGTGAGGTACAGTAGCGAAAGCGCAAGCGAGGGGATAACCGCTGGATGGCCAAAGTACAGGCGCAAGGAGGGAATCATGAGCAGCTTGCGCCATGATATGCTCCGTATCCAATCCCCGAGCTGTCGATGGGTACTGCCGCCAGTAGGAGCACCACCGTCCTCCCTCAAGACAGCCCCCGAAAGCGGCTCCAACGACTGACCGACTGATTCACCGGGAGGAGCAGGACGACCGAGCCCCGGGACCCTCCGAAACACCGTCTCGATGCAAAGATACTCCACCATCACCGACGCCAGATTCATCCCCAGCGTCGCATACACAGCCGCCCTCACCGACGCCGCAGCAACCAACGCAACCGTCAACGGCCCGAGCAACTTGCAAAACAAATCAATCCTCCGCATGCGCGCATTCATCTTCCTTCTCGCATCTTCGTTGCCCTGCGTAATCACCACCACCCAATCCCTCTCCACCGCAATAAGATTCACGCCCGCCGCCAGCTTCTCCACGCACGCCAGCAACACACTCGCTCCAAACAAGCCATCCACCAGCGGCGACTGCCTCCATCCCAGCCGTAACTCCAGTAACGCCCAGAAAAGACCGCATGAAGCAGCAACAGCGAGGCGTTGCCCCACAATGGAAGCGCGGACGACGATTAGCCGGTGGGCAGTGTCGATCCAGTGGCCTACCGGCACAGCGAAGAGGATGGCGGCAAGGTTGCGCGAGAGGGCATAGAGGGAGACGGGGAGGAGGTTGTCGGGGAAGACGGAAGCGAGGAAGTAGACGACGCCGGCTTCGAAGAGGCGGGAGTTCCAGGTGGACAGGAAGTGGGAGGTGTAGAGGCGGAGAGTTAGGGAGCGCGAGATTCCTATTGGGATGGGAGCTGGAGGACTTGTAGAAGAAGGGGGGAGGTCATGGTCGCCTGCAGGGTCGACGGTGCTGACGTTGTTGGGATTGGCGTGGAGCGGCGATTCAGTATTTGGCTCTATGCCGGAGATGGTTTTTGATACATTATTTTGGGCTGAAAGGTATTGGGCCAGTTCGATGTTATTGTCGTCGCCGGTGATTTTGCGAGCTGGCTCGGTCGACTGAATCCAGTCGTCCATCCCGCCGTCGCGCGCTTGCTTCGGCGTCAGTTGCCTTGAGTAAGATCGTTGAGGAATGATATGGCGAGGAAATTAAGAGAAACGGAATTCAAAGCTGCACCAAAGAAGATCTGGACAGCGAAAAGTGTGTACATGAAAGATGATGTGATTTGGCCGTGATGTGGAAGAAGCGGAAAAGGAAGGAACAAAACAATTTTGTGTAGCATCTGTCGGCGTGGTGGCCCGTGCACCCGCAATGCGTCCTCCCGTACCATCCGCTGCTCGTCTGTTAGAGCGGTTCAAGGATGGGGTTTTACTGATAGATTCAAGGATCACAAAAGGGCATGAATAACGCTGAGACAGGTACGAGTATGCGAGGCGGCTCTTGAATGACACATATTTTTTTTTGAATGAACTGTGTCTCTTGTTGTATTTACCCCTTTACACGACGCCTAGAGTCTCTACAGAGGTCTTGCGTCAACAAGCTCTCCAGGGACCACTGTATTTTAGGGAAGCCGCCCCTCCTTTCGCACCCACAACGCCAGACATCAACAACACATCCATTTCCCATTTCCCATGTCGAGTCGAGTCTCTCCAACTGTCATCAACACGACAAAGATAATACACCAAAGTATGTTATTCTGTTGCGTGGAAGCAACACATCAATCATTCAAGCATACCTCATGAATTGATAATGTCGTCATACCGACGAACCCAGCCTGTTGGCCCTCTTTCGCGGTCTCTACCGCTATATCGATGCCGCCGGCCCCGATGATCAAGACCTCCAAAACCTCAAGCAGACTGGGCATTTTTAAGCGCAGCATGCACCACCTTCGCAATACCCAATACCTTCTCCTCCTCAAACTTTCTCGCAACAATCTGCACCCCCACCGGCGCACCATGGTAGATCTCTGGGTCATCTAGACATCACTCGCCGTCAGCTCCAATCACACTTACACAACAAATAATCCTCCGGCGAAAAAAAAGACTCACAAGACTCCCAATTCGCCCTATCAACCTCATTCACCGGCCTATACGTGTCATCAACTCCATCCACCCCCCTATCAGCCTTCGTAACCGGAATCACCGCCGCGCTATAATTCAGCAAGTTGACCACCTCGGTATAAGCAAGGTGATTATACTTCCCCGGGATCACGGCGGCGTGCGGCGCAACGGGCATAATGACGGCGTCGACTTCCTGTCCGTCATCGCCCGACATGGAGTTCCAGTAATCCGAATAGGCCTGCTCGCACGCAAGCCCTTGGACAGTCAAGGCTTGGTACTCGAGTAGCGGGATGGGGTCTCGGAGGTTGAAGTACGCTTGGAGGTCGGCGATCAGGGGCTCGCCGGAGAGGAGGAGGTGGTCGTGGACGTCGCGGGCGCCGTCGGCTAGGAGGAAGGAGTGCTGCAGCATGTGTGTGTGGTCAGTGACGGTGACGACGGGCGGGCTTGGGAGGAGGGGAACAGGTTCTGCATTTGGATGGAAAATTTACGTGGATCTTAAGAGCAGTTGCGTGAGAGGGCGGGTTCCAGCCCACGAGCTTGTGTCCTGCCTTCTTCACTGCCTCAGCGACCATCGCCATTCCCCTGCGAATAGGCGGGTGAGGTTCGACAATGCCGTCGTTCCACAGGATACCCAGCTTCAGGGGTCGGTGGTCTGCCTTCGCCCTGCCACTTGTGTCCGCACGAGACAAGACATCATCGAAAACGTCCTGTCGGTAAGGAATAGGCACCACGGCCGGATCCTGCAACCATGGCCGTGTGGACAAGACAGACTTGAGAGCAAGCTCGCATCCGTCAAGAGAGGTACTGATGAACCCCAGCGTGGAGCGGTAAGTGTTCTGCCCCGGGTTCGTGTTCGCAGCATCCCGATATGTCAGGCGCTCGGGGGTCGGCTTGAGGGAGAAGATACCGCAGAACGCGGCCGGGATCCTAACCGATCCGCCAATGTCGGTGCCAACGCCGAGTGTACTCCCGCGCAGGGCCATAAGCGCCGCTTCGCCTCCTGATGATCCGCCACAGGAGAGATTGTTGTTGTGAGGGTTGAGAGTTCGGCCGATGATGTTGTTGTAAGTGTCGCCGATGAGAAGAGTTTGCGGGACGCTGGTCTTGCAGAAAAGCACGGCGCCGCAAGCTAGCAGCTCCTTGGTGATTTGGCTTTCGACTTGATGTGTCTTGGTAGGGTCGGTGATGCCCATGTTGCCTCCTATCCAGCCGACGTAGCCCATAGTGGTATCGACGCCTTTGACGTGGAATTGGTCCTTCAAGCTGATGGGTAAGCCATGAAGAGGACCGACAGGCTTGCCGTTTACTCGGAGATACTCATCGAGTTCTTCGGCTCTTTTGATGGCGATGTCAAAGAAGATTTCGAGGAGACAGTTGTTCTTTTTTTTTGTTAGCTTGTGTTCCGTCAACTGACAAGGTGAGAACAGGAGGTATACAAACAATCTGGTGAGCAATAGCCGCCGTCTTGCAAAACGCCTTCGTGACCTCTACCGCCGAGCGCTTGCCAGCCCTTATGTCGTTGACTAGAGGGACACTGTCCGTTTTGACGATATCGATTATCCCAGGCTCCAGAAAACGTTCAATGAAAGGACCCGTAAGATCACGCTGCTTGGCCGCAAGCTCGAGGTCGGCAGGACTTAGTCGCCATTCTGCCGGAATCTTTGCGAGAGTGTCTTCCCGCTTCTTCGCGGCACGGGCCTCCCAAGGAATGGGGTATTCAGTGGTCATAGTTTACAAGGGAATGATGAACCTCCAAGAACGATCCTACATGAGTGAGATCAATGTTGAAACCCCAATTCCTCCTTGTGTCATCCATGGCTTTTATAGGCAGATCATGGCTGCGATATCACGACTGCCGACTGCGGGGAGCGATGCTACGGAGCTTGGGACGGGTGCTACCACTGATAACACTGTTAGTCTACTCCGCATTCCGTCCGAGACAGCCAATCACTGGAATTACCAAGTTATCTCCGGGTGCTGATAGCCGGGGCTATATCAAGTTGGCCCGGAAGCTGTGGAAGTCAAGCTCGTCCAGGACAAAATATTGGGGACTGCAGCGGGCCAGACCACCCAAACCATAACATCACCGATAGATGTTTACAGCCTTTCAGACTTGTGAGTGTCTTGCCAATTTGCCGTTGACATCGTACTTTAGAGTTCACATTTTTTTGCCCTGGACGTGCCAAGGTCGCCCTTCGACACCGTAACCACCGCCGCCACCGCGGTCGTAACTATGAAGCCCTTCTATCCTCGTTGTAAGTTCTCACTCTGGAGGGAAGGGCTTGAACCTAGAGGTACAAAGAATGGACCTTGAAGGACGAATGCTGTGTGGAATCTGAAATAGAACGTACATTTTTGAAGCAAACCCAAGACTGCTTCTAAAAAGCCATGACGCGAGATCCTATTCCCCATGTATACGCTGCTGTTTGGGCCTGCCGACTTCCTTCCTTTATAACTTTCTCGGTGATCCCCCTTCGTCAACCTTCACTCTACTAGCTTTTTGTCAGATGTACGCTGTATGTTCAGAGGTTGACAGAACCGGAAGCGGCCTCTCCTCGCAGCACCCATTGAATACCGCGAGACTCTAGGTCGGTCTCGATGCTCCTTATCATCCATGCCGTAAACTGCCTCCCATAACTACTTACATATTCCACCTTCAGTGGTACCAAACCTAACAGAGCGTCAACCACGAGAATGTTCTCCATGCCGCAATGGAGAGGAAATCTCTTGAAGACCTCATAGAAATTGAGCCCGTAGGCTCCAGAGTTGTCTATATGCAGCTCTTTCAAGTTGACACACTGTCCAAGGAACATCATATCCTCAGTGATGATTAAATCAGTCGTGAACTTGAGTCGTTTGATCGAGGCTGCAACAGGGATGAAATCCTCCAAAGGAGCATCCTCAACGTCGACAATGTCAAGCTCCAGGTTAAGCCAAACATAGCGCCGCTCACCGCCGTCTCGTATGTCTTCCAACTCGGAGAAGAGCTGTCGATAAACCCCCAGCTGACGAGCTTCGCGACAGACTTGCACGATTGCTGGGATCGGTGTAACAGAACTCACGTGACGCGATAGGACTTATAATCATGTCCTTCGTAGCTGATTTGTGTAGTTGTTCTCTCCAAAAAACCAACGTCAACGGTACGGGGTTCGGCGGTCAGCTCCCACACCCGAGCCCGGAGCTCAAACGGCAGGTACATGAACCGATGGAAACTGGTAGCAGCCATCTTGCTCGCTGTTACTCGATTACGTGGCGACTTTTCCCTGGTACTGACTCAGACAATCTGGTCAGCGCTTGTTACACCAGATCTAATTTGGAAATTGACGGCTGGAGGGAAAGTGAAATCGAACTGACTGGGTTGCGATACTTACCTGCTGTGGCTGACTGGATCAGAAATAGAAACTGGCCAGACGAAGGGGTCAGACAGCGAAAGCTTGCAACCGACACGCACTGGAGGAACTATCTCGTTTTTTTGTGCTGTTCTGGGGAGAGGAGAGGTGTAGCAGTCCGTCGCGCGGGATTAGATAAGTCCTTCAAGTGGGCGAGTGTCTGCCAGCCGCGGATCGGTTACTGTCGCGAAAGCCGATAGAGCGGGCAGCGACAAACCCAGAAGGAAAGAGGAATCGCGCCTGTCGCAGCAGATGGTGCCGAGGTGAGGAAGGTGTCGTCGCTAACGGCTACGCCAGAGACAAGACGTCGTGATGTGTCGCGCCTGCTGTTGTGCTACAAGAGTCGTACGAAACGGTGTTGGTTGAGCGCCGCGTTACGTGGAAGAAAGAGGGTGCGCGATTCGTGAAGCAAACAGGGAGAACTTTGAAGCGTCAAGTGGAAGAGGAGAAGGAAGATAATCAGAAGGTGGACGTACACCGGGTCCAGGTCCAAAGGCGGTCAAACAAGGGAAAAACTGAGGCAGAAATTCACCTGGTAGGCTGGAGTGAATGGGAGGGAAGGAGAAGTGAAGTGAAGGCGGAAGGAGTGAACCTACAAGGGCAACACGTCATCCGAAAAACTCGCCATTACCGTCACATCGTAGCTCTACTACGGGCAGCCCTCGAAGACACCCAGAAGACCTGTGTCGGACCGTCTACATTAGGGATTGGTTCATTCTTACGCTACCCGGTGGTTCACATAGCATTTCCATATATGTATATCGAGTATGTTCGACAGCAACAGTGTATGATGTTACTCTGAAGTGGTCATGAATAGTTGAAACCTTGATGTTTCCAAGTCTTCCTGACAGACCCAAAATGTTTGACGACGCCGCCTAGTACATGGTGGTCCCCCGTCCTGATACAGAAAAGTAATTTCGGCCACGTCGTGCCATCATCCCCCCGCTCATGCTCCTAACCAATTCGTTGAGTGCCACTTGGTTCCAGTATTCGTGGATGTTGAATCATCAGGACGAGAGCACTCTGTATCCTGGTAAGCAACACTTGCACGGCTCCTGCCATTTACTCAAGATAACTGCATGACCCTTCAAAAGTGACCGCTGAACACTCGTGATCTCGCTGTCTCGTATCCATCTAATATGTTGAGGATCATCATCGCCCACGGACTCATCCCATTGGCTCGTCAAGCCGTCCGCAGTCGTATTTACAACCAGTTTCTTCAGAGAGCGTGGCATATAGCCGCTGCATAATTGCTCTCTGGTTGTAGACTGCCGGTCAAGAAACGTTTCGTCCGAAACGGTGATCTCAAGCTCCTGCAAGTTTACAAACAATTGGTGAAGGGCAGCTCTCGCGCCACATGCACACGAGATCCAATCGATCTCAACCTTGAGGCGCCGGATCGATCGTGCCACATCCTGAAAATGGAATAGAGTGAGCCCGGTGAGAAAGCCCGCGTCGACCGTGTCGATATCCAAGTTCATCCAGACATATTGGCGCTCTTTGCCAGATCTGACGGTGTCCAACTCGGAAAAGACCTGCTGGTACAGTCTGTGTTTGTAACGGGCTTGGTAGCAGGTCTGTAGAACTGCCGGGACCGGCGTGCCCGTGACGAGTTTGTAAGCTGGGCCGCTGCCTTTGTTGTTAACGCATTTGGCGTGCATGACCTGTACTCTGCGAATCTTGACGATCCGAGGCTCGACACTATGTTTCCATATGCGATCTTGGATTTCCCAGGGAAGCTGAAGGAACTTGGAAAAGGTGTTGGCCATGATGCTTGTTGTTCGTGAAAAGATCTTGTGGGTAGCTATAGAAGATGACGACATGTTAACACTTGCAAAAGAGGAAGAAATGGAAGTTGAAAGTCAAATGGTTATCACAGGGACGAGCCAGTCCCACTGTCTGCTTGCACGGCGCTAACACATACCTTGTAGGATAATGCAGTAACTGGAATGTAGCTGATTGTGCCTATTCTCTTGTCGTGGAAGTGGTTGAGGCGACAAGATTGTGTGGAGCTTGATCGTGATAGCCGGCAGCCACAGACTGCGGAGGGAGATGAGTTGGCTTTTAGTTGTGCCTTCGCCGTCTTTGGTAAAGTTTCGAGACGAGTCAGATATGTGAAAGAGCCTGTCGGGTTTGATGATGGTCTGTGGTGATGGATGCTCTTTATCGTGATCTTGATTGGCCACAATATCGAAGAACTCTTGGGAAGTGGTGAAAACTTGGGAAGAAAATCACAGAGCAGTCTGGTCAGGTAAATATACTAGGTCAAGTGAAGGGCGACGTTGCTTTCATGCAGTTCAGGTAGGAATATAAATGAATTAATACAATATCCATACGCCGAAGCGATGCGGAAGTCCGATTTATTGATCATGTATCATGCCTAGACAGAGGGTGCCTTGCATCTCATCTGCTTCTCTGCTGCCGATCCACGTTTATTAATTTTTTTCCCTCTCACTCATGCCGCCATGTATAGTGACGTGTCTCGGGTCAAAGAGAAGTCCGAAGGACTCAGACAAAGACGTATATTAAGCTTCGACATATATCGATCATTTGTTATACTCGATGCCGGATGTACTTGATCGTCTTCCTATGTACGTACAGCCACAATGCACTCAGACACGTAAATCCCCTCTCGTAATCGCCATATGTTTCTTTCTCCGTTCGGAGTTGGAAATACGTTTTGTAATCATGCCTATTAAGCCGAACATGATAGGCGTGTTGGTTTCATCTGCCTTCCAAGGTGCGTCTTCAGGGCCAGCCAAGATAGCCCTCGCATACACTGAGAACAGACGTGATTACACATCTTAATCATAGACAGGTAAATCTTCATCCCACAGGTCGTCCCATAACTCATCCCAGTCAAAGCTGTCCAACGTAAGAATGTCCAGCATATCGTGTAGGATGATATTTTTCTGGCCACATGCAAGGGGGAACAGGCGAAAGGCCCATCGGAAATTCCAGATCTCGCCGTGAATATCAAGCTTCTTGAGCTTTACAAAGCCCTGAAGAATCTTGATCTCTCCAGGCAGAAGCCGCGGTATCTCGATGTCGAGCCGCTGAATAGAAGTTTGGATGCTTTCGTACCTAAAGTGGCGCAGTTCGGTCATCCCCGCCCGGATTGTATCATACTCCCAGTTGATCCAAACATATTTCCGCTGGAAGTCCGATGTGCCCGATGGGATTTCAGTGAATGCCTGTTTGTACACTCCCAGGTAGCGGGACTGCTTGCAAACTTGGAGTATCTCTGGTACCCTGTTCACCGAACGCAAATCTCTGCGAAGTGTCCCTTGTATCTGGTCGGAAACTACACGGACGTCAACCATGCGAGGCGCAACTGTGAACTCCCATATCATGGCACGAAGCTCCAAGGCAGGTAAGGGAATAGGTGAAACGTCTCTGTGGTGGACATGTTGCCGGCAGGGGTTGGGGGCAGCTGTCGCCGTGTGCTCTGAGATCTCAAGGTAGGTAGTTGCTGGTAGCTGAAGATGGCAACGTTGTCAGAACTTGGATCAAAGTCAGGATGGAGAGTAGGCACGGATGAAGGTCAGAAATAATTACCTATGTGACCAGTGCAGATCTGGACGGAAGAATTACTGGTATCGATGCTGCATGCGCCCTTTATGCACTGCGCTAGAACGAGACGCTGACAGCGGCGTCTTGCCGTCACCCTGTCTCGAGGCTCTCCAGGCCTGGAAAGATATTGAACACGTAGCTTCTTCCTGGAAACCCGTATTTCTGGGGACAACGCCGACCGCAGACAAATGGGTGCCCACAACGAAGCAATCCAGTTGCCACGAAGGACTATAGTTGGCAAGATGGCAAGGTCGAGAATGCGAGATGTCGTCCTGGCCTCGATGTCTTTCTACTTCGCGCTCTTCCGTACAGTAGTCCAACTGTGTCGATTGCTGAGCACGTATCAAACCGACCTGGAATCCCCTTCAGGCGGGGAAGCGAATGATAGTTTCGCGTCGATGGCCAAAGCTGGATGATGAGAGAAGCTGGGTTGTTGCTTTGGAGGAGATGGTTGAGTCCGCAACAACAAATGTCGCAAGACACGATGGACAGGGTTGAGTGTAGCGCACCAGCAAAGAGGTGAGAAAATTGTGCAGGAAATAGCGCAAAGTATGGGAGTGGTGGGTGGATTAAATAGAACTAGAAAAGAAAAGGTGAAGGGTCACTGAAGGTTTTCTGGCCTAATGAAGGGAAGAATCTAGTGAATGCAAGGCAGAGTAAGGGGAGGCCTCTCCTACCAAGGTTCATCCCGAGGGAGAGAGTTGACGATGTCGCCAGCTATTCCCCAGGTTACCTATCCGGACCTTACATACCTGCAAATCTCTCGAGAGGAGGAAGGTTGGGTGGTCAAGGCGCATATCGATGGATATCTAACTCGCGGCGTTCGTTTTCGTGATTCTTCAAGAAACACACAGACTTGTCCCTTGCTCGCGTGAAGACAGCAGCCGCTTAAACGATCAACTTGTCGATTTTCCAGGTCTACCATTCTGATATTTGAAGTATAGGGGATAAAAAGCAGAAGCTTTCAGGAGCCACGGAAAAATCGCGGAGTGATTTCGATAGACCATTCCTGATGCGGGTCGTCAAGGGCTTTGTCAATCAGATCATCGTAGTCGCCGTACATGTTCTGATAGCCATCTGGATCATCCCAAACCGTGAGTTCAATCTCGCAGTCAATCAGGCAACCTCGGAAGGCTCGATGCCAACTGGTCGCCCCAGATTTACAGATTATGGTAATCAGCTTGAGGTTTACACAACGTTTGAGATCTTCAACCTCCCAGTCATGCAGTTTGTCTCTCACGAAGTGTAGGTATTGGATGGATGTCTGAATAGCCTCATACCTATAATGGTACAAAGGCGTTTTCCCAATCTGGATGTTATCACAGTCCCAGTTGATCCAAACATAGCTTCGCTCGTTTGCCCCTATCCGGAAAGGAATTTCCGAGAAGGCTTGCTGGTAGGCCCCCGAGTAACGAGCCTCTCTGCAGGTGTGGAGGATCTCAGGAGTTGTAGTTTGCGAGAAAAGGTGGACAGAAAACCGGCCTTCTGGTCCCTGTCCAGATTTGACGCGGACATCAACTTCGCGCCAATTGTCCGGCGACTGCTCCCAAACTTGTAGACGAAGCTCAGCCGGCAGCCGCGGAAATGGCTGGAAGGTGCGCCCCCAGTAATCCATCGTATCTGCTGGGTTCTCGAAGGTTGTTCACGCCTAGAAGACATGGCGTCGTTAGAAATCGTCCAAGAACATGGAGTAGAAGTACAAGGGAAGTGTACTTACATGCGACAATGCAGGTAGGAGCTATTCTGTATGCTCCGCTATTGTACTGCGTTTGAAGAAGAGTTTGAATGTGGACACGTCTACCGCCGCCTTATCTGGGGATATGCAGGACGGAGCTGACGAGGACGAGAATGGTGTTGTCTCGGCGGGCCAAAGGTTGATGACACGAGAGTCTGGTTCTTACTCCGAGGGGCGTAGTTGATTGCGCGGCATCAAATGGCAGCAGAATAGGTTGCGGACTGGAGAGAGGTCGAGTCGGTGCCACGAGAACGACGCGTCTCCCATCCCAACATGCATTCCTCTGCAGCCGCTCCTTCCGCATCCACTTCACGTGCTGTAATTATTCTGCCTACCTAGGTAGTTAATCTTGACCGCCTTGTGTCAGGCAACCCCGCGCGCACACGTAGGAAGTGAAAACTGACTCGGAAGTAGGTTCGTTTCCGTCCTCTACCTCTGGTCTTTTCCCGGCCACTCAAGCCGTCCCTATCACTCCTTCTCTTCCATATCGCCGGGCTTGCAGAACGAAGCCTCATCTTCAGGAAGCAGCATTCCTTTGCTTCGGAGCATATCTGGGCAGGTCGAGACGGTTCTCTATTTCCCCAGTGCTTCCTCCAGAAGGAGCTCTGGTCTCTCAAGTGAACCGTATGTGCCCGAATCATCAACTCAGCTTCAAATTGCACGAAAACGGCATTCATCTTGGGCCTCAAACTAATACCTCACGCGTAGATCATCTCTATCTCGTCACAGCCACGCCACTACTTTTGTTTCCTGCGCGACACTTGAACACACTTGTCGAGTGTTGCGGGTCGCAACCACAGCCCCTTCGACCCTGGAGGGGTCCTTCCCAAGACCAGTTTCCTTATAGAGAAAAGCTATTGGCTTCCGCATCAACGACGCTCACAAAGAAGATTGTACCTGCGGTGCATTCTGGTCATTCCTGCGGCTCAGTCTACGTTCAAGTAAGTGCCAATGACATCCAAGCCTCCCTCAAGTCGGGGCCCGCAAGTTGCTGATGATATTATATTTATAGGAAACCGACAGATAACAAACCACTTCAACAATGGCCACGGCTTTTCACTATTTCCCTTACCTCCCCTGGGAGCTGCGTGCTCGAGTCTGGGAACTTTCTGCTGAGCCCCGCGTAGTCCACGTTCGCACGGTGGAGTCTGGAAACCCGTTGTCGGATGCGTCCGACGGAAAGAAGGAGTACAAGACGGTTTTTTCCAGTAACCCCATACCAGCAATGCTCCAGGCGTGTCGCGAGTCACGTAACCTTGGAGTATACCGACAGTGCTTTTCCGAGGGCCAACGCATCCTCGAATTCGCCCCGAAAACCACCCGGATTCGATACGTCTGGTTGAACCTCGATCTTGACCTAATCGATATTGGGAAGCGGGACCTTCGCGATCTGAAGTTCGTTGCCCCAACTATCAAGCGGCTCAAGTTGGAGCGCGACATGTTTGGCTACGAAGACGCCATAGCTTTGTATGATTTTGAGAACTTGGAAGAAGTTCACATTGTTTGCCCAAGTGAGCGCATTTTGCAACGCTCCGGTTGCGTCATCATGTCATTTTACCATGGCCGCTTGGACAGAAAACGCATTACCTTGGTCGACAAAGCCAATGATCACACCACGACTCTGTTTGAATGGAATCGGGAAGCTGAAGAACGCTTCGAGCCGCACCGAGAGGAGTGGGAGGTTGGATTCAAAGGAGACAAACCCTGGTGCTCAACTGCCCACATCTACTACGCTATTATGTACACGTATATTAAGACTCCAGATAGCCGAAGGCTGTGATTTTTGAAGGATGTTGAGAAAAAGAACGCATAGATCAAGTTCACCTTCACGGAATGTATACGAGGGGGGGGGGGGGGGGGGGGAACCGGCAGCTATGTCGTGACTGGAATACCCAGAGATGACAATCCTCGACTGCAGGAGCAATATACCGGATTTCCTGCGTCGCGATAGGGTTGATTCACGAATCTGAAGCCACTTCCGTTGTATCTAGTATTCGTTCTGCGGCAATGGAACGGACAAAACCCATACCTTTCTAGGATGCGGGATAGTCGAATCTTCATGACTTTGAGACGCGTCTTGCCTCCTACGTTGACTCACTCCGCCCCCTCATCTGCTCGGCCCTTTGGTGTCGGACATCGATCCGTGGCATGCAGTAACAATTCCTGCATTGCATCGACTTCGATGATCTAGACACGTTTCCCCAAGCCATCCATGTATATAACGGCGTACATAGGTACTCAACTGCCATTTTCTCCTTTTCTTTTCTTTTCTTTTTCAGGTAATCTCAAGCATTCTTATTCCATCTTGTCATCAACCATTGTGATATCGCATGCTTAATGAACCGCGACACAAGGAGATGATGCTCTGCACCCCGTCTGTTACGGTGGGAGAGCTCGTTCCCACCCATGCGAAGCATCAAATTGATGCAGATAGTTTGAAGGGGTTCATTACTCATTCCGAGCCCTTTTTCTCCCAGCGTAATCTCAACCTCCATGTTCTCCATTTTCTTCAGTTACAACTTATACCTGTGCCCCGGACCCCGGGCCCCCGGGCGTCGGTGTCTTGAGAGTAGTCGCTCAGGGTAATTTCTGCGGCATGCGCCTCGCACGATGGCCCCTCTTTATTCACGAGTATCATTATCGACGTAGACAGTCACCTTTTCAGTTTTCCCAGAAACAACTTGCTATGCCGCCCGTTTGTGTTTGGAACTACCTGCGACCGTTCTTTTGAATAGCATTCATGGTCAAAGTCACAGCACGACAGTGCAAGAACTTTTCTCTTTTTGTTTGTCTATGATCTCAAGTTCATCTTATCCAAGAACATGAAGAGAATTTGTAGCGGAAATAAGAGTGATCATAAATATCTAAAAGGCGGACATTGGTGGGTGGGTTATGGGCTCTCCCTACACAACAGTCGGGTGCAAAGCATCACCGTAACAAATTTCGCCAGAAAAGATTTAGTGAACTTGCTGGATACTACTGTAAAGAGAGTGGTCAAAAACACTGGGAGACAGACAGATTGTACGAGCAAGTCTTGAGGGAAAAAAAGAAAGGAAAAAAGGGCATGAAGTCTCTCAGTTGCTGCTCAACTATTCTGTGGCTGTCTGTGAGGAAGGTCTACTCGCAATCTTCATCTGGACATTGATGGTTGCAATTCGCGAATGATTCATGTGAAATCGTGATACATTGTGATAGCCAAGTAACCAAGACATTGTACGGATCTTTTGTCTATCAAGCTTCATGATGTGATTAAACGCCCCTAGACCCTGGGTCTTTCCGTCTACATGTTGTGAAGCCTAGAGGATTCCCTGACAGAAAAGCCTCCCATTCAATTTCCCCTTCTCAATTGTTGCCTTCCGTGTTCCGAACAATGTCGGTGACGTGCAGGAGGGTGGGCATCAATGAGTCAATGTCAAGTCCGGCAAACATCTCAGAAACTGGAACCGGATCAAGGTTTGCAAACTCTTCAAAATCCGCCTGTTCCCGACGCTGGATTTCCTCTTCCAGTTCCTGAGCAGTAATTGTGCTATTATTCTCCGACTGGATCAAGTGAATGTTTCTGAAATCGCACTTGAGCACGTAGGGGGCAAAGGTGTGGTACCATTCTCCCAGGCCATCTTCGTCGAAGCAATCTATGTGAGCCTCTGTCAAGTTCTCGAAAAGATTGAACACTGGAACATCGCGGTCGTGAAACTTTCGGCTGCTGTATTTCAGCCGCTTGACAGGCTGTGCAGCCCTACGGTAGTTGAAGAGGTCGTCTCGTCCATAGTCGATCATGTCAATGTCAAAGTTCAGCCAAATGTAACGGCTCTCGCCGCCCTCTGGAACAACTTCAACCTCAGAAAGGCCCTTTTGATACAGTCCGAGATTGCGCGACTCGCGGCAAGTTTGTAGTGTTGCTGGCACGGGCGTGGTCGAGACCAGCCGCGCGTATGCTTGCTGGCCAGAAGGAGCCGTCTCTATGTTTTCCTTCGTTTCAAGGTAGTATCTTTTTGCGTGGACGTCGACTGTCCGAGGCTCAACCGTCAGTTCCCAAATGCGAGCACGCAGCTCCCAGGGGAGAAAAGGGAAAAGGTGGAAAGTCGTAGCCATGGTATCGGTCGTAACTCGTCTTCTCCGGTTTGGGGACAATTGTAGATGTCTGGCAAAACAATCGGTGTCAGCACCTGCGAGACAAGTAACGTGGAAAGAGCAAAGGTAGCAAAAGGCTAGGGTATGAGTTGCTGGGTGAATGGGGGGCGAATGGCACTTACCTGTATGTAAAGCGAGCCGCGTGCAGGAACCTACATGTACTGCAGGTAAGTTCTTGTACGTGCCGCCGTCGTGGAAGTCAACGACTTCTTTCGCAAAACTGGTCTTCCGGAACAAACTTGACGATCGAAGGAGGCCCGTCGCCGCGACTCGTATTACTCAACGAGTACGTACCAGCGACAAGACAGGCGGAAGCAAAGCGTGGCGTGGCGTTGGGGTAATCAAAGGGCGAATGTGCTGAGGGGCTTGTGGTTTGGGTGCGGACTGAGACCGAGGCGAGTGAGCGCCGGCCGTATATGGCTTGCTTGAATGATCACGGCTGTTTGGCTGAGATGTGCTGAAGCGATAGAGGATATCTTCAGTCGGGTGGAGATGCCCCAGAGTGCAAGGTTGTGACTTCAAAAGGTTGAGCTTAAAGCCATGTGTGTTCGAGATTTGGTTGTTGAAATGTGTAAGGAGGGGGAGCGGAAACCAGAGGAGCCTAAAATACTGAAAGAAAGTGCCGGTGAATGGGAAGCCCGAGGCACGGACTTCCAAGAGATGGAAAATTCCAGGTGTGTGATGTGTCGAAGGTCAGATGATCAACATTGAGAAGTGAAGGTTCGAAAAAGCGGTTGCTGAACCACAGTCTCATTCACCAGATGTACACCATGAGGGTTGCCTCAAGGCGGTCAACATCCAACCTGGCACAAAGACTGTAACAAGGTGAAATGAAGTGAAGTGAAGCGGAAAGAGCATCTGTGCAGGGCAACACGCTAGAAAGGCCCCGTCGTCGTTGCCGTTTGACCACCATGTGGGGTGTCTTGACGGGATGGAATCCGACTGAGTCCCGGTCCGGATCCCGGCGCAGCGAGGTTTTGCCGTTTGTTATGACCGGCTGCTCACATCGAAATCACAGCACAACAGTATGTAGTTTCCAAGCTTGGAGGTCTTCAAGGAGACGGATGGAGGCATAAGAAGAGGCTTTTGTGGCGTATTACACCCTGGTCATTGTTGAACGCTCCAAACGAAAACTCTAAGGAAGCTAATAAGAGCTCTATATTTCCCCTGTTCAACCTATGGCCGAAGAACCAGACTAACCAACATTCTAGTATTATATCGTACAACCACAGGATTCTTTCCGTGCGTCCCTCACCTCAAGTCAGCTTTGATACAATCCAGCCCTGGTTTGTTGGTTAGTTTGGTAAAAGAAAAGCCAGAGAATGCCAGACTTGGGAAATCGACCAAAATCCTCGCGGATAGATGTTGTAGAATAGTATTCGTTTTGGGCGAAAAAAAAAAAAGAAAAAGAAAAAAAAAGAAAAAAAAGATCGACCTTGCCGCTGTGAACTGAAGCGCTGAGGTGCCCTCATTCGAGAAAGGCAGGAAATGCCATTCCGAATCTCGACCTGTCTATTTCTGCGCTGAATCTTCCAGTTCTGCATCGAAAACATGCCATTTTATCCGGCTAGCTTCAGGCAAGAGATCATAGAGGCTAGCAGGTCCCAGCCGGAAGAGTCCAGCAGTGAGAATAGCTCCGACAACGAAAACGGCGGACATCCATGATCTGTCTCAGCGTCGAGGGCTGCCTTGATAACATATTATGAAGAGGACGGAGAGGGGCTTCTGTAACCTTTGTGAGTCCTGGTCATTATCGAAACTCTACGAACGGGAACGAGTTGTTCCTTTTTCCAGGACCCATAAGTCTCTAGATTGACCTTATTCTACCCATGCTTTGTCCTTTCAGAAGAACCAAACGAACAAACAAACCAGTCCTGTATTGTACAATGTGGATTTCTTTGTTGGTCAGTATCCTTGGGTCTACACCACTAGACGTTGTCGTAGCTAATTCATGAGTTTGTTTTCATCAGTAGAACATACAATTCTCATCGTTAATATTTGTGATCTTGATATTCATATGTCATATAGCATCTTCTTAATGCAGTTCCGATCTGTTGCCCCTTGAGCACCTGTAGGGAGAGTGTGGCTAGATCATTTCCATTCCAAAACAAGTGTCTTGCGGTGCGTAAATCATCATTGATTTTGACTCGTTCCGGCGAAATCACCATGCCTATCCCAAATATCTTATATATACAGAAGAATCGAAGAAAAAAAAAAGAACATACAAACTGAAGATGCTTGACGCGATGGCCATGATGACGTTAAAATATTGTTGCAAAACAACCTAGAAAGTTTGACCGGCACCACCGCTTCCGGAACAAGATGCGGCTCATAGACCCAAAACACAAGCCAGCCCATATATCCATAACAGCCATTGGTAGTTGACCTCATTCACCCCTGACGCCACGCTTTCCGAAGATTCAGAACTCGTCTTTGGACTCTCATTTCCAGCCGGAGGAGTCTCATCACTCGACGTCTGTTACGACGACGATGAAAAAGTCCTCACAGTCTTGATATCACCCCCCTTCAGAGGCGGGTTCGCCTGATCAATCAAGATTCCCTGAATCGTCTCCAACGCACTCATCTGCTCTCCCAACCCGGCATCTCCATAGAACCCATCGACATACCACTTCGTTCCGCACATGGTTCCCTGAGAACCACCCTGGCACCCCTGGGCAGCAGCCTTGGCCGAGGTGTGCAGCAAACGATCGACTGTAGGCTTGATGGAGGGGACCATAATCTTGGAGGCGTAGACGAACCGGGAGAAGTACCCCTTGAAGGAGCGCATGTCCGTGTTGCAAATGTCAATGTGCTCGCAGGCGTGCTCATACATGACGTCGGTGGAGTTCTTGACGTCGCCGAAGGGGGTGAAATAGTTTTGCGAGCTCTCGAGGAGTCTCTTGGTGCGGTCGGTCCATTTATCCTGGTCGGCACCGGTGCTGATGTTGGCCATGACCGCGGCGCCGTAGGTGTAAATTCCCTGGCTGTAGGAGAAGGAGGGCGTGTGGGCGGCGCTGACGTCGGAGCAGTTCTTGGCGGAGCTAGCACCGTCGAGGACCTGGTAGTATTCGTTAATTATACCAGTTCCCTGGGTCCAGTCCCACACCTTGTTTGCCCACTCGACGTAGGTCTGGTTGCCAGTAATGCGAGCTAGACGTGCCGAGAGCTGGAAAAATCCGCCGTTGCTGACTGCGTTCTTGTAGTCAAGGCCGTTAGGGTTCGAGGCAAAGATTTGCCAACGAAGGCCACCGTTGCAGGTCGAAGTATCCCATCGCGAGGCAAGTGATTTCCAGATGTTTTCGCCAAGTTCGAGGTACCCCGGGATGTCAGATCGGGGCTGAGGAAAGTTACGCTCGGCAGCAGCGAGAACGGTGAAACCCCAAAAGGCCTGGTCATCGTTTCCTTCTTGGCCCGCATGAGCTGGGGACATAAAGTCGAAGTCGGGGCCGGCTTGGGCGACAATAGCAGTTGCAATCTTCTTGTCGTAGGTGTGGTCGCCAGTATAGTGGGAGTAGTCGAGCATGCTACCCATCATGGCACCACATTGCCACCAGTAGTAGGGGGCATCGAGATCAACAAACTGGTCGTCCGTGCCCTTGTAGAAAGACATGGTGTTTTGGGCAATGGTTTTGGCGACACTTTGGACCGAAGCTGGGATTATTTGTGTTAGTGCCCGGTGACGGGGTACAACCTGGCCAGGTAAGTCGACTTACTAGGGCTGCTGATATCCAGGGATGTGGGGATGCCAGCCGAGATCAAGGAGATGGCCGCTGCCGCGGGCTTTACTGACTTGACGAACCTCATTGCGATGGTTTGGTGTATACTGTTAAATCCTTGAAAATCTTGTTCGTCTGTTGTTCTTCCGCTAATGTCGTATATTTCCAGTACCGCACTTGATCGTCCAGCGAATGTTGAGTGTGATCAGGTCGTAAATGAAGGTAGGCAAACGTGAGCTGCAGGTTACTCAGTGGCGTCTATATGGACTGTCGATTTTCGAAAAGGAAAGCAGATGAAGCACAGTCAAGGCTTCGCGTTGAAGAAGAGAAGGACAGAAGATGAAGGATCGTATTGGAAGTGGTCAACACTATTGTCGGCTTCAAGGCTTATTGCAAGCAACAGCACGATGATGAAGAAAGGAAACAAGACAACACAGAACACGGACAATGGTACCGGCAAGAAGATGGACAGGACGGATGGGCATGTTGGGCTGGGCCACCGTGAGCTTTATTGACCAGACACCACCACAATAGGAACCTCATGGTGGTGGAGCCCCACCCCAGGATCCGAGCATAGGATGAAAGGGGCAGGCTGAGCTCCAGCCCATGCAGGCGACTGACTTTAGCCTCAAGGATGTTCCAAGGGTGCCACGGTGATCCGGACCCCACCCGGTATGCAAGAAGGAGGGGGATCGGGGCACGGGGATGGGGGACATGGCAACCTCAGTGGTCAATGCCGGAGAAAGGACGGACGGGATGAACACTGCAGAGACTGAGTGGGCTTGCATGGTGTGAATTGTGAACACCTCGTGGAAGCGAAGGACGTAGGAGATGGAAAAACGGGGACTGACGGGTGTTCTCCCGTCCTCTCCATCTCGTCCTCATGCGTGGTGCTGTCTCCTGCTGTGTGCTCTGGACCACTGAGTCCGTCGTGGTAATCGACAAACACATCGGTTCCTTCCGTTGATGGAAACAAGACGGGAGGGCCAATCGAGGAGTTCCAGATCATTGTGGATTGCTTGCTTTACACTACACTAGTGTACACCACTAGCTTGACGCATCGAATGGAGGCATTCAGGTACCATTGCAAGCGGATTCGCTCCAGGTGCCTCGAGCCTTTCTTATTTTGGGTGTAGCTTTGTTTCGTTTCCCCAAGTTTTGCAGGCATCACCCTAGGTGTTTTGCGCTGTACCGCACACTGACGGGGATCGGCAAAAAAAAAAAAAAAAAAACGATCTGTGTTTTGGATGGATGGATGGATGGGCGGCTGTTCGATGGAGGCGTGGAGTGTGGAAGGAAGGGGGGCGACTGGAGGCGTTGTGGTCGTGATTGTCGCAAGGAAAGTGTTGACGGCGGGAATTGTTTCCATTTCCAGTTCCATCAAACGACGATCGATGATGGACACTCACTGACAAGGAAGGAACCTTGAAGCAAGAGCGAGGGGCAACAACAACCAGTCGATCTGTCCGTGCTGATCAGCGTCATATCACTCGCTCGTAGTGTACTTATGTACCTTACACTTGTGCCGCCGGGGACTGTCTTCCATGGATTCTACCAGAAGCCAACTTGCTATGTGTGAGGTTTCGTACCTCTGATTGCCATTCATTGTGTCCCTTCCTTCTCTTTTGTGATATCAAACCCCAGATGATCAAAAGAAGTGAAATACTGCGGTCCACAAAGAACTTGAACCCTGGCAAGCAAGATTTGCGGTTAATGTTTGCCAGGGGCAGGCAACACGAACAAAGCAAGTTGGTTGTGCAGGCAGCTGTGCATTTGGCAGTTGGAGCAGTCTGACACTCCTCGGGTGCCCCGCTCCTTCTTTTTGGTTGAAGAATTGAGGTACGCCCGACAGGGTCAATGATTGGTGGGACCGTCAGGTTGTCCCCGTTGAGGCTAGTGTAGAAACATGAAACACGAGGGAAGGGCATTGCATTGATTGGTCGAGGATGCTCGAATACGACACTGGCGACCGTCCCCCGTCCACCTTCTCTTTTCGCTTGCGAGTTGAATTCTCGTGAGCGGTTACCACTTGCCAACAGCCGCGCGACTGTTTACGAGTGAGACTTGACTATGTACTATTTTGGTAGATCTACACCGTCCGGTTAGGACTGGCTGCGAGCGCGGTTGCGGTTGTGGTTGCGGTTGCGGTTGCGGATATGCGGTTGATAAACCACCTCAGCTAACCATTGTGTTTAGCTGGCGTTACTTTCGACTTCCATTGGTGATGGCTGGCTTGAGACATCTCTTGTACTCATTTCACTCCCACCAGGAAAAAGAAAAGATGGGACCCGGTGTCAAACGAAAAAGTACTTGCTAACCAAAATCATAAACTGTCCCTGCTGTTCTGGAGGTTCTTCTCGGGTGCAGCTGAGCTAGCTGAGCCAGCTGACCTGTTTGCTTACATGAACAGCTTGGGGATTTCTCACAAAGTTGAATATCAAATCAGCTTGAGATATGATATTAAACCTGTGCTCGACCAGCTCACTCGTCGACCCTCGCACACCCGTTTTGTGATCCCGACGGGAAGGTCTTGCGTTCTGTCAAACCCAGATATGGGACAGCCAGGCACCGTGCCGCACACACGGGAACAAAGTACGGTAAGATCCAAGTTCCAAGCCTGAATTCATCGCTGCCCGGGTAACAAGTCAGCATTTCGTTCGATGAAACCACGATAAGACATCAAGAATACAAAGGCAACTATATCTTTGAACACTTGAGTGTCTGGAGGTAACCCAGACTCGCGTCACGAAGCTATCAACCGTCAACCACAACCTCAACTTGATCCGTTACAGCAACCGACAAACATCTTCTATTCGGTGCCTGAAATATTCTTCTCTACTTCCAAATCATAGATAGCGTCCTGGGCTCGGCCAGCAGATGCTTTAGCTCGCCTCCTCCTGCCCCCCACAAATTCCATGCCATGCCAACGCTGCAATGTCATATTCCAACAGGAAGAGCTCAAACTTGAAAGAAACGAAGCGGTATATCCTTCAATCAGTCCCCGTCCCAACGCCCGCACCAATGCCAAAAAAAAAAAAAAAGTGCAAAGACAAGAAAAAGAAAACCCGACCCTCAATGCGTTTGATCTGCGGCAAACATTTTAAAGCATCAACATCCCTCCAACCAGGCCCGCCACAGCAACCCCCAAACGACCCATCATCTCCACCGTCCAGCCCTTAGCAGCGCTACTCTTGGGGATACCCGTCGGGGCGAATAGTCCTTCGCTTCCCAAACCGCCGTAAGGATCTCCGCTTGTCGCCGACGCCACCGCCGTGCCGTCAATGTCCGTAGTGCCAACATGGGGGCCGGGCGTGGCCAGCGTCAAGGCCACCCAGGTGATGTTGGAGCTGCTGTAAGTCTTTGTCCAAGTCGACGTCGCGGGACCTGTGACGGTGCCTATGATGTAGTGCGAACCAACTGTGGAGGTGCCGGCGCACACGGCGGCGGAAGTGACATTGAAGCTGCAATGTATCTCTTGTGTGCTGTCAAGGGGGAGAGGGAGTGTTAGTCATTATTTGGAGGGTACAGGATCGATGGCAGACAAGGAGAGGAAGGAAAAGAAGTGCAATAAAAAGTAAAGTGGACAAAGACGTTGACATACAAGGTTGGCTCTGCTACCCCTGTATACTTGAAGGACCTGGGGCCTTCTGTAAATACAAAGGGTGCATCGGCGGACAGGAAGCAGCTTGGCTGTCCTTCGGCGCAAAAGATGGTGTAGGCGGTCATGGATTCATCCTGTATTGCGACAACGACTTGCATTAGAGGCGACGATCAGAAGACGTAGTGGAGATTGGAGCATGATGAACCCGGACGGCGGAAGTACACGAGCGGAAACGTGAACCATAGGTCTGATGATAGAGGACTAAAGGGAAAACCTACACGGCTGACGATGCTGCCCCTCAACTGCTCCCAATCTTCCTTCATATACCCAGGAACCCAGATAGAGACGGTGGTGGGCTCGGCAGCCGGCTTGGCGACGGATGTGATGATATCGGACCCGGAAATAGAGGCGGGAACGGAGCCGGAGCCAGAGCCGGAGGAGGACCCGTGTTTGTGGTTATCGGCGGTAGTGGTACTCATCGGAGTTGCGATATCCAACGGGGCTGCGGACGCTACGGCCGCCGATGCTGCGCTTGTCGCGGTGATCAAGGACTCGCCATTGACACCGATGGGACCACCAACAAGTGCTGTGCCGATCGCACAGAGCAATACAAGTTTGGCGGCTACTACAGCCAGAGAAGGCCGTCTTCCGACGACATTCTGACTGTAACCCCGCGATGGTTGTGCTGGTGCGTGTGCTGGTGCTGCTGCTGCTAAGCCGGTGGCCATGCGTTGCAGAGATGACAGGCGCATTCTCCTTTTTTTTTTTTTCCTCGTTTGTTCTCTGCAGTGTCTGTCTGTCTGTGCTCTGTGCTGCTGACTGACTGACTATGTCGGGTTCCCTCTTCCCTCTTCTCTTGCTCACCGAGTCAGGCCGTGCGATCGCGAACTGGGTTGTTCTTCTCCTTCCAATGGTATTACCGTCAACATTTCACAGCGAAAGAAAAAAAAAAAAAACAATTTGAAGGAGGGGGAAGGCGATGACAAAAAGGAATGGAAAGAGAAATAAAGAAAATGGAACCAAGGGAAAGGGGGGAATCCCGCATCAGGGAATTGGATTGCCCGCAAAAGCGCCCGGAACCCGCTCGCGATCGCCATCCAAGCCCAACCAAGACTCGTCGGTGGGTGCGTTGTTTGGCCTTGGCGTGCTTGGCGGGAGCGGGCTGGATGCTCTGGGCGGCGCTGAACATTCGCTGGAACGGCAGTAACGGCGCCCGCTGGCTGCCGTGAGGTGGCTGCAGGGCAGCTTGTGCACTCTCACTGACCACAGCAGGCACGTGTACCTCTAGATAGGTAGCTACGATACTGTACTTATCAAGTGCGTGAGCCGAGACATGCATACGGGTTTGGTGTATAGTCGCCCTTTTCTTTTCTTTTCTTTTTTTCTCATCCCTCTTATCTTCCCTTCCGGTTGAGGCTGTTTTGATTACAATATCGCGGGATCGCCACTCGTCAGTCAGACTACTCAAAAATGCGGTGCCGGTTTTAAACCTTGCCAAGACTCTTGGTTGGTGATGAAACCCGCAACTCGGCAAGGTGAACACGCGTTTTTTGCTAATTCAAGTCTTGGGCCTAGCATAGACTGCGACAGGGCAGTGCCGAACATGCGGTGTTAGGTGCCGTTGAGATCCGTCGCGCCCAGTGAGAAGAAGCATCGCTCGCTGTTTTACTTACACTACACTACCTAGTGTACCTAGTGATTGGACCTACCCGTACACTACCTGCCGTTAACTTTGGAAAGGTGGAGCCTGATCAAATTACCACCGCTCATTAATTTGGAACCAAGAAAGTGAAGGGTTTTTTTTTTTTCTGGCTCTTTCTCTCCGAACCCATCCTTGAGTGGAATCATGGCCGGTAGCCAACTAGTGTAATATCAAGGGTCTATAATAGGGCTTCGTCATCGCCAAGGTCCGCCGTCCGGTTTTAACTCGCACCACTCCTGACAAGGTCCATCTGTCGTCGAGTGTCCCCGTCGCCGCCCCCCCCCCCCGACTCGAGCACCGACGTCGATGGCGTTCATCCCGTTCTGTTTTCGGAATAGCGTCCGCCAGCCCTACCCGGCCGGATTCGAGCCCGCTAGTGCCAAACTGCCGGGACGGCACTGCCGGCATCACACCTACCAAACTCGGTTGATTTAAGAGCAGGATTAACGGCCTCCGATTGTCACAATCGCCTTCGCCGTCAGTTCACGCCACGGCGTTTGTTGTGTCTCCTGCAGTACAATATATAGCATCAAGTCGTCTCTACATCTCTGGCTTTGGTTCACTTTAGAGCCCCAATATCAAGGCTATTTATCAGCACCGTACCAGCCATATAGCTGACATGAGCCACTCAGAGATAAGGGAAGTAGGGAACCCGAATGAGACACTCCGCAATATCCGTTGAGGTAGCGGTCAGACATTCACCAGACTTTTCACCGGTCGATTAACCGCGGGACCAGATACCGAAACCCGATTAGCGCTAATATTTCTAGGGCTTTATCGACGGGGCTAAAGCTGTCGAAACACACTTCGATCTTGGCTTTTGCCGGAGTAAGATGCCGCCATTTCCACTCTCAAGTCACTGGTCGAGATGATCACAGTCATCCCGAATGATTTTAGTAACAGAAAAGGACCCCCTGGACCCCAGTTCCAGTGGCAAAAGTGTTGGTGTAACCTCACCAACAAGCCCTTTCGAAATCTCGGACAAGACGCAGCAACAACCCTATAAAGCACAGACACTGAAAGCCCCTTTCAACAATACCGCCTCAACAGTTGTAGATATGGAAGCTTCTACATGACACAATCTCGTGCTCAAGCTACCGCACGGATACCGAGATAAGAGGCATAGACTATGTCTTGGGTCCAAGTCCATTGGGTGTAAACAGGTTTTAATCCTCTTGGTGAGTATCCAGGGAAAAAGTGCCTTTCTCAGACTCTACACTAGGTACGCATAAATTCCAAGAGAACGGAAGGCCGTCACAAAGTACGTATGTGCTATGCGATTTCAAGAATAAAGCATCGGCAAGGGGACAATGAAGCTAGGTACCGCAAGACAGCTGCTGCCAGCGAAGAACCAGTCTTTGCTTTTTATGTTCATGCATTTCATACCTCTATACGTGCTTCTGAAGTTTGACTCTTTCCGCTCGCAACCAAATTCCGGCAGAAGATCGTCTGGAGGTCCAAGAAGGAAAACGGAAAAAAATAACAGCACGGTCACAACCCTCACGTGGCTCAATAGGCAGACATTGTGGCTTTGACAGCGGTTTTGTCGAAACGCCGATACAGGTAAGATACAGACATGCCAAGGATATACTTTTACTTCATCCCCTTAACATCGTGATGTCCAACATTCAATCACAACTTAACGGACAGCGTCGAAGAGCTCGTTCCCCTCTCCGGACTAATACTACTCCTACAATCTCACTATCCACAATCCTGATCACTACCATAACACGCCTTCCATCTCCACTGATTCAATCTCCAACTCCACCACACCCACTAGTACCATCAACTCCTCAACAACAACAGTCATCACCCTCTAGCAATTGGGTGGGAGGAAGGGGCTCGTTTGGGGCAAGGGCAATATCCTAACGAAAACGTCAAGATGTGTGTGGTTGGAAGGGTGAAGGGAGGAACCACAAGGGCGTGAAGAGGGTGAGGGACAGTGGCATAACTGTAAGGGTATCATATTCCACACCTTCTTCTAACAACCATGCCGCAACGCTAAACGAACTACAAGATTTTAATCATTATCATCATCCTCATCGTCATCAACCGCCTCGATCGCCCCTACCACCCCCTCCTCCCCCACCACCACCAAATGAACCACCGCCAAAAGATCCCGCCCCTCCAAATGACCCAAACCTGGATCCAGCTCCTCCAGCTCCTCCAGCTGCCCCAGCTCCCCCACCGCCGTACGACCCGAACCTCGATCCACCGCCGTAAGAACCTCCAGCCCCAAGGGACCCAAACCTAGACCCAGCACCAACACCAGCACCAGCACCAGCACCAGCACCCCCAGCCCCAAAAGATCCGAATCGATTTGTAGATACCGAAGCCCCATATGACACAGACGCAGCACCAAAGCCGAAGCCAGTTACTCCCACCGGCCCTCCTCCTCCCGCATCAGCACCATTGGCCGCACCACCGCCATCTCCGTCACCACCATCACCACCACCTGTTCCACCAGCACCAGCAGCACCTCCACCTCCATCGCCCATGGGCCCAGCCCCGGCCCCACTATAGCCATCGCCTTGGTAAGCACTGTTGGTTGTCATGTCATCAAAGCTCATGTTGTTGGGGTTGGTATCACGATCCGGATGCCACCGTCCCTATTTCGAAGCGGACGAAGGTCCTGCGCCGCCCGCGGTGCCGGTGGTGGTGATGCTAGGAGGGGTGATGTGGACTGGTCGGAGCATGTCTTCGCGGCCGTCGAGCCAGGAGGTACAGTTTACGCAGCGGATTGACTTTTGTTACATTTAGTTTCAGTTAGTGTGTGGTAATAGTTGAGGGATGGAGGGCAAGGAAGGGAGAGGGTAAGGGGCCGATATCGGAGGGAGACAAAAAAGGAGAAAAGAGGAGGGAGACCAACGTTAATGTTGATAAACTTGCAGCAGTATGGGCAAGGAACAGTCTTCTTGATGATGGGGTCCTTGGACATCCACTGGTAGATGGAGGCGATGCTGTAAAGCGAGAAGCCGACGCCCATAAAGTTGAGGAGGCGGTTCATGAAGAATCTGTGCGCTTTGTCGTTAATGTCTGAATCTGAATCATATATATTTATTCTCGGGGGTAGTGAAGTATGGAGCAAAAGTGATGACATACCCGTAAGCCATAACAACAGCACCATCCGCCTGCGCCTGCTTCAGGGTATTGTACCCTTCCTCCGGGTGGTTGGCTCCGGACCGGAGAACGGCGAATTTCTCCTCCAAGTTCTTGTTCAGTGGGAGAAGCACTGAGATGGGCGGGAGGACAATGTCGGAAACGAAGGAGGTGACGAGGGCTGTAAACATTGTGGCTAGGCTGTTGTTGTTGATTATATGTGAGCTTTCACTGTTGTCCATTCGCGGTTGCAGGTGGCAATCCTTACATCAAACCAAAAGCGATCTCGAGGACATTTCCCTGAAATGCGAACCCGACAAAGTCTTCCCAGAGACGCACAACCCTCCGGCGGTTACGGTTGAGGAGGTCATCTTCCTCATCGTAGACCTGATTGTCTTCAAGTCTTGGCATGGTGGTTGTGATTGCGTGATGTGGTGGTGAGGTGAGTATGGGGTACTCCCGAGATCCAAACCGATGATTTATGAGAAGGGGTTTAAAAAATGTCCAGCATTCAAAGAAGAAGACAAACGAGTTGAAGAGCGGCTCGAGTGAAGATGAAGATGAGACGATTCAGTTCCGTCCTGATCTCTGAAGGCGGGGAGTCGGACGAGATAAAGTATGAATGGAGACGGGCCGCAGGCACGCGATGTCCCAAAGCGGTATAGACAAGCGTCACTGACACTCGGCCGCCGCCGGGGCCAGGTCCTGACAACCTCAGCCGTCCGTTGGAAAGAACCAGGGAGACCAGCCAACTAATCTTGCATTTGCACTTGTTTCACGCTACCATCGAATCACACAGTCTTGCCGAGTTGCTGTTGATGGTTGGCCAATCTGTTACCATGGCCCCAACTCACCTATCTCTTGACTTTGGTATCACCGCCAAACCCGCTATCGTAGGACAACAAGTCATTCGGGTGGCAATTGAGGGGAACCTCAAAGAGCTCGCAGGGGGGAGGGACTAGTGTAGTTGACGATGGAGTCAGGTAATCCACTTTCTTTATGCACGACGACAAGGTGCAAGTTATAAAGTGGATATAGCTGGGGATCAGTAGACGGTCTTGCGGATCAAATCACCAACAACTCCAAAGGTGAAGAGACAACACAGCAATTCCGACCCTAAATACCATCAACCCCATGTATAAATCCTACAAGGCTCCCTGCTACTATGCGAAGCTAAGACATGTCATCAACCCGCTTACCTCTCGGCTTGATAAACTCCGAAAACTGATGCCCAAGGATGACCTATGCAGGTATTCGGGACGCATCGTGATCGGAGAAGGCCACACAACGCGGCTGCGGCGCGACAACGGCCTCATGCTCCAGGGCATGCATTGAGTCGCTTGCTAAATCATGTTGAATCAGATGCAGAACATAAAGATGATTCACATCTCGTGTCATTTTCCTCATAACCAAGAAAACAAAATAAAAGACAAAAAAGGGAAACCAAGCGCCGAAGCTATCAATACATATAGGGTATGCGTGAGTGGTATATACTAGCCAACAAACGAGGCACCTTTAGGGAAACCCCTAATTCAGACAAACGAAACCAGAAGCACCAACACGTTGTTTTATAGCTTGGATGGGACAGTGATGAAGGAGTTGCCCTTGCGAATAACGGCAACAGCGTCGTTGATGAACTCGTCAACGATCTGCTTGGCGTTCTTCTTCTCGTTGCACACGGCGGCGCACTGGCCCATGAGGAAGGGCTGGAAGTGGTCGAGGAGGTCATCGACATCAACCTCCTCGCTACCACTGTCGGCCTTGTAGGCATCCTTCATGGCCTGGGGGATATCGGCAGCGCCGGACATGAGCTTGTCGAGGTCAGCCTCATAGGGAAGCTTGCCCTTGGAGGTAAGCTCCTTGATTTCCTGGGCGCGCTCCGTCTCCCAGTTCTCAATGTAGGGGTTCTTGCGGACACGGAGGGGACGGCCGGTGAAGATGAGGGTGCGGATGGTGTCGGAGAAACTGGCGGTGCGGACCGCCTCCTTGTGGGCCTCGGAGGCACCAGCCTCCTCGCAGAGAACGAAGCGGGTACCAACCCAGACGGCGGAAGCGCCCATCATGAGGGCCGAGGCGAGAAGAGGACCGCTGTGGATACCACCGGCAGCGACGACGAGAACCTCCTTCTTGGTGAGGGGAGAGATGGCACCCTTGCAAGCATCGACAACGGCAGGGATGAGGACAGTAGTGGCAATGTCACCGGTGTGACCACCGCCCTCACCACCCTGTGCGCAGATGATGTCAACACCGAGGTCGAGGCACTTCTTAACGTGCTTGGGGTGGCCGATCATGTTCATGTAGACGATGCCGTGGGCATGGAGCTTGTCGACGACGTGCTTGGGGGGTACACCGACGGCGGAAACGAAGAGCTTGGCACCGGACTGGATGATGATGTCGATAAGCTCGTTAAGCTTGCCCTTGGTGTAGTCGTAGCTGCGCGGGGAAGAATGAAGGTTGGTTAGCTACCTCTAGAGTTGGGCGAGACATTCGACTTGTTGCAATCCAGACTTACTTGGTCTTGCGGGCGTTACCACCGACCTGGGGAAGGAGGAGATCGACACCAAAGGGAGCGTTCTTGTCCTTCAGGTGGGACTTGAGCTCGTCGATCTGGTCGCGAAGCATGTCGGGAGTGTAGTTGATACCACCGAGCACACCGAGACCGCCGGCATTGGTAACAGCAGCAGCCAGCTTGGGGCCGGCAGCGACGTTCATGCCGGCCAGGAAGATGGGGTGGTTGATCTTGAAAAGATCGGTGATGGGAGTACGGATCTGCTCTGTTGTTGCAACATTGTGGTTAGTCTTGATGTATGCCACAAATCGTTGCGCTCGCGATGCGGTGCGATGTGCTTGCAAGGGATGTGACTTACGAGGAGAGGCCATTTTGAAGAATGTGATCAACTGAACAACAGTGGTATCGCTAGCAAGATAAAACGATGAAGACGCGAGAAAGTGCGAGGAAGACAAAGGGTTGATGATGTTTTGAACAAGTCGAAAAGAGGAGGTCAGGTGGGAATCCGGCTGGACATTCAAGTTGACATGTGCCGAGGTTCCCTCTGACATGGGGGGCGCTAGTCCGTTTCCAGGCACCATTACATACAAAACGATCTGGGGTTCGTCGCCAGCGGGGCCGTTGTGCGGAGGAGGCGTGCGACCTGTCTGTACCGAGGCACCTGTCACCGACTACCCTTTTCCTGTACAGTCGCCAATTGGGATGCCCATAATGACATGGAGTGGCTCGAATGGTTTGGAGGAGAGGATTCGGTTGGGATGCTGTGATGTTTTAACACTCCCAGACAATGGATGATGTACTTGCTGATGCCGACAATCGACATCAGACCAGACGTGCGTGTCCCGAGTGAACTATGAACTACCAACGTCACTCAACAATAAATTGTAGCCCAACCCTCGTCACATTCCCGGACCGAGTTGAAAAAGGGAACCTGGCTGAGCCTGGTCAGGGTTCCCGTCCCGGACAAAGTTGTTCGACCCCAGACTTCTTTTCAAACCAGCGTTGTGGAACCACACCCAATGCAGCATTGTTATAAAACATGTTGGAGACGACCGACAGACCTCGGAGCAAAGATGCGGCAGTGTGAATGTAACCAAAAACGCAAATTTGAGCCGCAAGCCTTCAAACGAGATCGATCGTCCAGACCTCACTTCACCACAAAACCCTAACCCTCTCTCCATCTGACGCCATCGCGTGCGTCAGTCCAAACTAATTCTGCAACTTTCAGACGAAAAAAAAAAGGCCCACCAAAATTATCAAAGACTGGAGTCATTCTTCAGCCCTACCATGAAGCGATTCCCAACCATCTCCTCCTCGACCAGGCCATTGACCTGTCAGCATAGGCTTCTGACAAAACGATTGATTTTCACCGACAACACACGACTAATCACAACACCACCACGCACACCACAACTCTCTACCACCAATCCGAAACCGGCACGCACTTTTCACTCGGCCTCCACTCACCTTTCAGCATTGTCGTTCAAAAAGTACACACTGCCTTCCAAGGGCAAAATGACAGACGCAATTGACCTACCGGCTTCCTCCAAGCCCGCCGCCCCCACTGTGCGCACTGCTTATATCGCCCTGGGCAGCAACCTTGGCGACAGGATAGGATGGATCGAGACGGCTTGCAAGGAGATGGATGCCCGCGGTATCAAGGTTAAGCGGACCAGTTGTCTGTGGGAGACGGAGCCCATGTACGTCTTAGACCAGGATAGATTTGTCAATGGAGCATGCGAGGTCGGTGCCAGATCAACTGCCTTTGATAATTTAACACTGAAACCACTCTCAGGTTGAAACTACTCTAGAGCCTCTTGAGCTTCTAGACGCACTTCAGGATATTGAAAACTCCCTAGGTCGCAAGAAGATTATCGACAAGGGCCCCCGTAACATTGACCTCGACATTCTCCTCTACGAAAATCTCAAAGTCGACCATGAACGTCTCAAGATCCCTCACATCGGTATTCCCGAGCGCGAGTTCGTCCTCAGGCCCCTAGCAGAGTAAGCTTTTACTCACTCCCCTCATCAAACCCTATACTAAACGACTGTGACTAGACTCATTCCTGACAAATCCCTCGACCACACCCGCCCCTGGACCCTCACCCGCGACCTCCTCGACGCCCTGCCCCCCTCCTCCACCCCCATCACCACCATGACCCCTCTCTCCTCCCACGGCCACCCGCCCATCCAAGCCCTCAACCCCTCGCGCAAGACGCACGTCATGGCCATCCTCAACATGACGCCCGACTCCTTCTCCGACGGCGGCCAGCACGCCTCCGCCGGTCTCGAATCCACCATCCAATCCTTCCTCGACGCCGGCGCCACCATGATCGACGTCGGCGGGCAGTCCACGGCGCCTCGCACGCCGCAGGTTTCCGCCGAAGAAGAAATCGGCCGCGTGGTTCCCGCCATCAAAATGATCCGCCAAAAGTTTTCGCACCGCGACGTGCTCATCAGCGTCGACACGTACCGGGCGTCGGTGGCGGAGGCCGCGGTCGCCGCAGGTGCGGATATTGTTAATGATGTGTCTGGGGGTAGCATGGATCCGGACATGCTGCCGACGGTTGCGCGCTTGGGAAGCACCATTTGCTTGATGCACATGCGTGGAACGCCGGCCAACATGTCGAGCCTCAATGAGTACCCCGAGGCGGAGGGCGGGTTGATTGGAGGGATCGCCAAGGAGCTGGTGGGGAGGGTGGCGGCTGCCGAGGCGGCGGGCATCAGGCGCTGGAGGATCGTGCTGGACCCGGGGTTGGGGTTTGCAAAGGTGGGACCGCAGAATGTGGATGTGTTGAGGCACTTGGAGGAGTTGAGGAGCTGGCCTGGCTTGCAGGGGTTGCCGTGGCTGGTGGGATCGAGTAGGAAGAGCTTCATTGGGCAGGTGACGGGGGTGCCGACTCCCAAGGAGAGGATTTGGGGCACGGCGGCGACAGTCGCGGCTGCGGTGCAGGGTGGAGCGGACGTGGTGAGGGTGCATGATGTCAAGGAGATGGCGCAGGTGGTTGCTATGGCAGATGCTATTTGGAGGTATTAAGCGTGCTGGTGATCGGGTATGGGACATGTGGTTTATGTTTGAGTATATGGTGGTTCTTTAACAGCATCATGGGCAGGTTCAACAGCATAGGGCCCTCTGTTTCAAAGTTGGTAGAAAAAACATGGTGATGATCATGGCATAGATGCATTGTTTGTAAAATAAGCAGTATCTCGAAAACAGGTCAAAAGATAGAAGAAAGCACAACTCCAATGGTGTGGTAGTGGACTGAATAACCACTGGCATACCATCTTGCTTAAATAGGTCGAGTATCTCATAGAGATAGCAGGCACTCCTCGTCCACGACTTTGCCTCGCCTAGGGCCCACACACAACCTCACTGGATGTCAATAGCTGGTAGTAGAGAGCCCAACCAACACTTCAAGGATCTCAAACCCAAACGGCACACCATTCCTTCAAATTTGTTTCAAAACTGGTGGTTGCGCTCCGACGATGATGGATTGCAGCTCAAGTGTGAGTACAGATCTATGAGCTCCATCTCTAGTTCGCATAAACAATAATGATAGGTCCGATGGTGTAGTTGGTTATCACGTCAGTCTAACACACTGAAGGTCCCCAGATCGAGCCTGGGTCGGATCAATATCTTAACATTTTGTATTTTTTTGGTGATGATGCAAGTCCTTTTTCACATTATGTCTCGCCATTTTTTCTCTTTTTTCTTCTTCATATATCAACATTCGTCTTTTGGTCCATCTTTTCTCTGACCTATGTTGTCTCGTGTACTTTTTGGACATGTTCATCATAACTACTTGTCTTTTTGGTGCGCATCATGGAAGTCTCACGCTCGGTAACTGGTTTGGACATCGAGTTGATGCATGAAGCTCTTCAAACCACCCATATCCCACAAATACTTACTTTGTCAGAAGACACGGCAAGAATACTTGATAGTAACCTTTCCGAATCTTTCCAAGTACCTATTCCTCCAGAAGAAAACAAAATTACCACCATTTGCAGGACATTACAAAGAGTGACCACGCCAACCTCCGAGGCACACCATCCTCAAAGTCCAAACTCTCCACCACTAGAGGTACTGCCTTCAACACCACCCTCGGAAAAGAAACGAAAACAGACTCAAGCCATCATTACGCCTCCCTTCCAGAAAACAGCCTCCTCCCCGGGCCGACTACGGCACGCCTCCAGAAGTCGAAACGCCCACTTACATGCATCGAACCTTTCGAACAGCCCCTACCCTGTTACGCGTCCTGCACTCGCCCGGTGCACAGCATCAAACTATCAGGGAGGGAGCATGACGGCTGGAAACGGCAGGGGGGTAGGTACACGTAGGCATGTCTCTGATCTTCATGAACAATCTCACGCAGCTTACTTCCGTGCCTCTTCAACTCGCTGCTGAGTTTTGCTGTTGTTTGCTTACTACAGGCTCATGCACTAGAAGATGAGGATAGATAGATGGATGGATGGGTGGATGGATGAATGGATGGGTGGGTGGATGGGGTGAGAACTAGCCACTTACAAAGCCGAGTCTGACGGGCTTCGGAGCGTGAGGGTGGACTGAAAGCGGCAGGGCAGATACTTGTAAGGCAGAGGATAGGAGGCACTAAGGACACTCCCCTCCTTTTTCTTCTCCTTCTCCGCCTCCCCGATCCCATCTCATCTGCATCCCAGACCAGAAATACAAGACATGGACTGTCAATAACTTACCAGATACCATGCCAGCATGCCCATCCACTCAACCATTGATCCCGATAGGTAGAGATAGATACCCACCATCTCGCCATCGGCCTCCGAGCCTTGCACCCTTTCAAACCATCCTCAACACTCCTCAACAAATTATATCGTTCATCCCCTAAGCAACCACCAAGCCCGCCTGTATCTTCTACACCTCCTCGCACCAGACGGTACCCCCTTTCCCTCCCCCCTCCTCCTCCTCCCCTCTTCGGATTTTCCCCCCTTCCATCTTCCATCTGCCCTACAACTCAATAACATGCTAGCCTACCATCCAGAGGAAGTCAGCGCAAAGGCCTCCAACATAAAGCTAGCCTGCATACGACCGGTCACCCATCCATCCACCCATCCATCCATCCACCCATCCTGAACGCAAGAAGGAATCCTTCTTCCTCAGAACAGTTAGTTAGTTGCCATGGAACTGAACGCCGGGCAGCGTCAGCATTCGGAAGATCCGGAATTCCGGATTGACAACACCCCCATAAACCGTATACCGGCGTAAACTGTCGGTGTGTCCTCGTTCTCGGTCTCGTAATCCATACCCATATCTAGTATCTTGCTCCCGCTTCAATGATGTGACGTGAGATTTTATCAACACACTGGGCAGTAACTTCATTCACTTTAGTGACTTCAGTGACAGTGACAACAACCCACTGCACTGCACCCCTCAGTCCTCACAGTCTTCATCTCCCGCTTACTTACCTACTCACTCCTCCTTAGCTCTTCTTTTTCCTTTTCTTTTTTTTTTTTTTTTTTTTTTTTTTTTTTTTTTTTTTTTTTTCTCTCTCTCTTATATACTTGAACTTTGTTGTTGTTTGTCTTCTTTGGATTTGTTTTCGTCCCCACCACCCGCGTCCCCATCGCGTCCTCGTCCCCAGTCGGTCCCATTTTGTTCCCTGCCTTCTGTTCCCCATGCTAGCATGTCGTGAAACCACAAAACCACAAAACCAAACGACGCTAACGACCTTCTTGTTCACTCTTGTCTCATCGACACGTACATATCCGAGAACTAAACGCGAATCCCGATCTAGTTGTTTCTCCATTCAAGTTATACAAATATCCTAGATCTTAAATCCTGCGGCGAGGAAAGACGAGTGATGAATAGCCCCATCTATTGGTGTGCTAACATGGAAATGGGGCTCCGATGTCAAACTAGAGGACCTCTAATCAGTGAATAGTTCTAGGTAAGGGGTAGAGAGTGAAACCCACTAGCACAACAAATCTGGGGAAGTGGAATAGTGTGAGGGACTGACCTGGGCAATACTAGCGGCATGGTGGTGTCACTGACGTGTCAGTAAGACAAAACGTCGGAGCGGAACCACGCGCTTCCAGTAGCCATGTTTCTGGCTGTTACCGATAAGAGCATATACGATCACAGGCGCCTGTTAAACGACGTCAGACACCTACAAAGTTCTCCACGGGCAAGATTTGACAAGTTTGTGCAAAAGTTGGCATGTTATTGACTCCAGTGAGAATTAGGAACAAGAATATTATGGTTACTATCAAACGCAATAAAAACAACAAAAGGTATATCACTCAAAACGCCTCAATAGTTAAGCCCTGGCGGTATATCCCTCTTTCACCCGAAGCATACAGAGAGGTTCGTGAATGCATGTGTATGTGGTCCGTCTTTCTTATCAACGATAAACGGACAAAGCCGCCATACTGTACTGCCTTCCCACGCCTTTTCGCCTGCAACACCCCAAACCCCCCAGAAAAAAAAGAAGCACATCAGAAGAGGTGAATAGTGCCTATTCGCCCCAAGCGTCCAATGTAAATCCTGCGCTCAACGGCGTAACGCGGAGAAACAAAGTTATGTCCAGAGTCCAACAAGCAACCCAACTTTGCACAGAAAAAGAAATGTGAGGGAGCCACCATGGCGAATTCGGTCTGTCGTGTCTCATGTCTCGTAGTAAAGCAATAGTGCCCTTGAGCTACCGGTAGATATCCGGCGAAGTAGTCCAAAGGCTTGATTCCACAGCGAGGATTTAGAGAAGGGCGGCGAGACCGGCCGCGACCAGGAGGAAGGCACCGGCGGGCTTGGCAACGCTGCCAGCGCCGATGGCAACCTCGGACTGCGTGGGCTGGGGAGAGACAACCACGACAGAGGTGCCGTTAGCACCAGAGGGGGCGCCGCCAGTGGCGAGGCCAGTGGGGATGAGGACGATAGAGGAAGAGGACACAGCGGGGACGGTGATGGCGGGAGCAGACGAGGTGGTCAGAGCGACCGAGCTGGTCGTGAGGGGAATGACGACGGAGCTGGTGCTGGTGGTGCTGACAACGACGCTGCTGGTGCTGGTGGTGCTCACGACGGTGCTGGAGGTCGAGGTGGAGCTGGCGACCGAGGAGGTAGAGCTGGTAGAGGTAGAGCTAGTCGAGGTAGAGGTGGCCTCGGCGGTCTGGGAGACAAGGCTCCCGTCGACCTTGTAGGCGGCGGCGCACTGCTCAAGGCTCATGCCCTCGGGGCAGCACCAGGTCTCATTCTGGGCGTCGGCAGCGCAGTAGTAGCCAGCATCGCACGAGTCTGCACAAGCCTATTTAGCATTCTCGTCTCTTTTTCGCGCATCAACAAGTCAGGGTAACTTACTGCCAGAACCGTTAGGGCAGCAGATCTGAGCGGCGCCGGCGTTGTAGCAGTGAACCGAGTCGTCCTTGGACGCGCACGCCTCGAAACCAGCACCGCAAGCCTCGGCGCAGGTGTTGCCGGTACCGCAGACGGTCTGCTCGGGCTGGTATCCGGGGTTGTCCTGGCGACGGACGACACCGAACAGCTGACGGGCCGAGGTCTTGTGAATCTTGCTGGCCGCCTTGTAGGGCGCGCCTACAAGGCGGATGGGCTCGGCAACGGCCTGAGCAGCGAGGGCGAGAGCCGCCAGAGCAGTGAAGGACTTGACATGCATTTTGACTGATTTGTTTTGAAGTTTTGGCGATCGAGTAAAGACGGTCCGAGGGTTGATTAGGTTTATAGGGCTGTCACGTAGGTGATGCTGAGAAAACGAATGTCGTCGAGTGCGAGACTCTTTGTTTGAATGCAGTGTAGGGAGCGGCAGGTTCTTCAAGCGAGAACAAGATGAAGGCGAGATTATATCAGAGGCTGAGGTTGAAAAGAAGGAGAAACAAAAAAGGAGTGTGATGGGGGGAGAGAGTGGATTGGAGTATCAAATAGAATTACAAAGAGACGACGGGGGGGGCCTGCGAAGTGGAAAGTCTGGGACCGCCTGCCCTGCCCGCCTGGGAAGGGAAAGCTCGCGACCGCTGTAAACTGGAGAAGGGGCCACTTTGGGGAACTAACGAATGGATCCTCTCGGCTGCTTCTTGTTTGTTACCCTGGCAAGCGCCGACAAGTACCCCTACACCAGCAAGCGGCGGTGAGGGTACTTTGCCGATGGAGGTGCACAAGCATCCAATTTCCTCAATTTTAAGATTGGGCACCCACTCTCCTTCCACTCGTCACCCAATCGTCGCGTCGCCCAGGGCACTGAACGGTACCTGCGTCTGGGCGTGCAGTTGTTCCTGGCAGGAAGTGGAAGCAACCTAGGTAGCAGGCGGAAGCAACCCGTCACAAGCACTGCACTGCACCGGCATCTCGAGCATCCCTCCCTTCAGTTTGCAGTGGACCAGGGCAACAGCAACCGAGGAGCAAGCAACCGTCGCAGCCGCCCCGCATCATGGACTTTTTTTTTTTTTTTCTTTCTCTCATCTCAATTTGCACTGCAGACATGCCCGGCCCTGTGCCTGCTTCGCGTGGGCGTTTGTAGTGTACATACACTATTTCAAGAGTTGAGTTCTTGGTGCATGACGCTTACTGTCAAATTTCACATCGAGATCAGAACTCACTGCAGCGCATGCTGATAAGCTAGCTGGTATTATATCGTCACCTCCTCCCTTAACTCTTGTGCCCCTGACCTGGCCTTCCATCTTGAACCAATAACTGGGCGGGGGCCAAGAAGGGCCGGCTGTTGTTGCTAGACTCAACCAAGCCAGATCGTCGCATCGCGCAAATGAAGCATCTGGCGGGCGGGACGCTGGGTCACCGCAGTCTGGCAAATAGCGCGACGCCGTTGAAATTTGTCTTTCATGCTCCGAGCGCAGTATCGGCGGTGTTAACCGGTTCCGTGATGGACCGACTGACTGTTCACGTTGTCCTTTTCAAAAAACTGTTCCACGTCGACCCGAGTCCGTCAGTCTTCAATCAAGAGGTTCCGATTTCACGGGCGTTGGCTACGGTCGATGTAGACGTCGTTGACACCGGATGGCACGGACAAAGTCTAAACTGACGGTCAGTGATTGACAGTGCATCCTCGCCGGCCGCTCCCGCCGTGCTCCAGTCAAATGTCATTGGTGAGCGATCATCATCAAGCCACACAAATGGATCAATGTCGCTGCTGCCTTTGTTTGCTAAACATGGAAAGGATTGAAAGGAATCCGTTGCCAACAATGCGGAAAGTACCGAAGAAAGGGTCTTCTCCCCCCTTCTTCCCCTTTGTGTAGTGTACCTATGTGCTTTCTTTGCAATGCCGTTTCAATTGGAATGAACGTTGCGGTGCATTGAGTTGCCCAGTGGTTCTTGGAAATTCAATGGACATTGTTCGGGGTCGCGACCAACGTGGAACCTTTCTGCCAGGCACCGAATTTTGATTGATTGAGTGCTTTTCAATTCAACGCTAGGCCGTTTTCGTCCACTTGCAGCTGTTTCAGAAGGTTGAAGTCCACCGTAACCGTCCTTTCTGCATCGTCTACGTACCGTCAAGGATCTTTTCCACTTTCTTCAACTTTGGGTCAGTCGTTCAGAACCCTTCCTTCCTTTTTTTCTTTCCACATGAGTTCCATGAAATTGCGGGGTGCAACGAACGGGCTTTCTTCCCACTCGAGGTCCCCTCCCTACAGTATGTAGGTCCTTCGGCTAGTTCGGTGGAGAGCGGATTCGCCTTTCACGTCATTCCAGTCAGCCCAGGTTGCACAATGGGCGAACGAGCCAACGCTTCCCCTATTTGTTAACCAACCCCCCAAAACAAGCGCCGGTGACTGGGATTAGTACCTCGCGCTTGCTTGACATCCACTTGAGGTGTTCCCAGCTTCGAGACACTGGTTATTCATCATGTCGATGACTGTTGGTTGTTAGGTGCCGAACCCCAATTCTGGAACCTGGTAACCGTTGAATTTGATAATTGTGGTTCAACTAGGGCATTCCCCGTCGTTTTCGATATACCTACCCAAGTGAAGGTCCCTTCAATGTCATGTATCACTACCTACCTGCGATAACTCTTTCGGCAGTCATATTGCTGGCTGCCATCCCGGTTCTCCAAAAAGGATGCAGCCTCTTCATTCTACAGTCCAATCAATACTGGTGGTTTCTTTGTTACCTAGCTCTAGACCTCGGGTCAGCTTCCCGAGGTGTTTGTATGTCTAATCGACGTGTTTCGTTTCATGGACCCAGGTGTAATCTTACCTGGATCATGCTATTTCGGAAATTTAACACGTCACGAAAATCTTACTGATACCTTTCCCAATATATGATGCCAAGACATTCATTTCATCCCCATAAGGTTTGAGACAGCTTGGGATAGAATGCCAGGAGTATCAAACTACCTAACAAACACGGAAGCTAGCATCAAATTCTACACATGTTTCTTATCACCTTTTCGACCCTTCGGCAATATGCGACGACGTCGTCAAACCGGCGGTTCAGCAGATAATCACGTATTCGTCAGAAAGATGGGTCAGATCGCTGCGGTGATAGCGGACCTTCTTTCACTCAATAGAGAATAAACAACCCAGCACATACCACGATGGTGGACAGCACGGCCGAACAACCTACCCTAACGACGACGACGACGGACGTCTTTGACGTTCTCAACAATAAACACCAGCCATGCTCGGCGAACCATCAGGTCAAGTAGATAGCCTGCAAGAATGAGTATAATAAGCACATACGGCCTTAGATGGTGAACATCTCGGGACCGCATCCGCTCTTCGATAGATAATTTACCTCAATTAACCCTTCGAATGGTTCTAAGAATGAGATAAACCGAACAAATCGCGATCCACGACATCACATCACATAGCATCACACCTTCGGTACACTCGTCGCAATTTGAAGCTATCCTTCCTATTTGAACGCTTCTAGTCCCTAGAGTCATCTTTTCATGCATCCATTTATTTTCACTACACCCAGGGCCCAGAATTTCCGATAGGTGGTATCTTCCGGATCATGAATTCCCTACGCTACCTAGTCTTTTGATCAATCTGTTTCCCAAGCTCAAGTTCCTTCCATCACAACACATCGATATCATGGTTACATCTATGCTTCAAAACTTGAGAGAGAGACATATATGTACCGACAGTAAGGTACCCTAGGTACGCGTCTCACTTCCAGCAGTAAGCACCAGGGGCGCCTAGTTGTTTGCACTGCTTGTCAAAGTCCCCGCTATCGATGCAATAGTTTGGGGCCGAACACTAGATAGGTAGATAGGTAGCGTAGACTGGTAAGACTAGTCGTGGCAGGATATGGTTGTTGGCTACAATGCGGGACTTTAATGGAAACGGTCAATCTTACCTGATGATGCTGATCTTCATGGTACGTCTCGATGCAAAATAGACTACTCTCGTCGTTTTGCATATCGCATACTTGCTCCGTGAGATCGTCCCACTGGGGACCAGTGCCGGATGGGTCCTGGCACTTGCAGTTGCAGCCTGCGAGGGCGCTATCAATGATTAAAGAGGAGGAATGTGTCGTTAGTCAAACCATATCTCTCAGTCGTCGATGCGATTAACATACCTACCTAGTAACACTAGCAAGAATGGTAAGGAAGACGGAGATCTTCATGTTGACAAAGTAGAGGTAGAGTTGGGAGGGAAATTCAGGATGAGGATGAAGTTGAGAACTTTGCTCGAGAGGAATCGTTCGATTCCATGTTATAAAATGGGACGGCAGTGCCCTTATATACTTGATTAAGCAGACACTCAGACATCTCCATCCGAATCCATTTTCGGTCGATACGTGCTGTTATTTTCTCGAGTTTCGTCAAGCGATCTTTTGTTACGGCTATGGTAGGCAGAGGTATGTAGAAGCTGTAGGGGTAGCATATACTCGATGCCTGACTTGTTCGATCTTGACACCAGGATCCGAGTTAGGGTTGTATGTGTACTGCCGGGACTTTAGTAGCCAAGGTACTTTGAGAATGAGGAAAAAGGGAAGGTTCCAACAACTACAATCAAGGCTATTCACTGGATGGACACAATGTCGTTGGACTTGATCATATTTATCATCCACAGCACATAACCGTGGTCAGTACTACAACCCATAACAACCAAGAGGTAAACTACGCAGGATGTACCCTCGTCTTTAACACCTCAATCAAGTTGAGGACACTCAGGCTCAGTTCATCCGGACCGCCTTCATCAAAGGTCGCGCCACCCAGCACCATCAACTTTTTCGGATCCCTCCTGAATATATGCAAAGCCCGGCTGTAAGCAGCAGGCTGCTCAATAGCATGCATCTCCCACTTGTCCGGGTCCCCACCAAACCGGTTGGTATAGATCTCGCTCCGATCAGCGTCCGAGACCACGATGGTGCCGTTGGGCCCGCCAGCAGGAGACCAGACCACATACGGCGAGGCATTCGGCGCGAGCTTTCCGTCAATGACAATGGGGATCCCAGGAGCCGAGTCAAACTTTGTCGGCTCGTCGGCGATGTGGTAGTAGACCGGGTAGTTGACGCCGTAGGAGCTTGAGTTCCCGACAGGCAACTCGTGCACCAGGATCCACTTGTTGATGGTTTCGATCTTGGCTACGACAGTCATTCCCGGACGAGCGAGATATTCGTCGTACCGGACATCATTGACGACGGGACCCCAGGTGCGGAGGTCTTTGGACCGTTGATGGGCGAGTTTCTGTCCATGCTTGGGGTCCCGCTGGTCCGAGTAGTAGACTATGAGCTCGTCCTTGTATTCGAGGAGGAAGGGTTCCCAGACAGGCGTGGCGCCGTTGGTTGTGTTGGGACGGCCACCCTCGGCTACGTGGCTGACGAACTTCCAGGTGCGCGCCTTGTCGGTGCTGGCGTACAGGTCGATGCGGGTGCCGTTTTCGCTCCAGCTGTTTCCCGAGAAGAGAATGGTGCCGGCCCTGAACCCGCCGAGCGGCTTCTGCAGTTCAAGCAGGGCCGGCTGTGCGCTCATGCCCCAACCGTTGACTTGGTCGGTGATGTTGGAGATCCATTTCCAATGAACGCCGCCGTCTTTACTCTCGAAGACGGGGAAGGATGAGTTGCTGCCGGCAAAGAAGTCGCCGCCGATGATGCTGGAGGTGACGAGGAGAGTGCCGTCCTTGAGCTCGACGTGTCGGGGGTACGAGGCGCGCTTGCCGGCGGGTGGGTCGTAGATGATGCGTCGGGGGAAGGTGCTGAAGGGCGGCGGGTCTGGTTTGCACCTCCCTGCCAGAGCGGCCACGGCGAAGTGAAATGACAGGAAAAGGGTTGTAAGTTTCAAGTTTGTAAGCATGGTGGAGCTCAGATGGATGGTAAGGAAGGCAGGGGCAGACAGGCACGAGAACTGTTTGGCATTAACTGTTCACCATACCAGTAGTACTGTAGTTACCTTGCTTGACCTCCTCATCTTATTATTTTCCTTTCCACTGTTGTTTTCCAGACCAGACCGGGACAGTCCGAGCCATTGCCGACGCTCAAGAACAACAGGAACTTGAAGCTCGGGTTCGACCAGAGCCGGCCAGTCACCACTGACAGCCGCACGAATAGGGTTCCGAGGCCGGAAATATTTGTTTAAGCATGGTCCTTGTGTTCTTGTTTCCCCATGGGGGATCGAATTTGACAGCTCCTCCCCCGCACATCATCACCATCAAACAGGTAAGAGAGGTACTGATCCACCGATCTGGATGTAACCCAGCGCTGCATCGACTTTATCCAAACAGCCGCGATGCGCCCCAATCGGCCACCAACGTCCTGTACCGAGCGAGCTACCCCATTTGATCCCAATGAATACCAAGGAGAGGGGTTCACCATTAAACCCAAACTCCAGACCTTCGGATTCCACGGTAGCAAGCGAGAAATGTTGCAAAAAGCTGAGAGCGCACAGTCGGCATTGAGACACGGCAAGTCAAGGTGTCGTCTCAATAACATGCTAGGAATGAACGGTTAATACTTAAGAGACCATGCTGATCTATCGTAGGGATAGTTGGGGGAAACAGATGTCATTGACCAAGTATAGAAACGACAAACATGAAGCCGTCTTGGGCTCCATACTGCCTGCTCAGCTGCAGTTCTGTACTGGTCTCTGCCATTGACCTGCCATTTCAAACGTACCCCGACTGTGTCAACGGCCCTCTAGCCAGTCTCAAAGTCTGCGATGCCACCCTATCACCGCCACAACGCGCCGCCGCCCTCGTGGCTGCCATGACGACCGAGGAAAAACTTCAGAATCTTGTGAGCAAGTCCAAAGGAGCACCCCGTATCGGCCTCCCAGCCTACAACTGGTGGAGCGAGGCTCTCCATGGGGTGGCATATGCACCAGGAACACAATTCCGGAGTGGCGATGGCCCATTCAACTCGTCCACCTCGTTTCCCATGCCCCTTCTGATGGCAGCGACATTCGACGATGAACTCATAGAAAAAGTGGGCGAGGTAGTCGGCACCGAGGGTCGGGCCTTTGGAAACGCCGGTTTTTCCGGCTTCGACTACTGGACCCCCAATGTCAACCCCTTCAAAGACCCACGTTGGGGTCGTGGCTCAGAGACGCCCGGCGAGGACATTCTACGCATCAAACGCTATGCTGCATCCATGATCCGAGGACTTCAAGGCCCTGCGCAAGAACTCAGGGTCGTGGCTACCTGCAAGCACTACGCCGCCAACGACTTTGAGGACTGGAACGGCTCGACCCGGCATGACTTCAATGCAAAGGTCACGCTGCAGGACCTGGCCGAGTACTACTTGTCGCCCTTCCAACAATGTGCACGGGACTCCAAGGTTGGATCCGTCATGTGTTCTTACAACGCTGTCAATGGGGTGCCAGCCTGCGCAAACACGTACCTGTTGCAAACGATTCTCCGGGAGCACTGGAACTGGACCGCGCCCGGCAACTACATTACCAGTGATTGTGAGGCCGTCTTGGATATTTCGGCAAATCATCACTACGCCGAAACAAACGCAGAGGGTACAGCTTTGGCCTTTGAGGCTGGCATAGATAGCAGCTGCGAGTACGAGTCCTCCTCGGACATTCCCGGCGCCTGGACTCAAGGTCTGTTGGAGCAGTCGACGGTTGACAGAGCTCTGAAGCGGCTTTATGAGGGTCTCGTGCGAGTAGGCTACTTTGACGGCAACCATTCAGAATATGCATCACTCGGCTGGAAGGATGTCAACAGTCCAAAGTCACAGGAGGTGGCGCTTCAGGCTGCTGTAGAGGGCATTGTCCTGTTGAAGAACGACAAGACTCTCCCTCTGGATCTCAAGACCGACCCCAAGTCGAAACTGGCCATGATTGGGTTCTGGGCCAATGACCCAAAGACTTTGTCAGGCGGGTATTCCGGAAAACCGGCATTTGAGCACTCACCAGTCTACGCAGCTCAAGCGATGGGCTTCAATGTCACTACAGCGGGCGGACCAGTTCTTCAAAACAGCACAAGCAACGACACATGGACCCAGGCCGCTCTAGCAGCAGCGAAGGACGCCAACTACGTTTTGTATTTCGGCGGCCTGGACACCTCTGCAGCGGGCGAGACAAAGGACAGGACGACCATCAACTGGCCCGAAGCCCAACTCCAGCTCATCACGACCCTGAGCAAACTGGGCAAACCACTTGTCGTGGTGCAAATGGGCGACCAGCTAGACAACACACCACTCCTTGCTGCAAAAGCAGTCAACTCTATTCTTTGGGCCAACTGGCCAGGTCAAGACGGTGGAACAGCGGTCATGCAAATCCTCACGGGGCTCAAGAGTCCCGCTGGACGTTTGCCCGTGACGCAGTACCCTGCCAACTACACGGCCGCGGTCCCCATGACAGATATGAACCTCCGGCCTTCGGACAAGCTACCAGGGCGGACTTACAGGTGGTATCCCACGGCGGTCCAACCGTTTGGTTTCGGGCTGCACTACACCACATTCCAAACCAAGATTGCCGCCCCCTTGCCGCGTTTGGCCATCCAGGACGTTCTTTCACGCTGTGGTGATAATGCCGCCAATGCCTATCCTGACACCTGTGCCCTTCCACCGTTGAAAGTGGAAGTCACCAACACAGGGAACCGGTCGTCGGACTATGTGGTGCTGGCCTTTTTGGCAGGAGACGTGGGCTCTAAGCCCTACCCTATCAAGACGCTTGTGTCGTACACGCGGCTGCGTGATGTCTCTCCCGGGCACAAGACAACGGCACATCTGGAATGGACACTGGGAGATATTGCCCGCTATGATGAACAAGGAAATACCGTTTTGTATCCGGGGACATATACGGTTACTGTGGATGAGCCGGCGCAAGCGAGTGCGAGGTTTGTGGTTGAGGGCGAGGCGGTTGTTTTGGATCGGTGGCCTGCTCCGAGTGGTTAGGTGGTGTAGTAAGTCTTTGTGACTGGCAGTGTAATAGTGTAGGTTATCGAACAGAACAAGACTTGCGCGCTTATGTAGGAGTACATTGTCAAGTGTGACATCAAGACCCTAACTGCTCTTTGATACTGCTTTCGCTGTCTGATATGTCACTTCTGCTTCGTTTTCTTATGCATGTTTCATGGCTATCTATGTCCTTTACTCATATGGACACTCTCTAACCCTCTGAATCTCATCCATATCGTCCACCGAGCCTCCTGACTTGTTACTCACTCACTCACTCACTCAATCCTCATCTATCACCCTATCTCGTCCACGACAAGGTCAATGAAACCTTTGGCTGTAGCCTTGGCCGAATGACTGACTGGGTAAGTGAACAGTCATAAGAATATACCGAATACAGACGGTCTAGTAGTGCTGCTCGTCGCAGTTAGGAAAGGCTATGACAAAATTGTCATAGAGCTTACGATGGCTCGAGAACATATTGGCTAGAGTTCCTAGAAATATTTATCCAAGAACCACCTAGTAACTGGATTCAAACGTATACTATTTATACGTGAATGCAGATACAGTATACCCAAGGTCTACTGTACTGACCATTCGGCCAGCCAACAACCACAGTTGTCAACAACAACAATTTTTGTTAGGATCCGAACAGGACAGGACAGACCCATCAACAAACAGCAAACCACCTCCCCCTCCCCTTTCTCAACCCTCTCACATGTCTCTCCAATTTCTTTCCCTTCTCCACCACCACCACCCCGTTCTTCTCATCCCCTCCCAAGAACTTCCCTCGTTCTGCCTCGTCAAGACCAAGCACCACCGTCTCCACCTTCCCCCAATCCACCCTCCAATCCACTCTATCCCCTTCTTCTCCCCCTTCTGCCCCTTCTTCTCCTCCCCCCGTCGTTGTTTCCTCTGTTTCCTCCTCCTCTCTCTCTCTCCCTCCACCACCACTTCTAAAATCCTGATTCTGATCCAAATGCATCATATCCCCCATCGGCCCCCTACTAACCGCCCACAAGGCCTCCCACCACCCACCACACCCTCGTAGATCCAACCACTCTAGTCTATACCACGCCCTACTTAATCTCCTTAGCACCAGAATGGCTTCCGACCAATCATTGTCGAGCGAATGGCTGTAGGGACCCGTACCGCCGTATTGCACCCTCCTCCCTTGGGCGGTGACGAAGGATGCGTATTTGGCGTTGGGGGTGAGACTGGGCTCGGGCCAGTTGGCGAGGGAGAGGTGGGTGAGGGTGGGGTGGTGGGAGGCGAAGGAGAGGAGGTGCCGCCAGGAGGGTAAGGGGTGGTGGTGGTGGGTACCCGGAGTGGTGAATGTGGAAGAGGAAAGAGGGTTGGGAGGGAGAGAGAGGGAGAGGTGCGTGAGGTTTGGGAGAAGGGGGCGGGGGATGGAGGAGGAGGAGGGTTCTGGTTGGAATTCATCTTCTTCGTCGGCAGAGTCTTCCCAGGAGTCTCTTGGTTCGGCGGTTTTGAGGGAGGCGGCGGTGATGGGTTTCGTGGTGGAGGGTTTCGGAGGGAAGAGCAGGTCGGTTAGTTCGCGGAGGGAGAGGGAGGTGCCGATGGAGTGGGAGAGGTCGAGGTGGCGAAAGTCTTTGTTGGCGATGCTGGGGTCGAGGTAGTCTTCTTCTTCTTCTTCTTCTTCTTCCAGCTGCTCGGCATCCTCATCTACGTCGTCGCCTTCTTGCTTTTGTGGAGGGAGGAGAATGGCCTTGAGATCGGCTAGAGTGACGTTGCCGGGATCCTTCCAAATGCTGAGGTACGCCACGAGTGCTTCGCGGAGATGGGTAGGTAGATGCTGATAAAGATAGTAGCGACAATACTCTCGTTGGAAATCCCAGCTGTGTGCGAACTGCCGGAGCGTCAAGTCGATCAGACTACCTTTGGCCGGAAGGTACAGCTCAGGCAGCATGTATTTGTCTAGTCGACGCCCGTCCGAGCCGGACTGACGAGGCACTGTGGAAAGTATTCCGTGTGCCGGCCGATTCAGCCAGCTCTGTGGCGGGGCTGGACCGGGAGGCAGCCTTCTACCGGTGGCATCCACACGGGGTCCACCCCGGCCCCGGCCCGGACGCGGCCTAGGCGCCGGTGTCTCGGGTAGCTGTAAAATGTCCCGGATGACTGGTGGCACCGTCGGCCGAACATCTAATGCGCCTTGAGCATTACTATTACTGTTTACACCGAGACGGCGCAGTTCAGCAAGCCGCTGATTGACACTGCGGCTTTCTGATTCACCTAAAGTCCAGTGTGTTAGTACGACAAGACCATGCTAGATACACTATGCCAGCCCTCTTGGCATCAATCACCCAGTGCGTATGAACATCTTTGCGGGCAGGGGCACCGAGCGAGGCTCGAGGAGCACGATAGATTTGCGGGTCATGCACCCGCCCATTCACCGGATCAGACAGACAGACAGGCAGGCAGGCAGATAGACGGAGGGGGCATGAAATGATGGATGGGTTTGACGGGCTACACAGAGAGAGGGTGGTGTAGCAGTTAAGGTAACGCACCATTGTGGCTGCCGGCGCCCGCAGCAGTGGAGCTCAATGAAGCTGGAGCAGTTGACTGCGGTTTGGAATATTGTTTGAAATGGACTCTTTTCTTGGGCATTATTTGCCTCTGCCGTGAAGTGACTCAAGTTGGTACGTGTTTTGATCTCTTGGTACTTGGGAAAATGTCAAGCTTGATGATGTTGTCGTGGTTGCCGTGTAACTGACTGTACTGGTAATTTTACACGTTGAGAGAGGTAGGTAGGTACCTTGAGGTTCGATGTTGATAGAGGCAACTGTAGGTCGCAAACCGGATGAGTCGTCGTCGTCGTCCCCCGCCCTGCCTTTCAAACTGGCCAATGCGTGCGTGCCTGCCCTCCAGGCAACGACGAGATGGGGCCCTGCAGGGCGGTTATGGATCACCGTCGTGGGTGCAAATGACTGACTGTATCCCACTTCCATCGCATGCAAGGTATTTTGACTGGATCAGCTTTGGGTACGTCATCCAACCACTCAGATCCGATCATGATCGAGGAGGAGTAGGTCTAGAAAGATGGGTGGAAGGAAAGGCACAGTCAAGGTGAGGAACTGTTACGGCACCGGCAGGCAAACACCACGGAGGCCAAGACTTCTCGCGCCTCCGATGCCTCTGACTGGTCAACCGCTCAATCCCGGTGAGTGGGAACAAATGCCTGGCCCTGAACGGGTCCGGGCGCCCAAACCCTGTCCCCAAATGCAGGTCATGCTTCCGGGGGGCATGCCCTGGGGTGTGCTGAGACGCCCCCCCCCCGTGCTGAATGGAGCCTCCATACAACCCCAAGTACAACAATACCGTTGGCTAGGTAGTGCCCATCCCGTCGCGGGCCCTGGCACCGCCATCATCGCCCGTAGTGTAGGGGGTGCATGTTTTGACGACTTTCACTTCCGCATTGCCCGCCCCAGCTCCTGTTCTTTAGTGGCTTCACCTCTCTGCCTTCTAGAAGCCACCCTCGCACAAAACAAACCCCGTGGACGACTAGCTGAATGGTTTGAAGTGTCTCGTACCCTTGCAGCTTGCAGAAAGACCGGAGAACAATCCGGAAACTGACTGAGAAGCTAACCGTCTATGGAGAGCAGAAAGCAGGAGAGACGGATCATGAGAATACATTCGAATCGTATTGGCGCATTCGTTGCTCCAGCGGAAAAAGACCCTTGATGTTCTCGCTAGCTTCGGAACTCTTGTTAACCTTTTGCGCGGCCATCCCAATGGCGGATTGGCTTGGCTTCCCGAAGCCTTCGATAAGCCGCAAGATGGGTGGCTTGTCCGGGCAGATTTGAGGATTGTCTTGCGCCGAATGTTGGTCCGTGACTATTGCTTCACATAGACGACAGTCTGATGAAAAGTACTCCCCCAAACATCTCGGGCTTGCCAATCAAGTGAAGCAACTGAACGACGCATGCCAGCTCAATCGTCAGCTTAGTTGCAAGACCCCTGATCATACCATCGAGACCGAAGGCCTCATCCCGGACCCGACATAGCCAGCAATCGAGATGATCCCGGGCGTTTTTCTGCACTTGCTGATTTTTTTTTTTTTAAAAAAAAAAAAAAAAAAAAAAAAAGCCTTCTGCATCTTCATATTGGAAGATCGACCGCCTACGAGGGCCCCGGAATGTGCGCGCCCTGATCGGAGTGTGATCTCGTGTCCGGACCTCGCATGCATCGAGAACGAGGCGCCTATACCCTTTCATCATCCATCTGTCGGTGCTATTTTTAGTGTTCAAGCCCGATATCCTCCTCCCTCGTGAGGTGTATTCTGTACGAATCGGGTGCGAAGGGCTGCCCATTTTCCGTGTCGTCGTGGTGCCATGTTTGGTGAGTTTCGAGGCATCAGGAGGTGTCGCTCCAACGGGATCGTGAGTAAGCTACCCCAACCAAGATATCTCTGCATGGCAGGCATCCAAGCTCTCCGTGCAGGTACCAGCCATCACGATAGATCCCGTTACCTGATATTGTTGCACAGTCCATGCATCGGGAGGTAAATATGGTCTGGACTTTGGAGGCATAGCCAGATGCTGATTGCAGCTTTGCTCACCAGCCCCTTGACGCTATCAATCATCACCATCGCCTGTTCGCTCCGTTAACTTGGTGGTGACTTACGGGTTCCGAGACTCCCGAGCCAAACTGGGCAACGCCAGATTGCTGCTTCATTTGATGATAAGGAAGTCGGGGTGGTTTCTGAATCTTGTCTCACCCCAATCCACCACGGACAACAATGGGCGAACTGACGCCCAGCCCCTGTGCCATCCCAGAAAGCCATTCAACCCCCAGCATGTCCACACAAGACGTCTGCCATAATCGGAGACACATCGGCGCCGTGTTACACCCTAGACCATTCTTAGTGAGACTAGCAGTTCCCTGACAGCAGGCCACGGCCTCCCATGAGACAAGCAGATCATCATCCGATGAATGTGTCAAGCCTAAAGTTCGAATTGAAAGCCTGTCACACATTACCACGGGTCAAGTGGGGACTACCATCGAGTAACCATGATCTACCGTCTCGAGCGACATAGCTGACGGGTCAAGATGTGAGGCGTGTAGTGACATGCTTGTGGGACAGGCAAATGCGGGTGAGGTTTCGAGACAAGCAAGAGACGCAGCGGCCGGAGACTCATGGGTCTTCACCAGGCCCATGAAATCAACTCAAGAAGATTCCACCCGCTTCGCAGTATGCGCCACGTAAGCATCCAGCCGGTCTGAGATCATCATGGGGACGGTATTTCGCTCCTCCAGGAAGCCTGCCTTGCCAAGCTCTTTCTTGTGATAGTCTCCTTATCCACCTTGGGCTAGACCGAAGGAGCCCACTTCGGTCACGGCATGACGCTTGCGGCGGTGCAATCTATGGTTCGTCTCGGCGGGGCATTCGGTGGCAAAAGGATGCGGTCCTGTCTGTCGTGGCAGAGTCGAACAAACACTGAAGTCTAGAGGGCCGGATTCGGAAGGGGTTAGCGATCGAATTTGGAAGTCGTAGCAAAAACAAACCTAGATTCGGAGACGAAGGCAATGTTTGAGCAACCTCTGGCAAACTCAAATTGGCCCAAAGTGTCCTCAAAGAGCTCCAAGCACCACAGGCAGCCCCTGGCTCGGTAGTTGTAGCGGTCGTGGACTGAGGATACCCGTCTGCAGCGACTTGCGCAAGTTCGGGTATGTGGTGACCGTTCCCAGGAGGGTGGTCTCGTACATGGCTCCTTATTCTTTCCACTCCATGGCCAATTTGCGTTAAGGGAGGAGGGTCCGGGACGAGAATGCACACAGCTTCATGCTTCGACGCCTTACTGCCGTATCAACTCAGTTGCTGAAAAGAACGACCGGTGATTGCCCGATTGCAACGACCATGACGGATATGTCGATATGAATGCACGTACCAAGCGTCGGAATGCGTCTGTCCAGACGTCGGAGTCGAGTTGGGGTGGAAATGGAAGACGCTTTCTATGGAGAGGCGGCGTAGTTACACCTACACCCGTCTTGTTTGTTGATTGGACAATCTATAGCCCCTTCGAGCAGGTAGGCAACCGAAGCCGTTACGCTTGGTAAGGGTGCAGTGAACACATCGTATGTAAGCCCTGAAGCCTTTGTGTGTTTTCGTATGTCTGCCTTTCTCAACACCTTGGGTATGCGGTAAGAATCTCACATACCCCATGATATCAATAAATCCTTGATGCTCATTCGCAGGGGATTCCGGTCATCCTCGACGCCAAGTCCAATGATGTTGTTGTCGACCGCAATGACCGAATAGCAAGTCCAGGGATGGCAAAGCCATCTTGCTCGATGACCTTTGCAGGGAGTCGAGCTTGATTAGACGTATTGAAGACGCGCAACGGACCTGTTAAACCGATGTGACGCCCGACTGCCACCAGACTTATACGGCATCATGGCCTACATCAAGAACCCGTGAGACGGGAAACAGAAATCAACTGGGAGACCGACAGTCAATGTACAAAGGAAGCATGGGATGCCAGCCTCACAGCTAAGTGGCCTACCTTGGAGTGTAATCGAACCCACTTACCTTGGGAAAATGACATCCAGACATCCGATCAAAAGATCTCCAAATGTGATCAGGCGATTGATTGCGGACAGACTGCCTAAGCACTCAACAATCAGTCGCCGTGACATGTCCGCTTGAGAACAAGCGCACGGCTCACCACCTTAGCCTTGTTTTGGCTGTCACGTAATGGAAAGGTTTCCCAGCGTTACAAGCCCTCCGTGTTAGCCAAGCTTGTCACGATTTGCTACAACCAGACTCAAGACAGCCATTGGGTAGACTGTCTGTTTTTCCCAACCCATTTGGGACCCAAGTTGTGCCGAAGAACTTGATACCATCAAAGCGTGGTCTTGTACCGGCCGTGACGGCTATGTATCTGCTCGTACCGTTTTGTTGAAGGTGCCCAGGAACCTCCGGGAACCAACCGGGAAGCGGCTTCTCTGTCCTAGATAGGTCAAGCAGCTCATGAGTGCCTGTAGCCAGGACACAGATGGGTCACACTCGTTGTACCTCCAGCAGATATGCGGAGCTACCTGGCATGTGTTGAGGAAGCGACTGTTCGTGCCTAACAGCACTTACAGTATGTCTGTATGCCCGGTGGAATTTCATGATTTGAGCTCCGTGCATGTCAGCCATTGTCAGCGGCGGGCTCGAACCCCCGTAGAAGCCGACCATCGTAGAGGGTGAAAAAGGTCCTGGATTCTGATGCAGGCGGACGGGTGCGGAGGCAGACGTGTCGAACCGAAGCCTTGCTAAGGGCAACAGGCAAGCAGACGACAAGCCCTGGATGATACTCTGGACCGTCTTGACTCATCGATGAGGAGACAAAAGGAGACCGGGCGCATTAATGTCTGCATAGAATCGCGTCACATCCTGGTCCAGCTTCACACCCTCTGGGGATGAGAATTGGTGAATCAACCAATCGTCGCCGGTGAAGCAACCGCCGGGCTGGACAGAGACCTACGACCGGTGAGGGCAGATCGCGACGAATACCTGGGAAAGCATCAGTGGATTGTCAGGAGTTTTGATAAAAAGGGCCGCGGCAAATGCTGATTGGATCCGGTCGATATCTCGTGCTGGGTAAAGGTCTCGGTACTTAATGACACAGCACCAACTGCTAACAGTTTGTGGTGATAATTTAGGGCAGAAATGTTACTAAGGAGCCGGGATGGCGTGATGTATACCTACCTCTCTCCTGCTTCTTTACTTCCCGAGCAGCGACCAGACTGTACCTGGTGTCGGAGCCAGTCACGGAATTCGGAACAGGCAGGAGGCCTGAACGGCCAGCGAGTGACACTGGCACCCCATACATCACGAGCAGGAGGAGTCTGGGGGACGAAGCGGGTAACATGGGTTCGCAATAAACTCATTTGTTCCATCGCAAGTACCGAGAGAGACGAACTGTGCGACAGGATGAGACCAAGGAGCGATTTCCTGCGCTGGCCTGGTAAAACGAGTACGATCCGCACCAACAAGATCCAGCCTAGGTAGGTGTGGTGCTGTGAAGGAAAGGATTGTGCATATTTTGGAGGGAATGAATCTGGCGATACTTTCCGTTCTGTGATTCCAACGATGTCGTCTCATCATGTGCGATTGAAGGGAGGGACAAGAGCGAATCATTTCGTGGGCGAGATTCCATTGAATGGAGTGGGAAACTGCTGCTGCTGTTGAGTGCCGACAGAAATGAATGGCCAAGTTCATTCGTTGCGATGGGCGATGTCCGTGTCTCCCAAATGAATGGGACTGCTTGGATTGCAGTGACCGAGTGTGTGAGGTGATGCGATCGTATGGAAAGTATCCTGACGGAAGGAACGACAGACACCTTGTTCACTTCCTCAGGTATTTCCCCTCGGAATGGAGTCTGGGCTGCAACTGGTCGCAACAGAGATGGCAAGCGCCCCTTACCCTCCCCGAGAGCAAAGCCCGGTAGAGGTAGGTAGGTACCTACGTACCCTCTAGGATCGATGGAAGGAGATTGCCAGCCTAAGGATGGCTCGATTTCGTCCCGCGCTCTTTCCCATTCGAAAATCCCCATGTTCAAATTGAAATTCGTCGACGTAACTGAATTCGTTCGGTTTGCAAAGCCAAAGAGGGCAGTCGCAGCCAGAGCCGAGGAGCTGGCACTGTGTTGAATGAGATGCGTCGTAATCGGAGGACGAAGCCGTGTGACTTGGTCCAGGTCTACTTGTCCAAAAGAAAGAGGTGCTCAATCAGGAACATACCACATGAAGTACAGGGTCCATGATAGAAGACATGAGTTCACTCTGCGACTTTCATCTTCTGGCTCTCTCGTTTCTGAGACCTCGACCCGTCGGGTTTGGACGTTGAGGTTCTCGAAGTGGGTCTTGAGTAGTTACGGTGCGGAGAAAGCGGGAGCCAAGCACGCCAAGATAAGATGGCCACAGTACTACCTATTGCCCACTCAGAATGTGAAGATAAGTGGAGGCCTTGTTCAAAGTGGGGGTGCTCTGGGGTGCTCTCGGTCGTCGGCAGGTGTGCTGTTGTCCCCTGTCGCCGCAACGGAGGGAAGCAAGGAAGGAGCTGGGCCTTGGTTTTCGATTGAACTTGTCCAATTTCAACCACTCAGCAAGATGGACAGACGCTTCATGATGGAAGGTACGGGTGTGTCTTCTAGGTGCCTTCCTAGGTATGTTCCCCGGATCGCCCGTAGCTTAAGAAATTAAAATTCTTGACAGACAGCCGCGGCGGCATCTGAGCTCCGTAGGTCGCCTTTCCAATGAACCAACCCTTCACTCTCGACCGCCCATCCCATCTCGGAGGACGGATGATGCTGACTTCAGTTGCATGTGCTCATCTTCAATTTGGTGGATGGGTGATCTTCGTCTGCATCTTTGTTCATGGCGCTTCACAGCCCGTTTGCATGCTCCAGTCGGATCAACATGCATGGGCGATCAGCTTTCAGAATCTCTGTCTCTCCCAACTCCCCATCTCTCTTCAGTCGAATATCAGGGTACATGTAGGCAACTGGGCGGGTAACCTTTGCCTCATATAAACAAAAAACCAAGCCGACTCTGATTGACTTTCTATCTAGGTACTCTAGACGCGATACAGTCTCGTTGCAGCAGTGGCTGCAGGACATGTGTTACCTCCAGGTCATGACCTCTGCATTCGGTTGGTTCACATTCAAGAGTTGTGGCTTGTGGTGGTGACTGAACAAGCTACCTACCTACGTTCAGAGAGAAAGTATCGGCATCTCTGAGCTTATTTACCCAATGAGGGCGGGTCCACGCACCCTACCAGAAGAACCAGACACATTCCAGTGAATACACTGCTAAAGAGGTGAGACAGCCAGGGCTAGGAGGCTCCGTCGTCGTTTCTAGGGCTCAAGGTACACCTTACTCTTACAGTCCCAATCCAGCCTGTTACTGACGCTAATCCCATTTTTTTTTTCTAGCGGCTTTGACCATGTTGCCAATGGGCTTGACTAGAGGTGTCAAGTCCGAATATCTTCACGTATACGGACGGCCTGCAACTCGGTAGCACCTTTCACCTAATCCACCCATCACCACACTGTCATATCATCGATATCACCATTCCCATCGTCATGACTATTGTTGCCAAACCGTCGTTGCCATCCATGTTTCCCACGCAAGGACCCTGGAGTTTTCAAAAGCCGGGGAGTGATGTGTCACATGGCACAGATCTCTTTTGCAGCGAAAGAGGTGTGGGAAAATATGGGGTGCGCCAAAAACAAGCCCGCGAGGGCGTTCTTTGTGTTCCAACCATCCGCCCAGCAGGCTTGCAGACTGCTTAGCTGCCATGCTGACATTGTGTAGTACTGCTGTTCATGCTGCCCCTTATTGCCCTGTTGCCAGGCTGCCGGCCTGCTCTGCTAGAGTCAGGTGCAGTGTTCCTGAAGGCTGGTGTGGAGAATGCCTCATGAAACCGGCACCCAGCACATTCTAGAAGAACAAACATCTGCTGCGCTCACAAAACCTTTAGCTTTGTGCGCTTCTTATTTGAGCCGGAACCTGGACGCCAACGCAACCTGAGCCGTTTCGTTCAGCGGCCCGAACCGATCGCTGAGGCAGTCATTGATACCGAAAAGACCTGTTGCCATAACCTCTTCGTCTGCCAAGTCTTAGCCGCTTCCGTATGGTCAGTTTTCAACAACTCAAAGATAATATACTACAACAACCCTCATCCGAGAATCGCTATCGTCGAAACAGGAACGCAAAGCCATGCCACTACCTCTAATTACCTCGGATCAGCTAGGAAAGCGACCTGCTTCCTCAAGGACAAGCAGTTCTTCCGAGTACCTCTATTGTCATTCTGCGCAAGACCTCAGCCAATGGCTGGCCGAGCCTGCCTGAACCCCCCCGGGTAGCAGACGAAACGGCCGAAAGAATATTTCATCTGAAACAATTGGATAAACATCTTGCCCCCTTCGGCTATGGAGTCATTGGAGCGCTCTACGCCAGCAAGCCTAGCGCCAGCCTCGGGTTTGGTGGCTGGACACATGCATCTATTCGAAGAAAGACGGAAACCTGCACAAACGACCTCCTGCCTTTCGTCCACTCACCCCTTTTCTCATGGATCGGCAGCATCAGCTCATACTGGCCACGCGATAGAGCAACCATCAGATCAGCAATGGCAGCAGCAGCAGCAGCAGCAATAACAAGGAGAATGGTACCGACAGGGCCAAGTCACGCTTTTGGCGAGGGGGAAAAAGAACGGCCGAGCGGTATTTTCGTCCGTGCCTCCCAGATTTGATCATTCGTCCCCCCCTTGCCCGTCGTCTCGTTGAACCTCAGTCAAGAGGCACCAATGGTGGTCCAAACACAGTTAGACATGATTGGACCCCAATGCTGAAACGGGCAAATCCAAGGGATCATGGAGCAAAACAAACTTCACTCAGGCCAGCTGCTGACCTCCCTACCGCAGAGCATCCCCTCACCCGTTTGATCTTTGGTGTGTGGGGGCAAGAAAGAGATGGGACACCGAACACTACCTTGCCGGGCCCCGGGCAGTTTGCATGCTCTCTCGATGGCGTGCATCACAATCCTAGTAACGGACGTATCGCCCGGGCCACTCCAACGGCTGTGTCTGAAGAGGTGCCCGTCCAAAGCTGCCTGTGAGGCTTCACGTCGGGATCATGGCCTAGAGGTTCTTGGAAACAGAAAAGAGGCATATCTGGACCCGTGTCTCGAAGAGGAACTACATCGTCGACTGTATACCTCACGTGCCGGTACAAGGGGCCCTGCTCCATCGAGTAAGACAGACCTGTATGGCCTTGATTTGGCCTCCCTGCAAGAGCTTTGTTCGGCCGTTGCCGAACACGTCAAACCTATAGGGCCGAAAGCTGAAGGCGTGCTGCATTCTGGACTGGGCCTTCAGCTCTGCGCTGGCACGTCGTTACTGCAATACGGAACTTCCCCTTCTTCTGGCTCGCAATGTCTGGTCCGTTGTGGGTTGAACCTTGGCCTGACCCTGTTCTCACCTTTCCGCCTCTTCATGACCGACGCCTGACTTTGAGTGATGCAGGCAGTCAGCCAAAGAACTGCGCAGGCGAACTTACTGCAGCAATCTACCTTGATGAAGCAGTCCTGGGCTTAAGGACTGGGACATCCGATTAGGGTGGCAGGATTCCAACTCTCAGTGGCCCAAAGCCTGTCAACCGTCTGCACCTACCCGTCTCTGGGGCATCACTCCTTGCCCGGCGGGTTTCTCTTCAAATCAAAACAGATGTTTGTGGCGCATTGTAGAAGTCCTTGGATGGAGGATACCTGCATACCCTGATGCATAGAAGACGAGGTTTCCAAAGAAGCCAGCAGAGAAGCGACTTGCCCTGGCGCGGAACCTTTTGATACCTCGATCTCAAGATTGCGGATGTTTATCGCTGGTAAATACGGGTCTTTACGGTATCGCAACGGATACAACTCAACATTTCAAGGTTAACAATGAGGTAAGTGGAAGATCAGGACCTTTGGGGCAGCACCATCATCACAACATCGCCCAGCCGTCACCTCACGCCGATATGTTTGGTGAATCCTTGCTTGCTTTCCTTACTTGTCCAAAAAAATTGTAGAAAGCATGTCAACTGTATTGACATGCCGGTCGACTATCAAGTGATCGGTCAAGACAAGAAGAAGTGATGTTTTGTGACTCGAGCGGCCCCCTGCTTTGAAATCTTGCGTAGTGTTTTCGATTCAATCACCGGAGTAGGCTGATGGGGAGCCCTCTACCCAGACTCACACGTGGGCTTCCACAGGTCATCATAGTCTCTGGCTGCTACTACTTAAGAATGCCAACCAAAAGTGCGGTCCCCCTAATCGCCTCGTCTGAGAAAGGACATCAGGCTTTGCCTTGAGATTAAAAGACCGGGGACTCTTGACTTCTCTCCGCATCCATGTGTCCCATCGTCGTTGTCTCAAATCCCTGCGCTACCCATCTTGTTTGTGCTTGAGCTTAAGAAGGTGTAGTTATCCCTCCTGACCATTTCGTCCTGCATCTTTTGGTTTTCCCTTTACTCTACGAGCTTTTTGGCGTTCTGAAAACCCTAGCCTGGCGATACACACATTCTGCCTGTACGACTCACCGCTGTGCTGGACGTACTTCCGAACGAACTCCCGCACTCCCTTCGGTGCTCTTGTTGCCACCTCTGTACGATCCTCTTCAAGCCACCGCACCCGGGGTCCCCATCGAGGGCACCAGAAAGCCACCTACTTGCGATCCTGCACTCCCCTCGACCAGATTATACGGCATCATTGTCTTGTTCATTAGGCGAAGACACGCTGCGGACGGCCTAGAATTTTGGTCGCTATCATCGCTCGGAAACACAGGGTCGAGGAAAATTTCTAAACAAGTTTGCCACAGCTACGGCACCACCGAGCGAATCTAATCTCCAGAGCGACTTCTTTTTCCGATCTCCACATCCTCCGCAACAACATCGGGCAAGCCTCTCATCTACCGCGCCGCATTTTTTCGCGAGCCATAACCCGGCAGTTATTCGACGCACCCATCTCGCAAAGATACCAGACCGGAGTCTGAGGGACAGAAAAAAAGTTTCAAACAAGGTGAGTTGAGAATGACGGGAATCACAGATAATGAGTTTCCGCAGCCTGTTTCTCTTCTTTTTCTTCCCCGTTCTCTCTCTATCGGCCGGAGCCCTGTTTGGAAGGACCGATAAACCCAGGGTTGTGGTTCCCGGCTGCAGCGACCACTCTTCCTGCACGTATTATCATTTTGAGCAATCGGAGCGGACATTGGTCACGTAGGACAAGCACTGATCCCGACCAGGCGCACACATTTTTTCTCTGACTTGCATGTTAGTGCATCACCCCTTTTAAAACGCTGTCCGTGATGGTCGGGCTCGAAGCCCTCGCTGCGATACCGGCAGGAACTTGGGACATCGAGCCAGCTATGAGAAGCTAGGGGTAAAGGTTGAAAAGAAAAGAAAAATCCTCCCCAAGAAAAAAAAAAAGAGAAAAAAAAAAAGAAAAAAAAAAAAGAACAGCAGGTCCCTGCAACGACATCAATTTTTTATGAGCGAAAGAGAGCCTCAAGCCTGGATCTCGTAGCTCCGGCTACAGATTCAGATCACGTTTCGGGCCATCTGGTCCATTCGTCGCTTACTGTGCCAGCGGGCTTGTCCTCTCGCTCCTTGCCCACGTTCTTGCCCGTACCCTCCATCCTGATATATCTGCCTATACACGCTCATACCAAAGCTCCCTTTGTGGAGGAGCTCAGCGGCTTGATCAGTATGCTAACGGGACCCTTTTTTTTTTCTATCCTTAGGTTATAGCGACGCAAGCACCAACCGCTGTTTTCTCGTCGCGATACAGTGTAGATTGACCGCTTGGCATGACAGGGGCGCATATCAAGGTCAGTCAACCAATCAAACCCTCGACCAAGTTTTAGCAAGCGACATCGGAAAGAAATACACTCTGAGCTGTTGAGTCGAGAAGCAAGAGGATGAAGAAAACAACAGAGGAAGGAGAAGGTGAAGAGGGAGAGGATGAGGATGAGGACAAGCGATGGAATCGAGGCATGGCCTTTGGATTCCCTTCTACCCCAATACTCGCCACTTGCTCTCTTTTCCTCTTACGGCTCGCCTGGAAGGTCTAACCCCAATCGGGGCGTGAGATCGCCTCCTTTTCCACTACCTTTGGGGCAGCACTGGCACTGTAGCGGAAGATATTCACTGACTGACTCCCCGGAGACGGACTTTGTATAGGGAACGCACTCACTAGCGGACTTTTCTCACTCACGAGCCTCGTATGAATCCGCCGCTTTCAAAGGTAAACACTCATTCCATCTGATTCACGTTGCTTTTTCCTTTGAATTCCTGATACAACATGGTTTTGATCTGCGTTGCCCGCCTATCCCATCCGACCCTTGATTCTTGCGGCCACTGCGGCCGTATGCAGCACCCTGGACCTAGGCCTGGACCCTTTGAACCAGCCGACAGCTATCTATACAGCATGCGAATTTTCTCTCGGCTGTACCGGGGCCAGGTTGGATGACATCAATATAAGCGCAATCAAGACAAATAGGCCGAGTTTTCAACGACAAATACGCGGCTACTCATCGGTGAAAACCTACGGGGCCTTCCATTGCCGTAGCTAGCGGCGGCGCAAACGAAATAAATGAGTTATGTTCAATTCTACAGGTTAGTGAAAGGCAGTTCCGTTGTGATGATCCTATCCCCCACCCCCTCCTGCACAATTTTCACGTTTTTCGGTCTTTCCCGGCTGTGTCTTGATTCTTTTCTTGACAAGACTTGCACATCGACTCCATATTCGGTCGCCAGTGCGCTCCATTCCGCTTTTCTAGCTTGTTTTAGTCCGGCCCACCAGGTTGGTCTTGCGGCCTCTCGCTGGCTGACGGATGCCCTGGCTCACAGTCTGTGAGTTTTCCCGATGTCTCCAGTTTCTATCTTGGGCAAGCGCTCTCGGGCAAACGTTGGAAGATCTGTGCTGGACACGCCCTCAGAGCATCAGTCGAAAGGAACAAGTTGATGCAGCTCTCGGCGCGTTTTGTACGACGGCAGGGTTCCATCCCGATCGTTTGTGGGGCAACCCTACAAAACGAATCCCGTGTTGCTCTTGTTCCGACTGGTCTGGCCGGGCTACAGACGGCCAACTGCAAGCTCACTGTTTAGGACTCGATGTACCTCTGCATGGCAGGCGGTATCTGCTTGTACCACCATGTGTGTACTTGTAGTCTCATCAAAACCATCCTCTCTGCCTGTCAGCCTACCTCTTGTTCATGGCTCCCCTGTTGCCGTTGCGCGGCTGGGGGCATCGTCTGGTACACTGTACCTAAGCTTTGCTTAGGTTAACAAGCACTAGCATGTCAGGACAGGACAAGACGGAATGAGAGTGGATGAGGTATGCAACAACAGTGCAGCTCAGCGAGCAAACAACATGTTGCCTCCCTCCCACTTTGGACCAGAAGATTTGTTTCTCTACTCTATCCCGTCCTCGAAATTCCTCGAATCTGTACATGTTTCCTCCCATTGGCACGTCTCGCTCCCGTTATGTTATCTCCCTTCCAGCCCCTTTGTTTTGTGAACGACACCTATCACCGATGCGACTTGTTTAGGTAGCATTGTAGCGTGGTGATTGTGGTGTTTATTCGCTAACATTTACTCTTGCGGCTTCTTCTAGGCTCTCCTAGCAATTCCGATGGCTCTTGGTAGCCCAGCCATCGTTATGGTCCAGGAACGGCATTATCACTTGGCTTAATGCTCCTCTAGTCGTCTGGCACCGCATCCATATACGCTTACATAGCTGATGGGTACATCATGACGAGCTTCTTCAAGCCGTGCCACAGCCGCCTTGTCATGTTGCACCCCGCACGACCGATTAGGACCGTTCAGTGAACACTCTACCTTGCCTGAAAACGGCAGACGACTAATCTATCTTTTGGCTTTTCATTGAATCACGCCTTGCTTGCTTGCCTCATCTTGCTGTTGCTCGCTGTCAGACGGAAGACATGGGACAAGTGAGGAATGGAAGCATAATGACATGCCCAGGAATCAGATGAAACTAAAAGGGGCAGTTCGCAAAAAGAAATCTGACTGACGCTGTATTTTTAGCAGGACTTTGGGCCGTCTGCCGAGCTTGACTACGGTCTCGACATCCCCCCAACCACAGCCGACATGCGGTAAGTAACTACACTACACTACAAGCTTTCTTACGTGTCGATTCCATTGGCTCTGTGCTATCGTTCTCTGCTTCCCCTTCCTTTCTGCACCCTGGTGAGTGGAGGATGAAATCGCATCTCAGTGTCAGTATTCACACTGGCACTGTCCGTTTCTTCTGCATCACACGGTGGTAGTATGACAGTGAGTGATCTGTCAAGGTAACTCCGGCCGGTTCGTCTCCGTACCTCACCTTTACCTCGCAACAAAGTATCTTTTTCACGAACTGTACAAGGGCGGCGGAGTGGTTAAACATACCCGGCATGGTATGTAGTTGTCCTGCATCCTACCCGGCCTCTTTCCTTTTTCCATCATTCTTCAGCACCAGTGGGCAGAGTTAGCTACCCTTGCCCGCCTCTTACCCTTGCCAATTTTCACCGAAAGGCACCGCAAATTCGAAGCTCCCGCAACCCGTATCCATGCGAATGGAGCGGAGGAACGGACACTAAGCTCCTGTCAGCGTTAAAAGCCATATCGCGGTCCGCTCTCCGCACACACTTTCCCATTTCTTAGTCTTTTCTCCCCGCCTGCCCCGATTTCCCCGTCACAAAGGCCGTTACCATCAACGGCTATCTCATATCACACGAGCTACCGGTTTTGAGTTACCCTACCTCAACCTCACAACAGGACCGCCGGCTGCTACCGTTACCCGGTTTCCACTTTCTACTCATCTTTCTCAATCTCCTCCGCCTCCTTTGGCTTCTTCCCGTTCACCACTGGCGAGGTAGCTTGCGGCAGCACCGAAAGAAACAGAAAGAGAGCAATACCTCTACCTTCCCGCCACTCTTGCCATCCATCACTCGTCAACAATTACACCTTCGATCAAAAGAACCGTTGTCGTTAGGGGTAGGGGAGACGAGGCATAGGATCAAACCTGAGAAAAACATGGGTACTTGCTTTCGGCGCTAGCTCTGCCTCATCGCAGTTTACAGCCTATCAGCAAGTTAGAGCACCCAGATTACCGCTCTCGCCATTGTTGTCGCTCTCATTCGATCCACATCCACTTGCGCAAGTTGCCCTGCCGCAAGGCGCTGTGTTCGCGCTTCCGATCCTGTCGGCATCGCTAGCTGTGCAACGCCAAGTGTTGGCAGTACAACCAGAGAGTTGTGGGAGCTACCGTAGCCCCGTCCTACAGGCGCACTTGTGTCTCGCATGGGAAACCTGAACGCTGCATCAAAGTACACAGCGTTCAGGTTGCGAGAAGCTGCGAGCAGTGGCAGCCAGATAAGCTTGGTGCGCGAAGACTGAATGCCAGCCAGTCAGCCAGCCAGTCCGAGCAAGAAAAGCGGCGTGGAGCACCTTGCCAGGCAAGCAGGAGCTCTGTACCATCGAGGTGCACGACAGGCAGACACCTCAAGTCCGGGGGTGGTTGGCTTCTCGGCAATCTAGCCAAAGCAGGACGTTCTACAGTCAAGGTACCTGTTGCTAACCCATCCGCTCTTCTCACTCAAACAGCTATACAGACAATACCGCGTCGCTGTCGACGATCGAGGCGCCGCCTCAGCCTTCCTTCATAAGCCTGAACCCCCTACCGATCCCTCCGCCAACCGGCTACACTGACGGAGGTGCCCACGGCTATTTTCCTACCGCTCCCACTGTTTATTCCACTAGCCTGGACGTCAGGCCTCGACTGGGCTCCAAGTATGTGTCACGTCTCCCCTCCTCTTTGAGCCTCCACACCAAATATTTTCCCCTAAGCACCACCTCCGTCCATCGTGCCATGGAACACCACCCCTTTCCCGAGGCTTACACGCCAACTAGTAGCACCTCTGCCTCGGGCATGGCACATGCCCCTCGATCCAACGCATTGCCGCACCCAGGCTCCCAGCTCAGCATTCGAGACAGCTACGCAACCACGACGCCAACCTTCAGAAGGCAAGACCATCACATTCCACGCTCCCCATCCTTCGGCGGCATAACCTCGAGACGGCATCCACTATCGCCCACTCCTAGTCCGGCAACCTACAACACACACAGGATGGACGGCACATACGGGTCAAAGACCCAACCCAACATACCCCCCCTTACCAGCATCGTCGAGTGCGGTGTCCTTTCATATGGAGGCCCTCAAGCAACACCCATCAAGGTGGAGATTAGCGGCATTATCGACAAGGGATTCTTCCTTGCCGAGGAGCAGTGGACTTGCTACAGGCGCAACTACTTTTCCTGTGTTTGCTCCTTCTCTCTAACCCCCAACCTTCCCACCACGGAGATCCAATTCGTTCAGACTGGATCCCCACAGCCTTATACAGTCTATGGCTTTGCCATGTCCATCTCTGCAGCTGTAGCCGACAGCGATAACCAAACAATCGAGTTGGTTCAGCATACGCCAAAGCGAGACAAGGGGCCGGTTGCTAAGCCCGAGAAGGTCCGGTTACTACCAAAGCCGGCTCAGCAAACCCACCATCCACTAAGCGGATTATATAGCAACCCCGACGGAAGTCTCTCGTCGTCCAGAGCATACGACCACCAGCCATACGGGCAACAACAAAGCCCTCTTCCCACTGAACATACGTTTGAGCGTATACAGTTCAAGCAGGCCACGGCGAACAACGGCAAGAGGAGGGCTGCTCAGCAATACTACCACCTCATCGTCGAGCTATGGGCTGATGTTGGAAGCCAGGGAGGGGCAGAAAATTACATCAAGGTAGCCTACAGAAAGTCAGCCAAGATGATTGTCCGCGGCCGGTCTCCAGGTCACTATCAGAATGAGAGGAGAGGAAGCACTAGCAGCGGGCCAGGGGGCTCCGGCGCCGGTAGCATCGGCGGCGGTTATTCTTCAGTCCTCGGACCTGGCGGCGACTACCACTCTGGCACGATGCTCCCTGGCGGCTTCACGCAATTCGGTGATCCGAGAGGTGGCTATGGAGCACGGCATCACCATGAGCTCACCATGGAACCCATGATGTCCCATGACGAAGCCAAGTCGATGACGGACCACAAGGGATACCAATATTTCCCTGCAACGATCTACGAGAGTGAGCACGCGGACCCAAGACATCAACAGGTGGAACTGTTCTCCCACAGCCGCACGGAGGCAGAGAGCAACACGGTTCCCTCCATGTCCAGCGGCTATGATCCGACAAAAGTCAAGCCCGAGGGGGAGAACGGCCTTCCCAGTATGTTTTATCCACCAGTCAGCTCTTACTACTCGCAGCAACGCTGCGGAAGATTTGAGGGCAAAAACAGCTCTAGTGGGTATTACCCTACCAGCATTCCGCCATCTTCAACAATGAATATGACATAGACTCCTGGAAAGGAGGGGCATTTGCGGTCCGGACGGAACCGTTGTATCATGCATGATCCAGGAGCATTGTGATGTCGTCTAAAATGAGATGTTAAAAACGAAGACCATGAATAAGGGAAAAAGGCATTTATATTGTCTTGAGCTGATTGATGTTCACTCACTCAAGCAAGACGATGTCAGTCACCACTTGTGGAAACGAGAAGATATGGGAGGACGAACATATGTGTGCGCACACGTGGAGATGGCTACAGACGATACTAATGATGATGGACATTTTCATTGCTTTTATTGCGCTGATTTTTGTCGCGGATTTCAATGGTAACACTCATCGGACAAGCAGGGGCTTGGGTTGGGTCAAGGATAAGACAGTACAGTAACCTAAAGGGGTCAGGGATACAGGACAAATCGGCGAAGGAACACATATCATTCTTCCTCTGTTATTGTTGTTTGTTTGCAGTTTCTTTTTCTTCTCTTCTTCTTCTTCTTCTTCACCATTCTTGTCCGTCGCCAGATCTATGGAGCGAACATTTTCCACAAAAAACTTTCTTGCTGGCCATGTCTTCTCTCATTTCGTTTCTTACTGTGTTTATCTTCTTTTTTCCCTTTCCTTGTAGGGATATCAAAAAGGGGGTTGGTCTAAAGGCGGAAAATGGGAAAAACATGGAAGGCAAAGACAAAGGGCAAGGATCAAGGGTCACTACTGGTTCATTGGCATATGAAATATCGCGTGGCATTTGCAAAGGATACCCGGTTCATTTTTTTTTTCTCTTTCTTTCTTCTTTTTGCTTTCTTTGTTTTTACTACCTCTAGTCTTCCATTATTTGGCTTGATTACTACCGTACTTCTTTTTTGTTTGCCAAAGAAAAGCAAGAAAATTAAAATAAGTCACTATGTTTTCCATGTCAGTAGTACCTCTACCTACCTACACATTGACGAAGACTTGGAGCGCCGTTGCCACATTCGGGCCTCGTTTTCCCCCAGAGTTGAGTGCAGAGAAAACGAAGGGTGGCGATGATGAAGATCCATGGAAGACGAAAAGACGGACAGATTGCGGAAAATCACTGGGGGGTCCAAGGGGGCTAAACAGGTTTGGGGAACTGGGCAAAATTGAGACGGGATCACAGCCTTTTCGGTGTTGGTCGGTCCTCGGGCGCAAAAGAAAAAGAAAAAAGAAAAAAAAAGGGGTAAGGCAAAGAGAAAGGGAGTCCTCCAGAGCTCGATAGGCGTACTTTAAAAAGCTTCCTTGTCTTTTCTTTCCCCATCCAAGCATCGTCTCTGGCTACAATATCTCTTGCGCTCGACGCAAACGACTCGCAGGGATGGAAAATAGGTAGGCTGTCTGCTGGCGATTCGTCCGTCGGGTGTAGGTATGTTTGCGGCACGTTTCGAGGAGGCTGTGAAGAAGGGTTGTTATGATGTGCCTTGCGTCGATCACTCCGTTTTTTCTTTTCTTTGAGAGTTGGGTGAGTTGAGTAGGTAACCCCCAAGCCACGATTCCCTACCGACTGGTTGACCGGTTGGTATCGCTTTGCTTTGTTGCTTTTGCATTGTGTATGTATACCTACCTACCATTGAGTCCATCGCGGAGAAGAATGGGACGGAACAAGGCTGAGAATACATAACCCTCGTCTTTATCTGGTTCTAGAGGTGCAGTGTCGAGGTGCGTATTCTAGCAAGGAGGATTCGGGCTCTGGACTATTAACCCCGTTGATGGCCTTGTTGTTTTTCTGATTGACTGTACTGGAAGTTATCCCTTTCGCATTGCCTTTGGGTTCTTATGTTCAACCAGTTTTCTGAGACTGCGCGTTAAGACAGCGAGTAATCCTAGAATACCTAACTTAAGCCCGGAACGAACAAGTCGAGTGTAGGAGCCTTGAGTTTGTGGTCGCTACTAGCGAGAGATACCCAACACCACTCAGCAGCCACTGCAGCCAAAGATGGAAGTCAGTCGTACATCTCGATAACCGCACGCGGCAGCCACTTAGGTACTGTGCTGTAGAGATAAGTACGATCCGTACGCCTCTGTAGCGAGAGAAAAAAAAAAAAAAAAGAGAGAAACTGCTACTGGGCTATCCTGTGAGTTGAGTGAGTGAGGCCTCTAAGGCACCGATTTACACTGCACTTCACTGTACAGCAAGGGTGGGTAGGATGATCACGACGGACTTCGCAACCAAAGAAACAAAAGAGGAGTAATGATCGTGCAGTCCATGGTGATGTAAAGAACCATCGTCTCTCTCGCATATACTACCAATCGATCACCCAGCACTCCTTCCCCGGGCATCCATAGAGGTAGGTAGCACCAGGATTCAGTTGACCACGATGTACCTACCTCTGTTGGTGATCCAAAACTAGGTACCTAACTCTACCTCTATAAGATGGTAAAATCGATCGCTCTTAACAGTGAGCTTGTTGGTGATGGAACTTCCACTTCCTGTTTGGCAAGCTAGGTGAGGCCTACTGCCCGTGTAGTGGTCCCCGCTCTTGACGGCTTCATGACGGCTGCCTAGATCGAGACGGACTCTTGCTTTCCAACCCTGTTCTTCTAGTTCTCACTGTAGTTCAAGTGTAGAACTACACTGTTCCTGTCGTTGTTACTTAGTTCCTTCCGTTACCGCCCCCGGCCACCTTCAGTTACGTCGGTAGGTACCTACCCACCCACTTGTGAATGACGCGGCGGCGTTCTGGCCCGCCGCCCTCCTGAACTTCTGACTTGACTTCCGACTTCCGACCTACTACGTTTTTTTTTCTTTTCTTTTTTTTTTTTTTTGTTTTTTTTTTCTTTTTTTTTTTTTCCACAGTGCCCAACGACTTGCAACTAAACCAGACTCTGTGCTTTTTCTCAGCTGCCCTGGCGTGTGATCTAGTATCTAGAACTCACTACGTAGGTATGTATACTACACTACTGAACAGGCATGATGTTCGACAGATATCTAGATACTACGCTCTTTCCGTTCGGCAGCCGGGCTGGCTGGTCAGTCACGTATCGTAACTACACCATGTACCACAACCAACGTCCGAATCCCCGGGGGGGAAAAAATAGAAAAAAAAAAAAAAAATAAACAAGTCGAGTGGTTAGTTGGTTGTGTGGTGGCGGGGTTTGGCTGTCCAGTTTGTGACACCTTTTCCACATATCTACGCTGTACCTACCTACCGTCTGGCGGCGTCGCGTCTGGCGGCGTCAGAGTACGTAGGTAGAGGTAGTGGTGATGTGGTAGCACAAAGGATGACATTCAGCAACGAGACAAGGGGGAGTGAATTTTAAGAAGAAGCGCCGTTCCCGCCGCCGCCGCTAGAGATTGCTGGAACCGTAGCAACGTAATTGTTTAGAATATAACTAAGAATCCAACCACTGTGTAGTGTAGGTGGTTGTTGTCAACCACTGGGCCAATGATGTTGCTGGGCGAAGTCAAGAAAAAGCCAGAAAGTTCCTCCCCGGCGAAGCATCATTGAACTCACTCGTCAAGTACCTAGACACCATTGCCCGCCAGAGGGAATCACATTCACTAGGTAGAGAGCTACCAGAGATCAACAATGACCAGCGAGGATGGAACAAAGATAAGCATATAATAAACACCGACCCGAGCTTACTCATATGCGAGCCGTTCCGGCTGGACACTCCAGTCTGACTGCTGAACTGGTGGCAAGATGACAGAGTGACTACTCTCTCCACGAGTTACGGTCTAAACCAAGTACACACGGCGTTCAAAAGAACTGGAAGGAGGTAAGAACCGTATGTACCAACCAAGTATATTACAAACCCGTGCTTACATCCACTCACTCATTCACTCACATCCTTTTCCCTCTTTCTCTCTTTCTCTCTCCCAAGGAAACTCCCCAAACCACCGCGCCGCGCCGCGGAACAAGCCGTACCGTACCGTACCGTGCCGTGCCGTCCTTCGCCCATTGTTTCTTTTTCTTCTTCTTGGTCCTTGTCCTTGGGCTTATAGAATGGTATGATCAATCTTGCCATACATGAGAGTGAAATACGACATAAGGGAGGGAGTTGGGCTGAGAGGCAGGAGAACCAAAAAAAAAAAAAAAAAAAAAGGAGGGGGGCGGTATGACACAGATAGCCGACATCGGATTTTCTATAAGGTAGTGCACTGTGTAAGGGCGGGAACTGAAGCTTGTGGGGGAATGGAATGGTGCCAACGCCAACGCTTGAGGCCCGACGGCTTAGGCCAATTGTGGACTGATTACGGGGGGATTCAGCGTTTGCCGTTTGGGGGGGGATTTGTAATGTGTGGAAAGGGCGGGCCCGACTGATAATATCTGTGGGAGTGATTTGTTTTTTTTTGGGGGGGGGGGCGTTGATGGGGGGAGGGAGATACCATGACCCCCCGGCCCGGCCGGGTTGGATGATATGCCTATGTCTATGCCTGCACTGGCAGTAAAAGCTTTTCTTTCCCCCTCCTACATTCTTCTGGCTTGATTCTTTCATCCTTTTCGTCTTCCATTAGCTCATTGTCTCGTGATGCCGCCGGCCCGACCTCACTGGGACTCCTCAGTTCTCGATGTCGATGTGTGTGTCAAAGCTACCCAGTTCGGGAAGACGGCATTAGTCTAGTCGCGAGAGCGTAGCATGATATCGATATTATTGTCTGCACTGCACCTCACAACATTTCTCGCCAATACCAACATGCGGAGCGGGATCCGTTTTCACAAGTCACTACCTAACACTGGGCTGCCGTCAATCAGGGAGTGGTTAAATGTACCGTGTTGTAAGCATACGCATACATGACATGCATGAAGCGTACCATAAGTGATATGGTAGGAGTGGGAAAGGCATTTTCGGCATGGGAAGGCAGTTGGAAACCCCGGCCAAGCTGGGAAAAGATGCTGGGCGGAGCCAGACCGGTGTGCATGTAAGGCAGAGTGTCAATATGGCAATCTGCGCGCCAAGCCATTTCTCACACAATGTGTACATGAAGGAGGGAAGGGTTGGGTGAGCGGATACTACGCTGCAGCAACGTCTGCGCTGCTTGCCTGCAGGGAAACGTTAAGGCGAGATTGTGTGTAGCTTTGTGAGTGGGTGAGGTATTTGAATGTACTTTGTATCGTAGGAGTGGTAGAAGTATCGACATGTAGATGTTTGTGTGTTTGGAGCTTGGCTGCCGGCTGTGAGTATGGTGGTGAGATAGGGACGGCCAGGCATAGCAACCACACCTGTTCTTTGTTGTTTGATAGGTGAGGCCATTCGAACCGTCGGAGATTATTTACTATCATTCTCAGTCAAGGACTGGAAAGTGATGTACATACATGCTTCTGCTCGCAAAAATGCAGAGCACTAAAACGGCGCATCGTACCCACACCCAATACCGTGACACGTAGCATATCTAACATGGATAGCCCAGGTACTGTAAGCATTATTACCGAGGGTGTTGTTTGAGGTAAGACGGATCTTGAACTCACATTTCCCCGGCGTTGAGTGACCAAGCTTGGATCGGTCCCAACAAGCCGGGAGCCAGGGAATTGCTGGTGCTCCCCACAACGCCATAGGAGTCACAACAGGAGGAAAATCGAGAGACAAATTAGCCATGTCGTGGGAATCGATCACGTCGCATCGGGTCTGAGGTACATAGTACTATGAGCAGTATGAATGCCGAAGGACCTCGGATTTCGGCCGGTGAAGGGCTCACGGACAGACAGTGTGGGAGGGAAGCAAGGTGTACGACAAGGGTGGGCATCCGTAACGGAGTCTCGCTAGTGCTGACGGTCTGTTCAGCTGCCAATGTCGCCCGAGTCGTCCCCGCCCGTTGGCTGCGGTCCAAATAAGGTTTGGGAAAGGGAGGTGAAAAGTGACAGAAGATCACACCATGTTGAGCTCCGGGCGATGAGACCGGGCCGAGCATTCTGGAACCAGTGACGGTTGGGATACGTTCGTTGGACAGACGGGCGGTACTCGATGCCGGAATGGATGTCGCACACAGATGGCCGGTCTGCACACCAGATGCATTGCATCGAGCACTGGAATGTGAGGGCGGGGATCCATCCTGCTATGCATACAATGCGCATCTGCGCCAGTGTCAACCTCTTATCGGATCCAGTGCGGCTGTGAACTGGAGCGAGCCAAGCCGGCGAGGAAGGGGTGCGTAGCTATCCGAGCTATCATCTTGCTCTTTTTTTTTTTTTTTTTTTTTTTTTTTTTTTTTTTTCTTCTTTCTTTTCTTGCCGCTAGTGAGAGGACTTCGATGGTCAAGGTCAAGGTTGATGCTGGAATATTGTTTCCTTCGCTCAAAACTGGGATTGGAAAGTGAAAGGCACGTCGCCGTAATGAACCGAACCTGAAGATGAAGACGGAAGGTGACGACCACGACGGCGTCCCCGACCCAACTGCCCAACTGATCAACAACCAGGATCCCAACCCCTGGAGAAAAAAAAAGAGACGGCAGCTAGACCTTATACGGGATGGCCTCAGCAGGCTGTTCCCACTGTGCGGGTTGGAATTTGGTGGGGACTGACCCGGACCTGCACAAGTTTGAGACAAAGTCGGTCTCCACTTTCACAATTTCCACTTAACCACTCACAACCGCCAGCAGCCGAAATGAACAACATCATCATCACTCCAAATCCTCGACCCGCTCATCCAGCACCAGCCGCAACGGCTGAGCATCTTATACACGGCCGATAGTACACTCAACTTTCCGCCAGCGTTAGGCATAATCAAGTCCCACGTCATCTCTCGAACTCGTCTCCGTGACTCATAGCCTACCGTCTGACGACATTCCCAACCTATCGCGCGACTCCCATCACCTTCTCTCTATTATGACACTCATGGTTGGATGCCACCACGACGCCGCTCTCGGTCTGGACCTCATCTCCTTCACTCAACATGAAACCAAACTAGTTTAAATTTTCCAGGTTTTGGTCCCGATCCCCATCTTACCGCGGAGAATGCCGACCAACCAACCGTGAGAGCACTGAGTAAAGAAAAACAAGAAGCCTTGTAAGCCACCTACGCCGCTTATCCTGCAGCCATGTTTCACAGGAGAAAAGACAATTCCTGCTACACAAAGTGTGTGTGCCTCTCAGCCTTACGGATGATGCCGTGTAATGTGTTTGCGAGTCATGCTTGCACAATCAGCTTTGTTGTCCAGGACCGTATTCGAAAACAAGAGTAAAAACACATAAAAAAAGAAAAGAAGACAAACGCTAGTAACCGAGTAAACGGCGTGTGATGTCTGCCGCCTTGGGGTTGTTAAATGGGCTACAAGCAAAAGAGGTTGGAACGAAGAAAGGAAGGGAAAAAAAATACGAAAAAAAAAAAGATATTGAGACTCGGATACCGGGAGTCGAACCCGGGGCTGTTGAGAGAGCAGTCACTCCTGAGAAGTGAGAGTCAACGATGTTACCGCTACACCATACCCGATTGAACTGATATGGTCCGATTTTGATGCAAGGGTGGTCCCGCAGTACCCATTATACTCTTTGCTGGAAGGGTCGATCAGTTTTACCTGCTTTATATCCCCGTGATAGTATCTCGAATCCCGACAAACAAACGTCTGCAAAACAACTTGACCATGAAAGAGGCCCGCAAAAGCTGAATAACCTGGCTTTACCAACTCAAATCGGTGCATCTTCTTAACCATCAACTCGGATTATCATTGGACCTGTCTGGTCGTTGTATCTACGACGGAAGGGTGGTGCGCTGTCTGCGGGAAAAGGTATCTAAAAAGCTCCATCTCCCGTAGGGGTACTGTATCACAATCTCCATACAAACAAGACTGCGGTTGCTCTTGGTTAATTCGAAAACACTTGGACGATGCAGCACCCCAAGCGCAAAGTCTGTCAGGGACACTCAACGTAGTGGCGGCGTTGACCTGTCGGTTGTGGTTTTTTTCGTGATCTCGTCGTCGTACAAAAACGTCGGTACACACGAGTTTGACTTTGCAATCGCAGTTTGTGAGGAAGACAAGCTGCAGCCTGTAGGAACCCGCTCCCCAGAATGCGTGCAGTGCAGTGTGTGCAGCTCCCATCTCCAGCTACATTATAAGGAAGTGAGCTTCGTTACCCCGCCTTTACTAATCTCCCTCGGCTTGCCTCTTCCTTTAATATCGATATTGCGAAAATACTACGAGGTGCGTACTATCTAAGCCTTCTTTTACCTGAGGTACGTATACGTGTTAAAAGGTATGATAGCTACCGTAGAGAATGACTTTAAAATTAGTATTGTCGGGCGTTAATTGCGGAATATTTTGCGTAGTAGCGAGGCCAATTAGGTAGGTAGGTGTCGGTAATAGTATTTTTTAATATAGGCGTAGGTAATGGGACTTAGGATGACGATATTGATGTGTTCTATTTCGGTGCCCGAATGTTTGATACCTTGTAGTCTAGTCTGCGGTATAGGAGGCAGTCCAGCTATTATAGACCTGGAAGATCAGTGTGGCGATATCTGATATTGGGTCGGAACTGGTAAAAGAAGCAGTTGTTTTTGTTCCTAGAATGCGTGCAGTGCAGTGTGTGCAGCTCCCATCTCCAGCTATACTATAAGGAAGTGAGCTTCGTTACCCCGCCTTTACTAATCTCCTTCGGCTTGCCTCTTCCTTCAATATCGATATTGCGAAAATATTACGAGGCGTGTACTATCCAAGCCTTCTTCTACTTAAGGTACGTACACGTATTAAAAGGTATGACAACTACCGTAGAGAATAATTTTAAGGCTGGTATTGTTGGGCGTTGGTTGCGGAGCATTTCGCGTGGCAGCGAGGCCAATTAGGTAGGTAGGTGTCGGTGACAGTATTTTTTGACATTAAAGATCTTTGTCTGGGCCAAATTCTCACAAGAACGCTGGCTGAGGGACTCCCGTCCTTTGCGTTTGTTCCATTGGTTCTGTGTTGTGGCTTTTCTCTTCCAAAGTGAAGGTGTCCTCTTGATCAAGGACTCTTTTGCGAGGCAAGAGCAGGTTGAGGGTTAGCGTGTGCAGGCTTGACCCTACAAAACAGGCAAGACCATCCCATGATCGCTCAGATATCAAGACCACCTTGGGCAGGTGGAAAGAACCAGGCCTGCACAAATTTGGGACCAGTTCCGGTTTTCGTTTGTTTTGCTTTCTTTCTTCTCGTCGCCATCTCCAGACCCAGATGGGTGCCTTATTCTTTTGCTTCCAATACTCCTCAAGCACTATCCTGTTCCGTTTTGCATACAGAGAATTTCTATAACTCTCAAGATGCCCCTCCCTTACTTCGCTTCGCCCGACAGGGTAATGCGCGCCGCTCAGAGGTTGGAAACACTGGTTGAGATCATGAGGGAGCACCGCCTTGAATTTGTTGCTATCCAACACGCTGCCCAGCTTTATGTCAGGTGGGTCAAGGCCTATGACCGACAAAATCTTGATCCAGAAGACGATGATGATGATTGGGCCGTGGACTGGGAGCATCCGATGGAAGAAAATGATGTCGGCACACTTTTGGCACTGGCTCTGGGCGAGATGGGCGTAGGTGAGAGACTTTGACACCACATTCCTACAGAGCAGCCAGACACTGACGTCTCACTAGCACGCAGATTGCTCGACGTAAGAGGGACGGTACGTATTGAAATTTCATGTTACCTACCTCTGCCACAAAACAATATTGGACGATACCCAAGCAGATCACCTAACATCCCCGTGTCCAACAGTCATTAGAACCGCCTGGATTGGATAGAATACTGGAAGATTGCTTGAGAAGGCTGTACGTGTTACTCTACGACCTTATCTACTGGGACTTTGGAGGTGCCGTCGGACAGCTCGCCCCTGCCACTCCCGGAGCGCTTCTCGAGAAACCAAAGGACGATGAATGGGTTTTGCGGGAACTCCCGGATGCCGCCGACACCGGAGACTCTACCGATAAGCCCCCTGACCAGTCTAATGACAAGCCCTCTGACGAGGCCACCGATGAATCGACCAAAAAGTCTATCGACAAGTCGGCCAAAGGCTCCATTAACGAATCCACCAATGAGTCCTCCGACAAATCCTCCAGTGAGTCCAGCAAAGCCGACCCAAAGGAGGGTAACGCATCGGAAGTCATAGACCCAAAGTTCTACGCAGCAGCCAAATCACTGCAACACCTCTGCGAGCAAGAATTCCACGATTTGAGCAAGGAATACTACATACACCCAACCGTCAAGAAGCTGTTAGAATTTCATTGGAACATGCGCTCTCGCAAAGGGAAGAAGAAGGCCGACCCTCGCTTTCCATATGCAGCCGAACAGCGTTTCATGACGGTAGATGGCGTATCGGAATTCATAGACCCTGAATTTCTCCCAGCACCACCACCTCCTGAACCTCTGAGCAAATTGGAATTTCTGGACTTGGTCAACGAAAGAACGACGAAGCGTGAGCCTGGGGAAAGACCGTTCAAAAGGCCGATAAGTCTCAGGACCGCTGAGCTCTATGGAATTCCGCGTAAAACTTACGATAGCGAGCAGCCTGCCGTAATGTTGAGGCGCCGCCAGGTCGCAGAGGTCAAATAGAAAATGAACCAGAGCGTTTCCGCCAAGGCCCTGTCTAATCGGCCTGATCTCTTGAGGCGATCCGGAATTGCAAATATCCCTGGACTCTTTCAGCGCCCCGAACAATCTCTTCCAGCCCAAACTACAACGACCGTCGGTCCCTCAAAGACTGCTGAGTCCGCAAAACCAGCCGGAGTTGCAAATGCACCTGGACCGGTACAACGCCCCAGAACACCTCTGCCCACCGGAACCCCAACGACCGCCAGCCCCTCGAAGACTGCCGAATCACCGAAAAAGCCTGCTGAATCCGCAAGTCTTAGTAAAGTTTTTCGGTTCATAGGAGTTTCGCCGGGCTCTAAACCCTCTCAGAACACCGGATTCTTAGGGCCCACCAGATTTTTGGCGACCCCCAAATCCCATACGATCGCTGAATCCTCCAAGACCGCTGAATCGAGAAAGCCCGCTAATGCGTGGCAGACACCCGAGTATTTGAGATCTTTGGATGATTTATGGAGACCCGCCAGAGTCGCAACTGTTCCTCGAACCTCTCAGCCTGCTGGAGCTTCTCAAAACTCGCCCGCTGAGTCGCCCAAGTCAACCGGACTCTTGGAACCTGCCGAGATTATTCCATCCTCCAATATTCAGCAGCCTGCAGAATCCCCAAAGACGGCCGCTGAATCCCCTGAGCTCACTGGAGTCTCTCGGGCAATCGGAATCCCAAGCCCGCCCGAAGTTGAGAAGCCCGCCGAGTCCCCCAGGTCAGCCCAACTTTTGGAACCTGCTGAAATCTTTTCGCCCCTCGACATCTCTCCAACCCCCAGGGCGAAGAGCCGCTCCCCATCATTGACGCAGACGCCCACGAGGCTCGGGAGGCGGGAAGAAGTCGGTGGGAGTCCGGAGTCTTCGGAATCCAAGATGCTGATTGACGAGGAGGAAGCCGAGAGTCAGTTGGCTGAGACACCTTCCTCTTCTTCTGCGAATGCATCAAGGCAAGCTAAAAAGCGTTCCCCACCATCGGTGGAGCGTCCCAAGCAAGTCAAGAAGCGCCGAGAGGTTAGAGGTAGTGAGCCTCCGGAGTTCCCGGAATTCGAGAGGCGAGAGAGTGGGGAGGAGAGCGAAGTGTCGGATGATGAGGAAGAAGACGAGAAGCCGTTGGCTGAGTCGTCGTCGTCTTCTTCTGCAACGACATATGGGAAGAGGAGTGAATGGAAGGGCAAAGGAAAGGAGTAAGGGGATTTTCGCTGAGGAGGAGCTTTGTCTTTTCCAGAGTTGAGGCGGTGGTCAAAGATGGTTGAACTTCATGGTGGTTCTCCCCCGGAATTCCCTAGAGGTATGGAAACTGAGGAAGACGAGCAAAGAGAGCACATCTGGGAGAGTGAACATTACATCTTCGCTGTCAGCAAAGGTAAGATATGAAAAGCGTAACTGTGGCCGCGGATGGCAGGAAACTTGGATAGCTATTACCTAGTTTTTGTAGGAGTAGGACTAGCGGAATAGGTGTAATGATCAGCGTCTTGACACATCTGGCACAGTTTGACAGGCGCGAAATCATGTTCAACGTGTACATGTGAAGTCATTGAGATGGTTCTGCTTGCTGTTCAGTCACTTGGATGCTGAGCGTCGTAAGAAAAAACTGAACACCTCGAGACTACTACATTCCACCTTTGGGATACTCTACACGCATTCATGTTATTTTTACTGTACCAGCGAACCAATGTTCAGGATGATCCAGCTTTAAAACATTCTCCGATGAACTTTCATGACATACTTTCATGACACAAGGCGTATCACCATTGCGACGGTATTTTCCCACACAAACAAGCGTATTGTCCCATCTGGTATCTCTGTCTATTCTTGACCACCCACCATTTACTTCCATCTACCTATCTACCTCAAAGCCGCCTACCTACCTCGGTGCCTCCACCATAATCATTTCATCTACCTCACTACTCAACTATGACCCACCCGCACCCGCACCCGGACCACCACTCACTTCCCGCAGTCCATGTACTTGTACCACATCCGACACCACCAACAAAGGCACAATCTCAATTTCCCAATCATCCACGATAAGAGAAATAGAGCTACAAATCCCCTCAACGGCCTCTTCGAAGCTCAATGCGGGCAACAGGGGGCCTTCTCTCTTGTCTTGGGATTCGGCCCACCATTTGGCGAAGGGGAGCATGACGGGGGATTTGAATCGCGAGAAGAGGATTGCGCTGGTGGTGGTGGTGGTGGTGGTGGTGGTGGTGGTGTTCTGTGTACTAATGTTGGTTGGTACTGGGGGTGGTGGTGGTGGTGCAGTTGGGTTTTGCTGGGAGGGATCATGGTGGATACCGGAGGACGAGGTCTTAGCCGTGGGTGGATGTGCAGGAGGTCGGTCTCTGGAGGTACATGTAGCGGTTGCTTGATCTTTTAGGATTTGTTGGACTACATACTCTCTCAGTCAGCTACCTAATCAACCCAATCTCTCTCTCTCTCTTTTGGTTCTGTCCCGTATTTCATTGAACACCACATCTCAACACCACATCTCACTCCATGCTTCATTCATACACGCTACCTACTACTACATACCCAAACAAACATTAGGCCACATCCCCCGAAACCGCCAAAATAACATCTGATACGCTTTATAGTTTTTCGGCTTGTGCACCTCGCTGTTCTCGAGATCATCAGCTATGGATACTAGGTGGTTGTGGTTGTCTAGTCCCCATTTTCGGAACTTTTGAAAGGCGGTTTTGAGCTTGGTGTGTATTGCAGGGTCCATGTTGTTACTGTTTTTGAGGGTATCTAGAAAGAAACGTTCAGTGTCAAAGAGGAAGACGAAGAGGGGGTGGATTGGGGTGATGGGGTTCGGTTGGGACATGGTTAAATGTGGAATATGTTAGATGAGGTAGGTATGTAGGTAGAGGTAGGTATCGTGGGCAGGGACTAAGGGTAAGATACGGTACCTACTAGAGTATGCGACCAGATTTTGTTGTCAAAAGCTGATCCAGAGCCTTTTATCCTCTTTTTACTCTGGTAGATATGGATCGGGTATAAAAAAGATGACTGACGCGGTATGTGTCAGGTCTTGAAGCAAACCAGCACGGCGCAGTTTGGCTTGCGGTCTTATGACACAGACCTAGACACTTGACGAGATCAATCCAAGCAGCCGATGATGAGATGTAAGGACGGCAACTCAGACGCAAAAGAAATTTACTCACCTATGACTGTCTATCCAGTGGTTTGCCTTTTAGCTAAAAGTCATCCGGCACATGTACAGCCGGAGTGTCTCCCCTGCGATTTTCCCGGCCCATGCCTGGATTTTAGGAGCAAACCCACGAGCGTCATGAAGAAGAAAGAATAATTTGAAGGTAACGACCGTCAACTGATGCCTTTTCAGTTAATGTAGGTACTGCAGCATAGAATCTTGTGCTAATTTTCTCTCTTTCCATAGACTTGCCCGCAAATCTCTTTCCACTGATTCGACCATCCAAGAAGAGAAGCGAAGGAGGAGCCAAAAGTACAACACCTCAGGTCGCTATCATTAACCCTCAGACTTACTTCTGACTTGTTCTCTCAGGGATAGTTGGCCATGGGAGAGTGTGCAACGGGGAACGTAAGGATTATTTAAGAGCCAAAAGAAAAAAAAAAGTTATATTGACAGAAGATGGAAGTGGATAGTTGACTTCAGTGTGGTGTGGTGGAGACGGGTCTCTCGAAATAGCGATTCAAGCTTGCGTGGTGCTCCCTACCAACACCGACATTTACTCCATTTACAGGAGCGATACTGACACCAAACTTGACGTTCATCAAGGAAGTACGAACTGTGTCGCAAACTCCATGCGATTGACAGACACTATTCAGACGCGCGAGTGTTGCCATCGAGCCTGACCGCACTGAGTCAGAAACGAACGGTGGACACTTGTCCGCGAACAAGTCAAATCAAACGACAGACACCCAGCAGCGATGCAAAAAATATTACAATTAGTTACTAGGTAGGAACCAAGTATCGAGTAGAGGTAAAAAGACGACCAGCTACATAACTCGCCTAGTCCCCTTCCCTCTACCCCTTTCAACCCGACATTTTAACACGAACGACCCCTCTTAAACCCCAGTGCAAACATAGTACCCCAACCACAAGTTACTGCAATCAGCATTCACCTGGGTATTGTACTGCCTGAACTGATTAAACGTGATTCCAGCGCTTGACGAGATGCTCGAGCAGCTGTCTCCGCTCTTAACCTGGTGGTACCTCTTGCAGTTGCCCGCAATGCCGGGCATCAAGGGAGAGGGAGTCGCGTGGACGCAGACGTAGTAATCGACCCAGAGGTTGGAGCATTCTATTACGAATAGGGGTGTATGTGGTTAGTTGAGACAACAAAAAGGGAAAAGTAAAGAAGTAACAAAAAACGTACGAGCATTGATATAGCTGTTATAGCTCAGGAACTGATCGGTGGTAATTCCGTACTTGGCAGCAATGGTACCGCACTGGTCGCCCGAGGCAACCTTGTAGTAACCGTCGCAGTTGGAGACGATACCGGGCATCTGGGGAGAGTTGGTCGCGGCGGGAGCGGTGGAGGTAGCCTTGGTGGTGGTTGTTGGCTTCTGAGTGACGGCTCCGGGGACATGGACGCAGACGTAGTAACCGAGCCAAAGGTTGGAGCACTCTTTATTATGGGATGTCAGTGATGGGCACTGTAGGGTTTGGGTCACAGGACAAATACGTACCAGCGTTGATCTCGGTGTTCCAGCTCTTGAACTGAGTTGTGGTGATGCTGTTCTTGGAGGCAATGGTGTCGCAAGAGTCTCCGGATGCTACCTTGTAGAAGCCATCGCAGTTGGCAGCCAGACCGGGCATCTGGGGAGAGTTGGTCGGAGCCGGGGCAGCGGTGGTGCTGGTGACCTTGGTGGATGTCGTCGGGGCAGCAGCGCCGGGCACGTGAACGCAGACATAATAGTCAAGCCAAAGGTTGCTGCACTCTGTATGAGAGATGTGTCAGTAAATAGACTCCAACGTCATTGCACATATTGTAAAGATATCTAGACATACCAGCGTTGATCTCGGTGTTCCAGGTCTTGAACTGCGTCGTGGTGATTTCATTCTTGGAGGCAATGGTATCGCACGAGTCGCCAGAGGCTACCTTATAGAAACCATCGCAGTTCGCCGCCAACCCGGGCATAGCAGGAGAGTTGCTAGGGGCAGGAGCGGCGGTAGTCGAGGACGATGTAGAGGTTGAAAAAGAGGTGGTAGAGACCTTAGTGGTGGTCGTCGTCTTGAGCGTGGTGCTCGTGCTCGAGAACGAGGACGAAGACGAAGACGAGGTAGGATCAGCAGTGACGGTGCCGATGACGCAGTAGGTCTTGCTGGTGTCAAGGTTGGGGCAGGTGATGCCAGGGTTCAACTTCTTGAGCTCGTCGACAGACTGTCCCCAGCTGGCGGCGAAGCTCTCGCAGGTCGCGCCGGCATCAGCAGTCGTGGCAAAGGCACAATCAACGGCACGGGGGGAGAGGGCCCGAGCCGAGACCACGGCGGGCATGAGCCCGGCGGCAAGAACTTGAAGGCGTGTCAGCTGCATCCTGGAGGTGTTGGGACTGGTGAAAAGAGAGTCAAAGGCTGGTGTCCTGAAGCAAAAGAGAGACTCACCATGATGAAGTCCAAACTGCCGTCTTATACATTATTGACTGGATATCATGCTTGATGCCTGGATGGGATGTGTCGACCAACATGGCGTCTCGATGGCCTGTTCTCAAAGTCCCCAAGTTCACAAGGCCATGGGCATACCAGGTTGCCAAAGAGATGACAGTGATCCACCGTCGGTGATATCACGGCTGCCTGCATGCGAGGAAGATGTTGGAGAGCAGCCATCGATAGTCTGACTGCATTGCAACGTTGACTTGGAACGAAGCGTTGTAGGTCGTAGTGTATAGATTGTCGGTGATGTTCGCCAGATATTGATTGCTATGGAGAAAGGATCTCGCGGCTGCCAGCCGATGGCCTCTTTGGGCAGTCAGCCCCGTCAGGCAGGCAAGAGGGGGAAGGCTGACTGTCGTGGTATGGGAAATGGATACTGGCATCATCTTTTGGCAAATGTGGTGGTGCGAGTCCTGAAATGGTTCGGCAGCGGACGATGTGACTTGATAATTACGGTAGAGGATGACGGTGCGGTCATGGTGGTGTTTGTTACATTCTGCGTATCTGCAAGGTCCTTCGGAACGCGGCTCACCAATCAGCATGGACCATCCCG